GGAGGGAGGGGAGACTGTAATGTACACTGTGGGAGGAAATTCTTTATCCACGACACTCTTCAGCTCCATGTTCGCCTCAAACCAGGCTGTAAAAACTGAAAGGCTCTTGTTCAAGGAGCTTTCCGGCATTGTAAAAATGCACAAACACGAAACAGAATCTCTACAAAAAACATAAATGGAATGTAAATGCATTTTACATGGCAGCATATTCTCCACAGAAAAACATCCAATTTTACATGTAACAAGTACTCCAATAAGCTGAGGGATCACATCTAGGGTTTTCAATAGAAACATGAGAAATACTTAGAGTGCCACAAAGACCTTCCACCATAGTTACTACTCTCCTTTGAACACAATCAAAAGAAATGGAGGGCTTGTTATGGAATACTGTTTACAACAAGTTAAACTTGGCACATTTAGCAGATATGATACCTAATTTACAATATGCCTGAAGCCGTTCAGAAATTTTTTAGAGATCTTGAATTTATCAGGATATTTCATTCAGGATCAAAGTGTGGGAATATTTTCGAAGTCCATGATGACAGACTTGAAGCTAATGACGTAATCATTGAGGATAGCACTGGGTATTTTTACAAAAGGGAATCTGTGTGTGGGTGAGTCCTTACATGTACATATTCATGTTTTTAAGAGGATCAGAGTTTTGAATTTGAAAACACTTGATGAGCGCTGAAAAAATCTGCTGCTTCTGGGAATCCTTGGGTCTTTTTCACCTCTTTTGCTAGCCTGGATCCACTATGTTTCATTTGCTTATGTTACCAGGGTGTTATTCCCCTTATTATTATCTATCATTTTCACAAATCTTTCAGGAGATTGGTCATATTAACTGCCTGGGAAAAAAAGGTTGTGAAGTTTTGTTGCATTCAATGAGTGTCCGAAAACACGAAACATATCGTTAGCTGTTAGTCGCTTTCCTCTATCTCTATCCTCTAAATTGTGAACTGTGTATAGTGAATAGGCAATCCACAACAGCCCAACAAAACACGAGGACGACTAATTAAATTCTATCATGAGGGAGCATGTATGGAGATGTAGGACACTGACATGCTGCTGAAACGCTGCACTGTGGAATACCGTAGCTCAGAGATCATGTCCTTTGATTGGGCTGTAAATTGGCATCTGTCGAGTAAACCCATCTGAGTATTTAAGATCAAGTGTCTCAGATATGAACAGCTATCAATAAATTATACTAAAGACTGTATTTTTTACCTTAAATAAGTGAAAGTGTTTATGTACAAATAAAATACAAATGTCTAAAGAGCTAACAGTGGAGATGAGTGCTTTTGGAAGGTATTTTAAGAGTGTGTTGTTAATAAGATGATAATAGCATCATGTTTCCTCTGCGCGCGGTGTAAAACACTTAAAAGATAAACAGCCTCGTGGAAGTATATTAGGAGAGGTGTGTTTGTGTGCGTGTTTTACAGACTTAGACTTGATGAATGAGTGTGTGGAGAACATCTACAGGTCCGTGTGACAGAGAGTAACGTGAAAACAGGGAGTGTGAAAGCAGGTCACTGGACAATGTGTATGTTTTGTCTCAAAGATTTGTGTGTGTGTGAGTGTGTGTGTGTGTGGGTGTGTGGGTGTGTGTGTGTGTGTGTGTGTGTGCCTGGTCCCTGGGCAGATGTCCGGAGTCCCATGCCATAAGCAAGTGTGTTTGTGTGTGTGTGTGTGTGTGTGTGAGTGTTGTCTGTGTGTGAAGCGGGGTGCAGCTAATCAACTCAATATCCTTCCCCTCAGTGATTTGCCAGGCTGACAGTGAGTGAACATTGACATGATTTCTGTTCTAATTTCAGACTTGAAGAAACAGCAAAACAAGTCAGAATCAGTGGATATCACTGAATCTCACTGCATGTGAGCTACAACACCAGTGAAGTAATAACAGCCATGGACAAATACATATGGATAAGATTATTTTTAAACTAAACAGACAGCTGTACAGCTCCTTTAATTTTCTCTTTCAAAGTGACTTTTTCTTTCCAAAACAAAATGGCAGCAATCAGCAGGGCCGTAATCTTATTAAAATTCAACAAGATACAAAATGAACTCCCTTCTGATAGTGATCAAACAGCTGCGGTGGCCCTGAAGTGCGAAACACCGGAATAATGGGCAAGATATGCTGATACAACCACAAATTTAGCAGAGTTACATGAGGACTAGAGTCAGAACTTAAAACTTTATAGAAAACCACAACAAAACAGAAGCTAAACATCATTCTCAGGACATACCAAAGCAGGCACACAGGAAGATAGTCATGGTTCGAGATCTGGGCTGGGTCCTGGTTCAGCATTCACCTGCACCTGACTGGGAACTCCAGGCTTCTCTCGCAAAGACAAAAAAACAAAAAAAAACATTTGGTTATGGATGTAATGGACTGGCAATCTTTCCAGGCTACAGCCCACCTGCTGTTCAATGACAGCAACTACTGGCTTTAGAGCCCCCGAGACTGTAAACACTATAACCTATAGCACAACAGAATCGCTGTAAATGTCACAAAACACCCAACACAGTCACAAGAAATGCTAATTTATAGTGTGCATACATGCAGAAGAGCTTACACTAAAATGATATATAATTCATCAACATTCATCCATCATTAAATGCTTTACCTACAAATAATTCATAGTTCTTGTGTGATTTCAAACCTCAATGCTATGTAAATGTGTATTCCTCGTTATCTACTGCCCTAGACACTGTGGTGTGTGACAGAGCAGCTACTCCATCTTGTGGTGAGTACAACGCTGTGCATAAGTTTGTCATGTCCTGATTAAAGGGAATCTCAGTTCAGCATTCCTGAACTGTCTTTGCCTCTTATCAGTAACACTGTGTGCTTGCCTCATGTAGTTCTTGATAATCAGCTTAAACACAGAAAATAAATTATGATAATTATGTTTTTATCTGAAAATGTTGATTTCAGTTTATCTGACATGAGGCAGTTTATATGTGTCTTTTCTGCTCTTTCCCTGTTGTAAATAAAGAAGTCAGTTGATGAGGTCCTGTGTACTGGACTGATGTTTAGCACAGTACACACAACATGATAACTCAAAAATGGTTGTGACGTCCTTAAAGTTGAGAAGAAAGAATCTAAATGTTTAAGTTCTGACAAATTATATTAGCAAAGGAAAATGTCAAATTTAACATCACAATCCTCCAACACAGTCATACTGAGTTCATATTTTACTTCTTTAAAAACAAAACATGAGCAAACTCACTGCTCTACATAACAGGACAGAAATATTTAATGGAAATGCATTTTCTCTTCTAATGTGTAGCTTTAATTACGTGTACCTTTGATTCGTTGAACGTATCACAGAAATGTCCAGCATCACAGTGTTTCGGTTATTGCACCAACTGTTCCTTATTTTAACTGTTTCATTAAAAAACTAAAGTTAGAGTCCGTGAGTCAATGCTGTGCTTTGCATATATTGGGATTTTCAGGCTTCATTTTTGACAATAAAATTTGTTTCACTGTCTCAAAGGAATATAATTAACTTGTAAAGAACCAAAGGAAAAAGGTGCTCAAACAGTATATATACACCTTCCGTCAGTTGCTTCCTTGTGTAAGGGGTTAAAACATGCACACACAACATTAACCTCTGGACTTTTGGACTACTTTCTATGTAAATTTTCACTGTCAACTTCAAGAAGAGTTCTGTCACAACATGGTTTTCTCCATCAGATGAAAAGCAAAGTTAACGAGGAAATGTTTTTGACAGATAAGTGGCAGCACCAGGTATAGAGGAAAAAGCTGAATCATTACAGATATCATAGTTCAAATGGGACTGGTGTACTCTCGCAGTGCGTACTGTTCACGCTCTTGCACAGATACAGCAGCAAGTTGTTCAGATATGATTGGATATGACGCATGAACCCTTGAAGTGTTTACCATTTTACTGTTCACAGAGATACAAGACCAAGTGGTCTAGTTTTTAAACAGGACATCTTATGCTGGAGCTGACGGACAGTCTGGGATATTAGGCTTTACTGACCGGATTCAGGGGTCAGTAAAACTGTGATGCAAATTTCTGTATAATCAGAGCGGTTTGATATGTTGTTCGATTCACAGGAGCGGTCGGGCTGGTCGCTCTAGCTTCATGAAGTTTGATTTTCCCTTTTAATAAAGTTCTATTCCTTTAACGGGTGTTTCTGGAATATCGTAGGAGTGTGCATGAGTGTGCATGGTTGTTTGTCTCTGTGTGTCCCTCTGATGGACTGGTGACTTCATTGTGTGTGCAGCATGGGAGGAGTTTGTTTAATTCAAAGAGCAGTATAGTGGCCAGAAATATGTGAATGGCATTCACTGAGAAACTGTAGGCTACTTCTGTTTTCTAAATGAATGTTTGGGCATTAATGAAACACTGACTCTGGCAGCATTGTATTGAACTGTATGCTAAAGTCTGGTGGCATCTCTTAATTATGTGAATTTCCTATTTCTTTCTCTCCAGGTAATACATACAGAGGCTGACCCACAGTGACTCAAAAACACAATTTTAAGTAAACTTGCGGAGTTCACGTTCATGTGATGACCTAGTATAAACATTTCCATTAGTAGGTTATGCGCTCCATCGGGGTTATTAGAATATAGTCTTCAGCTGTAGAAATACAAAGACAGTCTAATACAAAGTCTTTTGTGGGTAGAATGACTAATTACGGTAGATGTATGATTTGGCTTTTTGGACACATTTTAATGAGGAAAACGTGGGGATGTGCTGTGGAGGATGGTGCGTGCTGTGGAGGTCTCCGCCCTTGCAGGCTGCTGCCTACAGGTGACCCAGATGTTTGACAAACAGGTATGCTTGTGGGCCACGGGTTAGCCAATCACAACGCAGAGTGCAGGCTCCCATCAGCGGGTTTTCTGCTTATAGCCGCGCGCGGAGCTCCACGCAGCTCAATTAGTGCCCGGGACTCTACCACTATCCGGCTCGGACACGTCCACCTGTCGGCCACGTCTTAGGGGAGAAAGTTAGTCCAACTTTTTTGACATGTGGTTCTCCGTTCTGCTACTTGTTTACGCGTCGTGCCGCGGGGCTTCGGCCGCTCCCGCGGCCGCCTCCCCCGCCCTGGAGGAGGCTTACCTGGCGGTGGCGGGCGCCGTGGCCCCCGGGCAGCGGCTTCTGACGGAGGACTCGGTCCGCTCGCTCTTTAATACGCTGCGGCACCGTGTGCAGTGCGGCGAGGTGCCGTGTGAAGAGGTGAGTTATATGGGGCTATCTCTGCCGCCAGGTCAGAGAGCCGGTCCGCAGGTGCGGAGGGGAGAAGGGCGAGGTCCAAGGGCTCCTGCCCCACCCGTTAACCCCAGCCCGCCGCCAAAATTTCACCTGGAATTCATTACTTTAGAAGAAGAATGAAGTTTTCCCTTCATTTGCAAAGTCGAAACCAAACAACGCGAGATTTATAAACTTAATAATGAGCCTGATTTGTATTTTAAAATACACCTTTTAGTGTCATTATCTTGTTAATAACTGATGTGATTTTGTAGGTTTCTGTTAGATTTATGCATAAAAAAAGCCAAAAGAAAACACTGGCACTGTAAAACTAAGAAAAATCATTCATCTGAGCAGTGAAAGAAATGATGGCTGGACTTAAACTTAAAATTGACGTTGTTGCTATATTTGCTTCATTTTGTGGTAATATTTACTAATTTTTCATCTCTTTCAAATGTCTGTAAAGCCAGATTGTGTCTGCTGGATACTACTTATAGGAAAATAACTGAAACTTTAATTTTTTTGTCTAATCTTTAGCACAGAATAACTGAATAACTTTTCTAAACTAAGAAAAGTCTGGATAAAAGTTTTTGAATCTATGAAAATCCTATATAAAACTAATCTGAATTATCTTTTTATCCAGAATTATTTTTATACATTTGAGTCCTTTCCCAAATCTGAGGAAAATACTGTTGTTTGGCCGCAATAATAAGGTTCCTGGTTTGAAATTTCTTAATAGTCATTCCTATCCTGAACAAAATCAGATTATTGTGCACTTTTCCGTTTTATGAGCTATTATGTCAGAACCAGTAATTTTGACGTTTAAGTGAGAGTAAAGTCCTTCAGCTTCTGTGTGATAGCTGTAAAATACACTGTCACAGACTGCATGAGAGGAATGTATAGCAGACAAAAGAAAAAAAATATTTAGTGGTCAATTTATTCTTGGTTGCTAAAAAAAAAGAAAGAAAAAAATCACAAAATGTTCCTAGTTTTGAATATAAATCACCCACATTATAAGTAATTGTTATAACAGTGAAAAACTTCCCTCATTTATGTAATGTAAGAAAACAGTTTGAAACATATATCCTGCATTGTCCTTTGACCCGGTCAGGTTTAATCTAAAACTTTTTGTCCAGTGTCACTTTCAAGGACCACTTCAAAGAAATGACCGACTGAAATAAAACTCCTTTCACTCTTTCATGCACCGAGGGAATTCGTCTTATCTTCCTCTGCCATCAATCCAACGGTGCCGAGCCAAAGGAAAATTAACGTGCAGGGCTTGAAATATTTCAACACATTTCTTAACAGAAAGCTTTCCTTAGAACGTAGCGCTCAATTTTCTTAAGGTCCTAGAGAGTCTAGGATGGACTTTTCATGTTATTTCAATAAGATTAATAAGAAAAATGCATACAGCTTATAATCATTATATCAAATGATCATTATAGTATGTTATACATTTTACTATTGGTTAACTGGCCTGTTAAATCTGTCCCATGTTTTTTCTGTTTGCTGTCTGGATGTGAAGTGTGATCTGGCAGGTGCTGTTTCTCAGCTGACCCACAATCACACCATCCACAGGCAGGAAGGACCCAGGAACGGCGGAGAAAACGCAACCATCAGCGTGACTCAGTTCCCCGCTCTGGCTGCGGGCAGCTTGCTCTTTCTGGCCGGTCCTGGCCGGGTCTGTGCCGCCATAAGGCGAGGGCAGTGGGCCCAGGAGACCCAACAGTTTCTGCACAAATTCACACATCACGACCACGCCGAACACCAGAGAGAGGAGCACCACGACCACAGTCACATAGATGTCCATGGGACAGAGGCTCTACTTCAAGAGCTGCACAACCACTATGAGCCGTCACACACGGAGGTAAGCGTTTAGTGATGATTCAGCGTTCGGATGCCACAAAAACATCTGTGTTTGGGTTTTGCCTCACCAGTCCTAAACTGCAGAGCCAAAGAAACATTACTTTGTGGTTAAATATCAGATCTCTGACTACTGGGATAGGCTCAAGTCCCCATTTGGGAATAAGGGGTTCAGAAAATGGATGGATGGATATCGGGTCTCTGCTTCACCAGAGGGCGTCGTTTTTGCCTTTAAGGACTGGCAAGTTTGAAATATGTCTTTGAGCTCCTGAAGATATTCTAACAGTGCTTAACATCTTAAATTACTGTTGGGTATTTTCTTCATTTTTATCTCTGACAGTTCAGATTTGGTGTATTTTCTCCTTTTAAGAATAAACCATTAGCAGCATAGCCCCATTTCACATTTCCAGTGTCTCCAAATCTCCCTGATAACAGAAAAAACAAACAAGCAGCTACAACTTATACGGCAGCTGCTGGTTATGATTCCAGTTTTATAAGTGGGCTTCACTGTTTCTCATTGGTTTTCTAACGTTTGTGGAGATTCACAATCATTGTGATCATGGTAATCTTAAAAGCCTGAGTAAAACCCAGCTGGAGTCAAGGCACCTTCCCTTCAAGTTCATCATGTTCCTTTTCCGTGCGTTTATTATTTAGATACTCATTTTAAACACTTCAATTTCCCTTGACCTTTTCAATAAAGGGGGTTCCTTGATGATTAGCCACCTCATAACCTTTTTTAGAACATTTGAAGGGGTGTTCATACACAGCTGTATTTGTAGAAAAGCAAAGAGTAACTACAGTTTTTGTTTGTTTGGTCCTGATGGTTTGTGGACTAAACAGTTTCTCCAAAGCAGTAATTTTTTTATTTTATAGACAAAAATTTCCCTGTGAGTTCTTTGATTGAAAAACCTTCTGAGGGAAAGTAACTGTTTAGATTTGAACCTGCCTGCAAAAGTTGAAGATAAGAAAGAAAAAGAGTAATTATGAAAATAATACAAATTTACAATTTACAAATTGACACCTAATCCATCCATCCCTCCATCCATTATAGTTATCGCTTATTCATTCAAAATCAATAAAAGATAAACTCAGGTTTGCCAGAAATGAGCTTTTGTTTTTTAGCTTTTGTTGAGCGTCAGAGTATTAATGGTGTCTTTTTATCAAACTGAAGATGCTGTTGTGTGAGAGTTGTGGACTTAAACTGCTCCTCTGTCTTAACTCAGGACACCCATGGCTGTGTGACAGCCAGCAGCATTATGGAAGAGGCTGACCCATCAGCAGCACACCAAATCAAGGAAGTGGGTCCAGTCCTGGGCCGTGTCCTGTACCACGTCTTGCTAGGTCACTGCCTCACTGGTCAGCGTCTGCCTGATGAGCATTTCTTCCTGGACTACATCATGCACCAACTGGGTTCTGAGAATTTCACTGTTCACGGTAATTCATTGATTACCAGATTGTTTTTTCTTATCCGACTGTTTGCTCTCACGACCGGAAAGCCTTTTGATTCCTGCTGCTCAGCCGGAGTTTGCTTCTGTTCAGATTTGGAGGCTCTAATGAGGAGCTTGGGCATCGGAACAGAGAACAGCCATGAAGACGGGCACCAGCACGGGCACGGACACGAGCACGGACATGAGGATAACGATGAGCAAGCTGAGCATGCTCATCACTATCATAGCAAACATGGAGGGGGTCATGCAGAGCATCAAAGTAACAATACCTTGGAGCATGTATGTATGATTACAGAACACACCCCAGAATACACACCTCATTGTGTTAATGTTAGATTTAAACTATTTTAAGAAATGATCAGGAAATGAATGTGTATATTTTGAGTTACTGTATCGAAATATATGTTGAATCTGTCCGTGTTTTGGTTGTTTTTGTATGTTTGCTTCAGATAAAGTTTGAAAGTACTTTTGTTTGTTCTCCTCTGCCAGCGCTGTTTCTCAGCTGAGCAGTTGGTTCTGATCCACGGTCTGGCTGACAACGGCTCCTCTGAAATGGGTCGGCCCGAACTGGCTCGGCTCACCCCCGCGTTCATCCAGCAGATCCTGAGTGGGTCCTGTAAAGATGTCACAGAACCAGCCACACCAGACGGGCTCTCGAAGACAGAGAGTAAGTCTGTTGCTTAAAAGTAACAAATAAATACAGGTCGCCCCCTAAACTTCAGATGATGATGATGATGATGGTGCTTCTAGTACTTTCATAAATGAAAAATACATAAGTTGGCACCTAAATGATGTAGGTTGCTATCCTAAGGGAAAGTTTACCAGTTTGATTCACAGTTTTTCACTTTTAGGAGCTTCTATTTAACTTTGATAATGTTTTTCTTTTAATCAAGTTTGAAATTAAGGCACAAATTGCATATCATTTCAGTTTAACATTAAACAAAGATATCTAAACTTTATCCCCTTTTTCTCCACCATCTTTCTCTTCTTCCACCTGTAGGATACCTCTATGCAACCCTTGCCAACTCGATAATAACCTTGTTTTCGATGTTCGGCATAGTGTTACTGCTGTGTACGTCGTGTACCAGTGTTTTCCAGTTTTGCATCCAGTTTTGTGTCAGCATGGCCGTAGGCTCGCTGACAGGAGATGCCCTGCTGCACCTGCTGCCCACAGTGAGTGGTCCATGTACATTCAGAAAGTTTAAACACACAGATTTTTTTTTTGTTTTGAGAAAAAGCATCCTTAGCATTTTGCTGACATTGCACGATTGAGAGCTTTTGGTTTTTGTGGTGAAGCCGCAGGGACACAGGTGACATGTTGTCCTCCTCCTGTGGCCCTGGTCTAGGTACTGGGCGTGCATGTGCACTCAGATGAAGGCAGCAGCCGTCATCAATCAGACCATAGCCAACACGAAGAAACTCCAGACTACATATACAAGATGCTGGCAGGGATTTGTGGGATCTACTTATTTTACCTGATGGAAAAAATCTTCTCCCTGATCAAACATAAAAATCATTCCCACCACCATCACCATCACCACCATGGGGTGAGCAGAAACACCAAACCCTTCACACCATCCCACGCATGCTCAGGCCTCCTATTTGCTCTGCATTCAGGAAATGCATTGTCCCTCTCTCGTTTCAGGAGGAATCAGAGCCTCACCACTGTGACCATGGAAGGGTTTTAGAAATGTACCAGCACGAAAGGAAACAGAGAGACAAGTCACAGTCCTCGTCAAAAGCAGACCTGGTAAGCATCACACAGGGGCACACAGGTTTTAGGCTCTGCGTTGACGAAAAAGGAACGAAACAGATCTGATTGACGTGATTTTGCTATAACTAGTCCACCACCTCATGTCTGATCTGCAGTACAAATTTGAATCATTGTAAATGACATTAAAAAGTGAATGACACAGTTTTGCCCCACCCTTTTTTACGGCTACATCATCAAACTGAATGTCACCTTAACCGGGATTAAAGTCAACAAATATGTAGAGAATAAGATCACCGTGAGCAGCTTGTGACGGACATTTAGATTTTTTTTAAATTTGTTATTATACCAGTATAATTTATATAAAGAAACCTCAAAACAGTCGGGTACCAGTCACATAATTTAAGATGGAAAAAAAGCCTTTGTGTAAACTGCAGAAGGCAAATGATTACACAACAAATAACCTCCAGACGTGACAGAAACTTGTTTATGTTTGCCCTTTTAATTATATCTACGTGGGTTTCGCAGCAACTCTTATTTCCATGGTATTTATGTCCATTCAGCACATACTTTATATGTGACGCTACCTGGACTTTTCAGGTTGGCAGTGGAGACAAAGGCAAATCTCTTTCAGAGCTGACAGAGCGCCAGAGAGGTGAGTAAAGTCAATCCCGACAAAAGAAGCGTGTTTTCATCCAACCCAGATAATTACTGCGTGTCTCTCCCTGTGTCTGCAGAGCAGCGCCTGCTGCCGTACATGATCACCATAGGTGACACCATCCACAACTTTGCGGACGGATTAGCAGTGGGCGCGGCCTTCTCCCTGTCCTGGAGGTCCGGCCTGTCCACGTCGCTGGCCGTCCTCTGCCATGAACTACCGCACGAGCTCGGCAAGTATCAGATTACATCATTAAAAAATGCCCGGTGCCTTTTTATATGAAGAGTTCTTTTCCTGTTTCCTGCCCCTGACACTGCGGTCATGTTTGACCCGTCTCTCTGCAGGTGATTTTGCCATTCTTCTCCACAGTGGCCTGTCTGTACGTAAGGCGTTGCTGTTAAACTTGGGGAGTGCCATGTCATCATTTATTGGCCTGTATATCGCGCTCTCTGTCGCAACTGACCTTGCAGCCAAACAGTGGATAACCGCTGTGGCAGCAGGACTCTTTCTCTATGTGGGACTTTCTGATATGGTAAGAGTTACTGTTTGATAGAAACCTGTTAACCTGGAATATTTTTTTAGCTTGGATCCAAACAGAGCGATCTGTTGACGGCCATCTTTTGTCTTTGTTTTTTTCTCCTAGCTTCCCACATTGATCCACAATAACAGCAGGAAACCGTGGCTAACGTTTCTGATTCAGAATTTTGGTCTTCTGACTGGATGGGGCGTTTTACTTCTCCTCTCACTTTACGAAGAGAAAATCACCTTCTGATATATTCCAAAAGACACCAGTGAGCCCATCTCGTTTTAGGGATTAGCAAGACAGATTTCTAGCAACGATCACACAATCTTGGCTGTCTATGAACCTTTTCTTTTGTTTGTTTTTTTTTACCATGGCCACCAGGATACGACTCTAATCTGGAGTAGAAACTGCTCCACTTCGACACGTCCAGCACCTTCACCTCCTTTTTTCTTTCCTTGAAAAATTATTTAAACGTGCTGCGACATACAAATAAGCTTCACCCCCCCCCCCAGCATAAATTGTGGGCAAAATGATAAAGTAATCCAAACATAAAACAAAACAGACTATACATACTGTATTTTTGTATTTTTCTTCAAATTTGGAAGTTGTAATGAATTGCAAATATTTAGCAGAGAGATAAAGCCCATGCGATATCATTGAGAAAACCATTAAGAAAAAAATAGTTATTTTTTCTATAAAGACAGGTGCTAGACAGGCAATACTGTTAAGTTTGTTTCCCAAAATGACCAGTTGAATGAAAAAAAAAATCTTTCCACTATGTTTATCTCTGAAAAACAAATAAACTTTGATTAAAATAAATAAAAGTGCAGAAAGATTTTTTAATTTATTTCTGTTTCAAAATTTTACTACCTAATTTTTTATAGAAATTTTTTTTTTTTAACTCAAGTTTTAGATGTATTTTTTCAAATATTTTTTTTAAAGTTCAAAACCGTGTTTTTCTGTTTTGGATTTAACTCTTTTTTTCTTTCAAACCCATTGCCCTTACTGGCGTCAGGGACAGAGTTTCTGAGGACAGGAGGGTGTCATCATGATCACAGCCAGCTGACAGGGATTCCCATTTGGGGATGTCTCCAGATTCACTCAATCTGTTGATAGTGTTATCTCCTGTATTATAGTGAGGCTGTTCCAAAACAATCCTCACCTCTCAGAGCCTCTCCAAGCTGCCTTTTCTGCTGAACCCAGATAAGTACAACTTGTCCTTCCTCCTCTCTCTTTTTAGTCCAGTTTACTTTGAGCTTGCTGGTTGTCTCTATTCCAGCCCTTTTCAGACATGTAGCTCCCACCAAACTCCAGATAAGCTCATATTTTTCCACGAAGTAGTAAAATATCTCGGTTCTTACATCTGATAATCTCTTTCTTTTACTGTGAGGAAAGGATGGGTTTGTGAGACCTGCCAATCAGTACATTCTGTTTTGATCACATTTCACAAATCAAACTTTGGTGCATTCAAGAACATTACTTGTAAGGATAAGAGAAAACATTAACCTATCAGATTCTGAATGTGGGATTTTTGTGCATCTCAGGATTTGAATTGAAGTATTTATCTCTGAGTTATATATGTTTTTTATAGACTATCTAAGCATCCCAGGACAGAGTACGATGATAACTCCCCACATACGCATGCAGATGTTTATCACCATATGTAAGATTGTGTGTCCACACCATCACTGTGTGATGTACGGGTGACATCGAGGGTGGTGACTGCACAACTTCAACTCAGACAAAATGACCCATTAAATGACAAATGGGTTTTGTGTTTAGTCCGTTTACAGACATTACATCATGCACCTGCTGATCAGGGCAAAGCCAGTGTCTCTGAAGTCAGCTACACAATGTTCCTCATGCTGCAGCAGCTTTCACTGAATGTTTTATTAGCTTTATGAACCTATTCACCTACCACGACAATAAAGCACTTCAATGGAATTACCTCTGAAACCAGACCTTTGATCTTATCGTGAATTACACTACCAAATCTATCTTTTATATCAGTGTTAGAAAGTGAAGACGCACAGGTGAGCCGTACAGTACATGGACATTTAGAACACTGAACAGTCCTGTGAGGAAGAAAAGCTATTCTCTGCAGGACTATTTGTTTAATATAAATCCCACACTCAACTCAAATTAACAAAAATTAACCTACATAAAATAACTCATACCACAAAAACAGTGTATTTCAAGACGAATTAAGTGCATCTCTGCTGCTTCTGCGGAAATCAAGGCTAGGTAGCAGTTAGGTGACGTCGTAAAATGTTATTTATTCTAAGTTTATAAGTTCAGCCCCAGGTCCGACCTTGAAGTGCTCAGAGAAACTGCAAAAAAAAAACAAACAAAGAGCTCCAGCAAAGCGCTGAGCAGGCCCCATTATCCTGGTAGCTGGTCACTTTCTTTACAGTCCAAGATGAAAGAGACTGTTACCCCAAAATAAGCTTTTGGCTTTTGGTTCAATACATGACATGGTATTTTATCAGATGACTTTTCTTATCACGAGTCAACGTGTAAAACCTTAGAACTGATAAAGAGCAGGCTCTTTTTCACATGACTGTAACCGTGACGAGTGAATGAACGAGCAAACAAAGGCGGCTGGACGAGGCATGCAGTTTGTGGGAAGTGTAAACGGTCATTATGGGACATTCGCGCTCTGTAAGAAATGAAGAGGGGATCAAAAACGAGCGTCCTCCGACAAAACACGGTGCCGGTGAAAGTCCTGATAACGCCTGAGGGTGAAGTTGTGTTTGTGTGTCTAACTGAATGACTGTTATTAAGTGGAGATAACAAGCAACGGCCGCTCACAGAAGACGTGGGCTGTCCCTGTCAGCAGTTCAGTGGTCACTTGAGTAACAGTTTATGACGACTGAGAAGAGACACCAGCATGTGACCTTCGCTATAATCATGTCGTACACTCAGATGTCCGTTGTTTTGTGAACACATTTTCCAGCTTATTCATGTTTTAGGGAGGTTTCCTCTACAGGTGGATGATGGGCCTGCGGAGGGTTTTTAATATCAGTCAAAGGGTGTCATTAAAACTAAATAATGGTTGAGTTTGTTTCAGAGCCCTGAAGGCACATTCATTCATAAATACATCTTCAGAGCAATCGAAAAGCTCAAACAACTCCATTAGTCTAAAGTTCAGTGAGTTAGCTACAACAGTACCACTTTTATTCACATGGATTATGCTTTTTCAAAGTCCAAAACAATCCCAAGATATTTCAATTTGTGGCGTGGTCTGTTTCCATATCATTTAAAAAGTTTGATAGTCGGGTTGATTCTATTATTATTAACCTGTTTCTAACACCCTGGGATCATTCTTATACTGGATGGTTTCCAAAGTAACAAACAATAGTCCTACTCACTATCAGGAGCCTTGTCTCGGGATGGTTTTGCTGATAGATGACAGGCGTTGCCATACTTTCTGTCCTCTGCGGTTTTCTAGGACTTTAAGGTCTGAACTACAGAGCTGTGACCTCCCACAACCTGCAGTTGATCCTCCAAAAGAAAAATAAATAAAGGAAGGCATTTCTCAGTAAGCGATTAGAACTAAATCTCTAATGAAATTATCAGAAAGATAAACTCTGAAACGTAAACTTCTTTCACAATTTTTATACTTTACAGGGACAAAGTGCAAAGAAAGCATCAAGTCCTGACCACATCTCATGTTATATTTCCAGTTGGGTACATCTTTAAGAGCTGGGTGTGAAAAAAAACTGCTAATTTGGTGGCAAACATATTTCCCCACTTCTCCTGAATAGTTGAAAACCCTGCCTTTCCCAGTGAGACTGTAAACATAGCACCGATCAATGCCTTTATACCTTTCCCATAAAAAGATGACCCAGCCCACCCTTGCTCCAGGTGGGGCACGTGAAATGCTCACCTGATAAAGATGTGCAATATTAAAGAGCTACTGGGTATCAGAGTTAGACTCACCTCATTGGTCGTATCATATCGATTTTTTTTTTACTGCCACAACTTACTGATTTCAGCTTCCCACCTACCACCATAAACAGATGAGGAAATTAAACCTTTATGAAACAATGACTCTGGGTTTTCCTCATTCCTCCTCCAATTATGGTCATTAGAGCAAACTGTAACACTTTTAAACAAAGTAAATTCAGTTACTCTCGAGGGATGGTGGTTCATTTCTATCTTGAAAGGATCATTTTGCATCATTTCATGGCAGCAGCAAAATGTGTTTTGCGGTTTATGGGTTTCATTTCAAACTTTGAGTGACCTCCTTAAATGACACATTCTTCTTTGTTCAAACAACTGCGAGATCAAGTCAATATTTACGTAGTTTCCCGGAGGCAAAAGTCGTGTTGGTTTAGCAGGATGGAGGGAGAAGAAGTACATCTTTGCTTTTACTTCTCTACTTTTCCTTTCGTGTGTGTAGGTTCATCTCGTCCATGGTCACAGATTTAAGTTTGACGTATCTTAACCACAAGTCCGTGTAATCGAGTTTGCAATTTTAATTTCAAACTGCTTTAAGTAATTGAGAGAACAAATTAGAAAAATATATATTTTATTAAATTAGTGTCAACATAATAAATCATTTAACAAAAAGAAAGATGTTCAGTTTTTGTTTGTTTTGGGTTTTTTTTTTTAATTGTGTGAGAAATGTGGATGTAGGTGAATTCCAATATGGCTTGACAATGGGAAAGTTCGATATGGGCAGATCAGTCATTTGAGGTGAATGATTTCCTGGGTGGCCAACCTGATGAGTTGATTGAAGTCAAACTGGATGTATTTCCTCCAGTAACGCCTGTCTTTGCCGTATGTCTGAGCAGGATAGCAAGGACTTCCTGAAACACAGGTTAGCGTTTCTTAATACTGGACCCACAGCTGATAAATCCACTTGAAGCCCTCCCTGTTACACACCAGCGAGACAAACACCAGGCACTGGTGACGTTAGATAAATTGCTTTGTTTTAGCTCTTTGCTTTATGATCCCCTGATGGTGCAATGAGCAGGGACCCCGTCCCGACTATTAAGAAGCTCATAAAAACTCTGCATTTACTGGAGCAGCTACTCTAATAACAAACTTAAGCCGTCTACTTGCTTCTTCCCTCAGCCCAGCCCCATTTTGCCATATCTCACGTACTGCAATTGACCTAACTAAAGATCTGCTGTTTCTTACTGAAACTGACCTATTTAGAACCTTTAAAGTCTAACAGAAAAGTAAAGTCAATCCATAATGTATCAAATTTAAAAAGAGGGAAAATATCAATTGTGAACAGATTAAAAAGAGAAGTCTTCACAATTGTCACAATATTAGAATAATGAATTTCAAAAATTTAGATGAGACCACTTCCATCTCACTGCATAAATCTTTTAAAAACAATTAAACACAAATAGAATGCATTCGAGCAGAATAGATTATTGGGAACAATGTAGAATGAATGAGAAAAAGAGACATTGTCATAAAAGTAATTTCCTTATGTGTGGATCAAGTCTGTAAAATCAGAGGTTACAACTGTAGGTCCCAGCCTGAACATTTCTAAAGTGGCTCTCTGATGACCTCTGGAGGACTTAAGGGTCCATTTTTAAGCCGTTTTCACTGGATATGTGTGTGTGTGTGTGTGTGGGTGTGTGTGTGTGTGTGTGTGTCCGTACCTATGCCATGAAAGATTCTAGCGACAGCTCTTCCCGAAAATTTCTCATCACTTCGGTTGGAAAGAAAACTTCTAATGTCGGCTCGGATCTGACTCTCCCAGTCGAGCAGCTACAGAAGAAACAAGCACATCCAAAATTGAGCCACGGTAGTCTCTAAAAATAATTCAAGATCAGCCATCGTGTGTGCGTGTTTCACCTTATATTTGCCAAGCTCATCGAGGTCTGCCGGTTGGAGGGTTAGACTTCTGTCTCGCCTCTTGTCAAAGTACTCAGAGAGATGGTTTTTTAGCTTTAGACTTCTACTGTCGTCCAAATCATCGACACAGGATGTGACGGTGGGGAAGGCAACACTGTGGAACAACCCCCACAAAAACACATCACACAGGTAAACTGACAGAAGATTTCTGCATAAAAGGGAAACTAAACAAAAAAGGCAAGTAAAGATTCTTAGATAGACACATACAATTGACAGAATGCTTCAATTGCATTCAGTATATTCTCGATATCATAGATGTAGTTCAGCATTAATATGAAGGAATGATCAGCCACCACTTGTTCCCTCACAGTTCACATGAAATTCACGTTTATATTTCTTAAAACTTTGCAAGAGCCATTCATTATTTTAGAATGTGACAAAAATGAATGTGTTCAGACTGATTCCGGGTTTTAACGCATTTAAAACACATTCACAAACATTATTTTTAACATGGGGGGTGAGGAGGGGGCTAACGGTACCTCTTGAAGGCTTGAAAGCAAGCGGTCAGCTGGTACAGCTGTGTCCTCTCTTGGGCCTGCACTCGCCCGTGGAGGAACTGACAAACTCTGTCCATCTCCTCATCGCTCAGATCGCCAAAGGAGCGGAAGTAGAAGGAAGGAGAGGAGAACTCAACAAGGACCCCACTTCTTCCACCAGCTGCAACATAGAAAATGAGCTCCTCAGTATTTGGACCAGAAATAATCATATCCAACAAAGTCCCAAATTTGGATTAAAAACTGGGGGCTTTCAAGTACTGAACACATAAAAGAAGAAAATTCCCAATTCATACATGAAAAAAGTTGATTTTTTTTTAACTTAAATCACTGAAAAGGGGCTCCTCTCACAGTGTTCATGTGCTGTTGAGATGACTGAGATGACTAGGACTAATCTATCACATTAGGTCTAAAAATTGAAAAAAGGAGAAAATACAGGTCTCAAGACACCTCTCTCAGTGCTCCACTGGAGTTGCCTGAGTCCTCTTTTCACAAGAGGGAGTTGCCATCCCATAGTGTCGGCGACCTCGACCACGTCAAACTCCAGTTGATCGCACCTCTCCACTCGCTCGCCCGCCATCCTCCGCCTTGCCAACACCACGGCAATCGGTGGGCAGCTGAGAGAAAGACAACATACAGCAAACCTAGAACACACACATCTGCAGATTTGGATGAAAAGTCAGACAGAACAAATGCTCTTCTCACATCTTGGTGATTTTCTGGAGTTGTTTGGGCCCATCGTAGCAGCTCACTTTACACACAGACAGGGTCGGGTGGAGGAGCTCCACAAAGCGCTGAGGGTGCAGCTCCAGGTAGCAGAGCAGTGTCTCCACACCTAAAACACACAATCATGCCAAAACGTCTTATCCTGGTGTTAAAAGCTAAGAAATCAAGCGTGGGATTATGAGCAATGCATTAAAAATAAGTCAAATATTTTCATGTTGAAATCAGTTTATACATTCTCACTCTTTGCTGGCTGTTTTAGGGCAGTGCCTCACTTTATGTTTCTGCTCACCTTCCTCTGTGATGTCCAGAGTCTCCACAGTCTCTTGGATGGGAATTGCTCTTTCGTGAGTGTGACATAGTCGCTCCTCTGGCCAATCAGCACCCTCCACTTTCTGGTCAGTCTGCCAATCAAGTCCCTCACCTTTAACTGTCACGTCCTCCTCTTTTTTCTCATAACCCTCCATGTTTTCCTTTCTTTTGCCATCCTCCTGGAATGACGGCTCAGCCGATTCAGGTTCTGAAATCTTGGCACGAAAGCAGGCTTGTTGAATCAAAAAGCGACATTTTTCAAAGTCCATCTTGAATTTAAAAATTGGCACAGAATAGGTAACACCAACGTGGAAAGGATTTGTGATAATCAAAACAGGAAAATGCTTCATATGAAATAAAACTAATATAAATATCCTCTATAGATGAGAACACAACTATAAAGGTAATTCATGAAGTCTATTAGATTGGTCTGGGTTAATCACTTTCCAATTTGCCTTCATATCTCAGTCATAGCTTCCTTTTGTAAAAAGACAGAGCTAATGTTTCCCTTCACTCACCTGTGCAGGTCTGTCAACACGTGCTTCGTCGTGTTGTGCAGAACAGTTTAATTTGCTCTCCTGATCACACACATCAATCATCTCCATCAGCTCAGAGTCTTCAACGTCCTGCACAAAAACAGATGAGTGCTTTTTACCTTTACTGGAAAGTTTCAAACAATGTGTAAGCCACAAAAACTCCACAAAAGCAGTCAGAAAGGTTACCTTCCAGATTTCTTTTTGTTTCTGGTGTATCTTCTCACATTTGCAAGCAGGGAAAACTTTCTGGACCAGTCGTTTGACTGTATAATAATCCACAGTGTCTGCATAAATATGACGACGGAGCTCATGAAGGTCTCCGCCCTTCAACCATCCACACACATACGCACACACACACACAAACAGACCAAAGGGAAATCAATTTAAATGGATTTCTTAATCATATCAGCATGGAAAACATACTGAAGCTGACATTTTTTGGTGCCTAAAAATCCAAAAGTACATTTACTATTTAGAAATCAAAACGCAGTTATTTTTTTAACAATTGTTACACCCTATATTTGGTTGCTTTTCTACATGGAAATTTCTGACCTCAGGGTTCAGGAAAAGGTGGCAGTGAGCAGGTTCTCCATCTCTCCCTGCCCTTCCAATTTCCTGGACGTAGCTCTCAAAGCTCTGAAAATACACGTGTATTTAATATTCTTTAAAGTTGGCCTGACGTAGATAAAAATCAAATCAATTGAAACATGGCACGCTGTGTTGTGGAATCACAAGATTTAAACGGAGAGACAATATCTTGCATACATATTTAGAGATGAATTAGAAAAAAATGACATTGTGAGAGCCTGAGGTAAATGAACCCACCTTTGGCATGTTGTAGTGAATGATGCCACGGACATCAGATTTATCCAGGCCCATGCCGAATGCCACGGTGGCTACCACGATTCTGAGCTCCCCACACATGAAGTTGTTCTGGACTCGTCGACGCTCGGATGCTGACAGGCCGGCGTGGTAGGACTCAGCCTGCCATTTCAGCGGTTTGCGGATCTTCTTTCGCGCTTTAAATGGAGAGTCAGAAAAAAGGATATTGTACAATTAAACTTAGAAATGAGTCAGACAAAAGATGAAAACATTAAGTGTAGCATCAGCTCTCATGTGATACAACCAAGACTATTTAAGCAAGGCAACATTCATATTTGATCCGTTTCCCAAACATGTTCATCACATTTCATATTTATATATTTATATATGTCAGAGAAAGGCAAAACCGCTTTTAGTTAAAGGAAAACACTGACCTAGGTCTTTTTTTCTCTGTCCAATAGGATTGTTTGGAATCTGGCTGTCGTTGGTATGCTTGTTCTCCTTCACCAGTACTCCCTGCAGACACGTCCGGAGCAGTGCCGCCACACGAACCGTCTCCTCTCTTCTGGTGCAGTAGACAATGATGGAGTCCAGACAACCAAAACGCTCACCTTTCAGCAAGGACACCAGAGCCTGGAAACAAAAAGCCCCAAGAGGCGTAGAGAGAAAGGAAATATCGTCATATAGATTGAGGATCCATTATTTGTGCATCCGATTTGCTTTGTGCCAGTCAAGAAACACAAACGTATCTGACCTGGTCCTTTTCCTTATCCATGGACACAGACAAATTCAGGTTTGGAGGCACAGCTGCAGATCTCACAGCAATGCCGTCTTGATCGCTGATTTCCAAATGTTGAGCGATGTCAAGTGCTGTTGACATTGTTGCAGTAGCCGTGAGTCCCAGCAGGCACCGCACTCCCAGACGCTCCCGAAGAACCTGCAAAGAAAAGCTGCAAGTGGGATTTTTGCTCCTGGGAGTCATGGACTCTTTAAACAGTTAAAGCAGATATACGTATGAACGTCAAGTCAGCTGCTAATCTGATATCTTATTAAACAAAACTATCTAAAAATGTTGAAATGTAAAAGATAATTCCAAATTATTTTTGCCTAGTCTTCCAGGCACAAATGTTGTTGAGCTCATATGTAAACCATCATTATCTCACCTTACAGAGTCTTAAGTAGCACGGTCTGAAGTTGTGTGACCACTCTGACACACAATGAGCTTCATCTATACATGCAAAGGCCACAGGGGGCAGCTCCTGAGCAGCAGGCAGACAGCCCACACCTGACCCTCCTCCACCCACCAGGGCCTCTGGAGAGAGGAGCAGCACACACACCTGACCAGACTTCACCTTTAAAAAAAAAAAAAGGAGAAAAAAAAGGGGTGGGAACAGGGTTAGTTTTTCGGTCATTTTCAAATATGCTTCAGCAAAGACAAAAAAAAAATTCAGAAAGAGCTGCTGAGATAATGAAATATATTTCTGAGAGCTTCCTGGATGATCGTTTGTTACCTTTTCTATCGCAGCTTCTCTCTGTTTCCTGCTCATATTGGAGTGGATGCAGGCAGCCTTCAGCATGACCGGCAGGCCAGACAGCTACACACAAACACATCCCAGGTGCTCAAAATGTAATCACTGCTCAGTTACAGGTATCTGCATTTCATGCAGCTACGAGAGTCAAGGTGTTTACCTGGTCGTCCATCAGAGAAACGAGAGGTGAGATGACCAAAGTGATGCATTTCGATCTCTGAGCATATAAGTAGGCTGGCAGCTGGTAACACAACGATTTACCCATTCCAGTTGACAACACGACCAGAGTAGAAAGACCTAAAGATAAAGAGTTAAACATGGGCAGACACATTTTAGACGGGCAGATATAAGATCTGACTCTGTACCTGACAGAATCCTCATAATGGCTTCTTCTTGTCCCGCTCTAAATGACTGATAGCCCAGGTCTCTCAGAGCAGCGTGGACTTCATCAGGCGTTTCTGCACACAAGCATACAGTAAATGTTACGTCTACTTCTATTTACATAGGTGTTTAGTCAGACAAATACAACTCATAGGGTTTACCCTGCACTTTCCCATCCTCTTTGAGATGATAAAGGGGTTCCATAGGTGGTGGGGGAGCGGGGCGTTCATAGTCAGGACGAATCACATTCAGTAACATCTCGTCTTCATGGACGCCACCTACATCCTTTTCTTGTGAACGTTGCTCCTCATTGACACTAGGAAACGCTGGAACACACACACACAAAGATCATTTTCCCACATGAGTCTGCTGGTAGACTGATTTATGTCATATTTTTTCCTTTAGCAGAGTAAAACATCCAGCTCATGACACTCCAACAGGCCAGGGATTCATCAAAGTCTCTAATCACTTTTCTAATGCCCAAAAGCACCGCCAAGAGGAGTAGCTGACCAGAGCCAATTCAGATTATCTTAAACATTTATCATTTTATGTATCAGTTTGGTAGTAAAAAAGAAACTGCATCCTCAAATAGCCATTTTCAAAACTCTGCCGTGTACTCTTGTCTACTCTCAATTTTATAACTGAGACAACAGCTTTTCTTTGTATGCATTTTTCTAGAATGTTAAATGATTGTTTCAAAATTGAATACATTTGTGAGAAAAGAACACGTTGCTCAAAGCTTTCCTGCTGTTGAGATGTGAAAGGATTTTAAACGAGAATGTGACTCTAATAAGGGACCACATAATGTTACCACAGTTTAAAAGAAGTGTAACTTTTTGTCATGAACACTAAGTTCAATAAATATACCCAGTGGCTGAGGTCGCAGAGTTCCTGTTGCCCTGGCAACATCCTCCAGGGTGGGTAGTTCAAATGGCTCCTCCTCAGCAGGCTGATCATCAGCGACAGGAGGTGGAGGAGCTACAAAGCCACAACAAAAAGAAAATAATTCACTACCTTAGTTGCTAAACTATGTTCACATGGCAGACAGAAAGGATGCAGGATAAGAAAAGCATTCCCCCCGAACTTCTGAGAAATGTGCACCCATTTTCTCTAAAAGAAATTGGTACGTTTGCAGATCCGTCACCTCGGCCCTTGCAGTCGATGGCCCAGTGTCCAGTCCCTCCACACTTGTAGCACGTGTCTCCTTGGCGACTGATTCCCCCCCTGAAGCCCCCCCTGAAGCCCCCCCTCCGTCCTCTGCCAAAATATCCACCACCTCCACCGAAGCGCTCTCCTTTCAGCTGAAACTTCTGCATGTGCATCTGAAAGGCACCGAAGATTTATGACAATGAGGAGTGTTCAAAAGTCACAAACAATTCTGCATCCATCTGTTTTCATGCCATTTTTTCTAAATAAATTGCATTACTAATAAAAGTTTTTAAAGTTCTGTGCATAAGTTTTAGGGACAATTATTAAGAAATAGTTTCCCTATTTATTCATTTTTTTAAATAAACTGACTCAACAATAGTAGTTTGTGTCCAAAGCAAAAGTTACGTTAACTTCTAATGTGGGATAAGGTGTGGGTTCACATGACAACACACACAGAACTTACCTGTTTGCGTAAAGCAATCCCTCTCAGCGCATATCCTTTGACATGAGACTTCCTCTTCAGATTTATCTTCACAAAATTACCCTCTGCACCCCTATTTTTTTTACCAGAACAAAACAAATATTAAGTTACACGGTCTAAAAACAGACATATTTTTAATACCACCTCAGCACGTCTTACCTGGCTCTGACAGGATTCACCCTCCTCATCCGAGTAGCTCCAAATTCCTCCTCTAATTCTCCAAACAGGTTCTCTTGCGGAGCCTTAACATTGGATCACACTTATTACTTTACACCTAAAACAGTCTACAGTACTGTACAACCTGAGAAATAAAGCAGATTTCCACTGACCTTTTTAGGTACTTTGCTGTCATTTGTTTGTTCAGCTTCTTCATCACTTGCTTTTTTCTTGCCCCTTTTTTTCTTCTGTCCTCTTCCATCGGGGGACTCTGGCTTTTCAACAGAGCTCTCCTCTTTCTTTTTACCATTCCGCCGCCTCTTTTTTGCCCCTCCTTCTTCCGTAATATCTCCTTCTGTTTGACCCTCTTCTCTCTCCCTCTTCTTCCCTCTCTTCCTGGTACCTTTGGATACTGATTTGACTTCATTGCCACCGTCAGGTGTCACAACCGGCATTGTGTCTATTTCCTCCTCATCCTTTCTTTTATTCGTTCCTTTCCGCATGTGCTTTGGAGATGATTTTGGTGCATTTCCACTCATAACCTCCTCCTTTGTGACACAAACTAATCCTTCTTCTCCTCCGTGGTCTACAGGGACATTTTGTTCCCCCTCTAGATTTTTGTCTTCCTTTTCTGCTCTTTGAACGCTTTCTATTTTTTCTCTTTCTTTTTGCTCCACTCTTACTTCCTGATTACCTGCTACAGGCTGTTCCTCCGCTGCCATTTCTCCAAACACCTGACACCTCTCTAGCCACTTTATGTCTACACAGCTCAGCCTTCTGGCAGGAGAGGGCCTTCCAGCCGGCCCCCCTCCAAACCCTACAAAAGACGGTCGGTTACCTTTGAAGCCAGTTACAGATACACCATCAGTGTTCTCAAGGGCAGTTTTTAATGAGTCAGAAGCTGAAGCTCTGGGACTTTCTGTTGAACTTCTGACATTACGTTGAGGAGATAAAGATGACAAGAGGACCGAGGGTCTGTCTGAAGGGGAGGGTAAAGGAGTAGGGTTGAACTGAGCGCTATCGGTGCTGTTTGTAGTTGTGCTGCAGCTAGAAACAGCTTCTGCAGGCTCAGGTTCCAGTGGTTTAAACTGCTCCTCGGGCTCCTCTGGATGAAGTGTCCTCACAGACGGTGACGCAGAGCCCAGATTAATGCTAGAACAAAAAGAACAACATTGACAGAGATTATCGATCATTCCCACTCTTCCCAAGTTTAAGTTGCCATTTGCTGTTAAACTAGAACTGGAGGGCTCCAAAGTTAACTTATATAAAATACAAACAGATATAAGATAAAGATTTTGAGATGTTGCACAAGGGTTATTAAGCGTGAGATTTATTCTGCAACACTGCGCTACAGGTTTACAGCTCAGTTAATATTTAAATGTTTAACTGACCTGCAGGTTATATTTACACCAAAGTAGCCAATATTTGCCAGCATAAATGCTCTATCGCTAATCCCGCCCTCAAAAAAGCAGAGATGAAATGGGAAAAAACAGGAAAAACAAACATGCATGTTTTTTGGACAGTGGGAGGAAGCCATAGTACCTGGAGGGACCACACATTTACATAGGTAGAATATACTAACTCCACACAGAAACGCCCCCGGACGGGGACAGTACCAACTACCACAGAACCCCAAACAATGGAGAATGTATCCTTTTATTTACCCTGGGGGGAACTGGGTTGATTCCTGGTCAACATTCCGGGCCTTGGCAGGTGTTTCAGCAGAATGTGTCTTGTTTGTCGGTACAGTTTTTTCATCTTTCAGCGAGTTTGGAGGTGGTCGACCATAAGATCTCTTCAGCGAGACAGGTCTGTCCTTTGAGAACAAACATATTAAGTCATTATTTCTGTATTCGGTTGTATGGGTCCTTTTCTTGTTCCTCTATGCTGTCTGAAATCAGCGTTTTTTATGGATCCTTACTTTGCCCAGTGAGGCCAGGTTGTTTTTAAGCTTTAACGCGTAATGTTGGGAAGATGCAATCAGATCATCTCTCTCCTGGGACGTCAGTCTGGGAGCAGGAACGGGCATCGCTTTGCGATTTAGATGGGCACCCCAACAACCCGAGTCCTAAATCAACACAAAGCCAACAGGTAACAAACGATTAAACTAAAGATTAGGCAGTGGCAGAGAATGACAAAAATAAGGGAATCTACAGAGCGCACACATGCACACACAGTAACAAACTGTCTTCAGGACCTTATTGGTTGTGTGGGGATCGGCTGGGGCCTGAATTTGGCTGCTGTTCTCTTTGGCCTGTTTCAAACCGCGGTACTCCTTATACAGCTCTGCAAAGTAAGCACACAAAGCATGTTTCTTTTTTACCTAAACCACGCTGCTTGTCCATCAACATTACAAACTGTATGTACTTACTCCTAGTCTCTTCCGGAGCCTGATCAATGTCCTCCTGGAAATGACAAAGTTTGAATTCAATTTTAGGAAAGGCTGATCAATGTGAGAGCAACACTGTATGCATATGAACGCAGTCTTATTGTATCACAAGATGCAAAGCATCCTGTTCTGTTATTGAGAGCAGTTTGTTATATTTGTTTGTAACTACGTAACATTTAAATCACCTTGTTGGGTTTCCTCTGGTGCTGGTTGACAAACCCCTGCTCCCACCTTTTCAGCAGAAGTTTTACCTCGTTGCAGCGATCCATGGTGACCACAGGCTTTCTAAAATTACACCTTTAACCTAATAGACTCGGCTACTTGATTTTCCAGCAACAAAACATAATTTTGGTCAGTCGGGCAAACAAAACTTGACTTTACTCATCGTTTTTCTTAAAGAAGCAATGGCTTAAATTCTTCAATTCTTCTTCGTCTTGAGAAATATCTATTTGCTACAAATTGCAAAAGTAAAACAGGTTACGATTGTTGGGCATTGCTCTGAACTCAAAAGCTACAGCGGAAGTACTGAGTGTCGTTTATGATTTTCCCGCCCCGGAACATGACAGCCTGTGTTGCCAGGTTCGTTCCCACATCCCCCATATCTTCCTATATGCTAAGTTCTACAAAACACGGCTATATGAGTTTTAATTCTCCATTTGTTTCCAAGTATTCTATTAAATAAATGTAATAATATATGCCTAATACATTTGTATTGAAATATAGAGGTTACAGTGTTTTTTAACATGTTTTTTTTCGTGACAACCTTAAAACAACAGCGGTACTGTGCGGTTCTACAAGGCCAACCTGCAGGGTTGTACTAGTTTACAACGGATGGATGGATAAAAGAAAGGAACTTTGCAAAAACAAAAACATGCCAAATATTAGTACTATATATATACTAACAGTATATATATAAATATATTCAAATGAAGAGACCTGGTTATTGCAAGAGGGTCGTTTCTGGTTCAGCCCAGCCGGTTCTGGAGTCATACTTACAGAAATTTGAAATAGAAAATTTGCATTATCAGTTTTACTGCAGAAGGATTCTTTTTTCATTTAAGCCTACATGTTTAATCACTTAAATTAACCTGAGGTATATTTTCAGCTAACCTAGTTATAAACTAGGTTTATAATTATAAATCAAATATCCTGGCAATAAGGGATATACAATCAGCAGATGAAAACAACAGCAGAGGTATTACATTTTATTTACAGATAACTTTTGACCATTAATCAAACAGAACAACACAGACTAACAAAGAAAAACTCTTTATTGTTAGAGGTGTGTAGAAAATTTTCAACTCTGGAAGGTAAATTGTACTAAAATGATTATGGCTTTGATAGTGAGGATGGACATCATTCTCTGAATGAGACATCTGTTTATTCCAGCTGTGAAACTTCGTGGAAGTACGCCCCCAGCATCTTGACTCCCTGGATGTAGTTTGATCTGAAAATTGAAACAAAACAAGACTTTCTCACAAAAATCTTTTAAAATAATCAAATATATACTTAAATTAGACTGACAAACACAACCATATTGTGATTTTATTGTCAGCAACTTCAACTTTCCACTGTTTGTTTCATGTTTGTTTATTCATATATTTGAATAGAAGAACAAACCTGTTGATCTTTTCATTCTGGGAGTGGGCTCCATCATCAGAGGAGCCTACAGGGAGCAGCATAACATTTCGGCCTGTGGCCTCCTGGAAGGTGAGGGTGACGGGAATACTACCTCCCTCACGAGTCAGGTCAGGCTCAACACCAAATACTACAGCACACAGAGACAGTGGGGAGCAAATGACAGATTTGGTAACATTAAACAAAAACACCCAAATTCCTGGACAGTTTTAAAATGTTCTTCCCTCGCAGAAATATCTGGTGAGCTTTTGTTCGCCTCAGTTTTCAATTATTTGAACGACAGTATGTTTTTGTTTTTTTGGAGAATCGTGTTTATAGTTCTTATAATACATATTTAGAGACCATTTAGAAAACGGATGCTGCAGTCTGAAAACATCACTGGGCCTCTGTACCTGTCTTCATGGCATTTCGACCCGCCATGTAGTGAGGGTGGTTGAAGTCAGACACCCAGGCCTTGGCCCCATGACCTGACTCCACTTTCAGTTTGTTGGGACTCCCCAGTTCAGCAAACTTCTTCTGCACATGGTCAATCACCTTAAAAAAATAAAAGCAAATTGTAAGTGGAGGATATGAGTTTGTTTTAAGTGCTTCTGTTTCTATATTTAGCAGACGCTTTTGTCCAAAGCGACTTACAACACACACACCACACACACATCAAGTTAGGGGGAAAAAAGCCAGCAACAGACTGAAAGTGGGGTTTCTTATGGATGAATCTAGCTCCAAACTGCATTCCGGTATATCAGTGAAGACAAGGAATAAATCATCCATTTTCATAATTCACACTGAAACCATAAACAACTGTAACACTTCGGTGTTTACCTGCTTCTCCACAACTTTGGGGTCCATGTCAGGGACGAGGCGGATGGAGAACTTGCCAATGACCTTACGTGGGATAACAGTCTTTGCTCCCGCTTCTGAGAAGGCTCCCTCGATACCATGAAGAGACAGAGATGGGTACCTCCAGCGGTGCATTAGAATTTGCTCCTACAGTGTAAAAACAGCAACCTAAGGTAAGTGTACCACATATTTTCACCGGTGGGCAATCCCAGCGTGCAGACATTATTTCCTTGCCTTGGTTTCGTGCATCAGAGTCTTAACTCCTACATCTTTGCAGTACTCGTCCAGGTCAAAATCAATCTTTTCATACAGTTTTTTCTCTTCATCTGTCAGAGGGGCTACAGCGTCGGATAACCCAGGAACTAAAATCTTCCCCTTGGTGCTAACCAGGGAGCCTGTGGAGAACAACATCCTAAACTTAAAACTCCAAACAAAACAAAGAAATTACCTAAGTCTGGATTTAAATGGGCTACATTCACTACAGGTGAATTATCAGCTTGACTTGCCCATGAGCGCGATGAGGTCAGTCATGGCCTCGTGAACAGAGCCACCAAACACGCCAGAGTGTAGGTCCTTTTCACAGCACTCCACCTTAAAAGTATGACATCATTTCAACATGTTAACTCCAGACACACATCTATAAAAAGCTTCCGTTCATTGGTGGCGATATGCAACGTAGTTAAAAAGAAGTCTGGGTAAGTTTAAACCACACTCCTCACTCCCAGAATAAGAGCTACAGTAGGACTCTACCTGGAGGTAAAAGTAGCAGATTCCTCTCAGACCGTAGGTGATGCAGGGTTTGGTCTTGCCCAACCAGTAGTTGTCAGAGATGCAGACGTAGTCCACATCTTTGAAGAAGGAGTCTTTTCGTGCAAACACCAGGTCATCCAGACCCTCAGATCCAGATTCTTCCATCCCCTCAAAGCAGAATTTGATGTTGATGGGAAGGTCCTGCAAAATGAAGGCAAGGATGAACACTTTCTGGTGTGGAAACAACACAGTACTACGTCACAACGAATATATTTGGTATTATCTTGTGAGTATTTAGTGTTTTCTGTTCAGCTTCACCTTAAGGTGAATCAAACCAAGGCAAAGGGAACAAGCCTAGGTTTAATCATTAAACAATGCCTGGTTAAGATATGTAGTGGCATGCTGTCATACTTGGGAAACCTTTGACCAGGGTAAACGTAAGTGATCAACAAGCAAAGAGCAGTGTCCTTTAACACAGAGATAATCTATTTCTCAAAGTGGTCCATAATCGCCTTGAGATGTTCCTTTTACAACAGTAGCCACGCCAATATCTGATTACTTTTGATAAATGAATTGTAGGTTTGTGGACAGCTCAAGATCATCAGGAACATCTCAACATGAAAGTTGTGTTTGTGACTAAACGGTGTTTAATGGTGGCGAAACATATACCTGCTGAATCTTCTGATAGGCCTCAATGCAGTTAAACCAGGCCAACACTGGACCCTTGTCATCAGTGGATCCTCTTCCATAAAGCTTACCTATAAAGAGAAAACATTATTGTACACAATACTTCCAACATATTATTTTGCTATTTGAATTTAAAGATTTAATAAGTGCGGTTTAGATTTGATCATGGTGCCACCATAATCGATTAAGACCTTTTGTCTAGCTTAAATGCAGTTTTCCTACTGGGACTGACAAAATATAATGTAAGATAGAGAGCAAATTGGAATGAAGACAAGACGGAGGCTAATCTGAACAACGCTGACCAGGCAGGAACAAGTCAGGAGGAAGTACGCACTGTTTCTATCAGCTGACTGTCACATGCAAAGAACCTGCTTAAACGAATAAAAAGAGATACATCAACAAATGAAAAAATAAAAAGGAAGTAGAGAGCTGTTCCACATCCTACAGGCTACAAACCCTGATGTCATCAGTAACAAACGGAGTACCAGGCTAAAGGTGACATAAATGACTATCAATGTGGCCTTCTACATGTATCCACTTGATCCAAACTATCATGATTTAGGTTTAAAAACTATGCTAAATATCTTTAAACAACATCTGCCACGACGTAGTTCATTCAATTAAACGCCTCACTGAAGTGGAAGTCCTGCTGGCTCTGAAAATGGTTTGACTTGACTGAGAAGTTTGTGAGTCTCAGTCTAAAACCTAGACGGCTGAACTGGAAATATGCATCAAGCAGAGACATGATCCCAAGAGAAAGATATGATAAAAGCTTGAAGATCACATAAATATAAAGTTAAGTTTGTTATTGTATGATAAAATAACCCTTTAAGATGTGATCTAAGAAGGAAAATCTATACATTTGTAGTATAACATATTGAAATTGTAGCTTATTGCAGCATTGTTGTATCTTGATTGCATCATTAACACATTCTTTTTTAGACTTTATTTTTGGAAACATTGTCATGACTCATTTATTTCAGGCAGACAGGATATTGTACATTTGCCAAGTCCAACAAAGACGTTTTGTAACCATCACAACTGTAACTAAAGTCTTAAAATGTGTTATGTTGCTTCTAGTCTTACGTCTCCAGACAGCTTTTAAGACTACTCAGGAGCTTCTATAAAGAGATTTAGTTTCTGAGCCATCAGACCTGCAGATTCTGTTACTCAACAATGTCAAATCGAAAGGAAAAGTGTTCCCTACCATCTTTCTCCACCAAAGTGAAAGGCTCTGTGTCCCAGCCATCATCGATGTTTGCCGGCTGCACATCGAGGTGACCGTAAATACAAACTGTCTTCTTAGAGGGGTCTGACCCTAAATGACCCAAGATGATAGGAGGTAGGGGGATCTCCTCTCCAGAGGGAAGCTGCAAATAAATAAAAATCGCTTCAGATAACGTTAGGGGGGAGCAGAGGTGCAAAACAAAGTGGCTGACTTACCTTCTGTTTGCCCACATCCACCAACTCCACTGTCCCTCCCAGTCTCTCAATGTCTTTAGCGGCCATCTCCATCATCTTCTTAATCTCCCCACGCTTCTCAGGCCAAGCAGACACACTCTGGACGCCCACCCATTCAGCAAGGCGCTGAAGAGAAAGAATTCACTTATTTTCATACAGCAATCGCAACCCATCCCAAGATAATGAGGAGCGGTCAGCCACTTTTGGAGTGTTTAGCTTCAGAAAGGTCATCAGTGAAGACGTCACTGAACTGGCGTTACCTTTATGACATTTGGCACACCTGAAAGTGAATGAGTTGCACTACCATCTTGTTAAGTTAAAAAACACATTTAGGTTCAATTCAACCACCACACCAGCGCCATTTCCTACAGACTACATCATCTCATACCTGCACATATAGGTCCTGGTGTTCATCCACATATTTGAAAAGCTTTGCGAGATGAGCCATGTTTTTTCCCCGGTGACAGGAGCTGAGGGTTTAAAGGGTAGAATGGTGTGAGAATACTTTGAGCCCTGTGTTGTCTTATATGAGGACAAAAAACACACCCTCTAACAAAGCTGCTGACGGCTGCTGTTTCTGTACCTCGTCTGTCATGAAGAGTGGTCAGAGTGCAAGGCTTTGAATGTTGCAAGTCAAGATGTTGCTTTGATTCTACTTTGAGCTATTTGCTAATGTATTGTATATGATTGAGAAAATGTCAGAAAATAAATATAAAGGAAGGTACATCACGAATCACAACTGAAGAATAGCAGTTATCAGCAACATGTTTGGGGTGTACTTTCAGCTGATGAATATGAAATCAAGTCTTTATAGTCTCAGAAAAACCTGCATTTACATGTACTTCTGCTACAAGCAATCATGTAGGTTTGGTCTTGTGTCTGCCTATATTTTACATATATTTGTAACTACATTCAGACTTTGAGCTCACATACTACCAGTTCTAGAATTTGGTACAATGCCAGAGTAAAATTCAAACTTTCAACAGTGAACTAGTACTGACAGTGAACACTGTGCCGAAATACAATGCTTTCGTTTTGCCTGTTGGGCGTATGCCCCTGAGCAGTTAGGCTAGCAAAGTATACAAAGTCATGAAGCAGTCATGTTGCTGTAATAGCTGCCCGGCGAGGAGAACGGGCAACAAAAAAATAAATAATTCTTGACACGTAGTTGCTGATTCATGAGGGGAAAAAGTGTACAAGTGTATTACCTCTTCTGCTAATTTGCTTTGTTTGGTGTTTATTCCAGCCCAGCTAATGGCCACATGTGACTCCTCTCACCTGACAGACACTTCCTGTGCTTCCTCAGACGGACAAAAACGTCGGGTTTAGCTGAAACGTAGCAATCTGTGCAGAGCAGCCACACTGAGTTGTGCACCGGTGTTGTGCCAGCTTCCGTGGCGCAAAGGATTGTGGGTATAGCTGCCTTGTCACGCTAAACAATATGATGGAGCACAGACTCTTAAAGGGGAGACTTTCGCTATTATGAACTTTTAAATGGGATTTCTAAATACGTAATTCAGTGTTGGATATTGTCTTTTGGGTCGTCCCTCACATCCATGACATGTATTGTACAATTTAACTCAATTTCTTATTAAAATAAGAATTATATATATATAAATTGAAATATAAAAATATAAAACCAGTAGCAATCCGAAAAGTTGAAAAGAAAATTGGGTTTTCTATAAATGACAGTAAAGGAGCTTTGATGGTATATGTATAAAAAGTTTTTTCTTCAAATTAAAAGTAAACATTGTTCATTATTTAACATTATGTGTATTTCAGTCTGTAAACAGAGCTTTTCTGTTTACAGATAAAGTCTGTAAATGTAGGTTGTAGTTTCTTTTCTTTGCTTAAAAAAACAGTTCCATTAGGTTTTTGTCCTTTTTTCCCCCCATAACAGGTAGTTGTCCTATAGATCTGTTACTTTCTTACAAAATTACTTTTGAAATTATTCCTTAGAGATCAGGGAAGGGCATACGTAAAGGGTATATATATATTTTTTTTAAAGAAATGGTCATTTATGGAGAAACCTTTGTACAAATACATGTAGTTTCTTAAGCTTACACACTTACCTGGTGTTGCATAAATTAAGACTATACCTTTTAATATGTGAGAGTGTGTGTTTCAGAGCAGTCTTGAAATGTTACTTGATAGATGAAAATGATCCATAATGATCCTCTCCCCAAATATTTGTTTCAGCATGGAATGCATAGTTTATTTCCCATTACACAGAATGAAAATAAATCTCCTTGTTTTCACATATTCTAACATTTCATCTTCTCAAACATTTTCCATAAACAGATCATTGGTATTCCATGTGCATCAATTCAGTTCTTATCGCGAGTGTAAGCAAAGCCCCCTGAAGTTGTCAAGAAACAAGTCACAGTCCATTTCAATTTACTCAGGATTATGTGGTGTAATTTTAAAACTTTCCAGTAATTGTTCAATGTCATTTACATCCAGTAGGTGTTGGGGTGAAAGTCCTCAGATGGCCTAGAATGAAAGAAAGAAAAAACTATTAGGTTATTCATCCAACACATGAAAACATTTTAAGGTTTGGAAACTCAATGTTCCATCAAAGCACTGCTCTTTGCATGTCTTTTCAGATGGAAAACAAACTTCTGCAGAACACATGAAATAGATCTATAGGGAGACACCACATTTGTCATCAAGGGGAAGAAAAACTAAGTGCCCCAACATTCTGTTGCACATTTACTTTAGGCAGAGTCTACAGAGCAACTGGGCTTCAGGGTTTGACTATTTTTCCTGTCAATATTAACTCACTTCTTCATTCAGGTACAGGTTGGTCTTTTGATCCATAAACTGGAAGGCATTCACAATAAAGCGTTTCCGATGGCGACTATTGGGATGGTCAATGACATTAAGAATGGAAACATTTGGATCGTTTGGATTTGCACACCTACAGAAACAAAAACGCACAGTTAAGAGTGACCCTTAAATAACCAAGTCATCACCTCAGACTGCATGCATACCCTTCATAAATGAGGACCACTGCACTCTTTGCAGAACGAGGGTAGGCCAAGCAGTAGTTAACTAGAATTACTGCATCTGGTTTATCAGACTTCAGACTCAATTCCAGATAGACAGGCTGGCCAAGGAGAAGCCGCAAGGGCTGGTGGTAAGAGGGAAAGTAACTTGAATATGTGTGATCTGTCGGAAAGAAAGAAAAACAGACTGAAGCAGTTTGTGTACAATCTTACTTAAGCCAAACTAACAATGTGTTCAATACACTGTACATTTTGAGAAAGTAAAAACACTTGACCTTTAGCTATTTTTAACTCTATGCCATAAGAGTCACTGGAGGTGATTGATGATGGCAAACTGGAAGCTGAGGTCTTGACCATGTAGCTGACACTGGCCGCTGAATCCTGAGGAATGCCATTTTTACTATAGTGACACTCAACCAAGAACCTAGAGAAGGTAGATAATGCTTAAAAGATTTTAATTTCATGCAGTAATTTCAACAACTTTTCGTAGCGCCAACACAAACCTGAGAGGATCACTTCGTGTAATTATGCCATACTTGAGGTTCAGAGCTTTGGCAATGGTGTGGACTTCAATCAGGTAAATCTTTGAGTCACCGATGTCCTGCAAAGAAATATGCCATTCCCCTCAGGTAAATGCATTTATTTCTAAATCCACAAAACCCATTATGGACCAATAAATATTATGTCAATGTGCTAAACTTAAAGTCTCCAATAGTACATTACTGTGCATGCAACTTACATAAGAAAGCGCTCCACAACTGCTACGGTCAATCTTAAAGATGGCAACCTCATCATTAACGATGACTGGTTTACATTGTGGTCTGCTAGGAATAGCAAGTTGTTTGGGGTCCACGGGGATGGAAGCAGAATTGTGACGAATAGCAAAAACAAAGTGTCCATCCGCTGTACATTCTTAAATGGATGGGATGTAAAACAGAAACGAAAGAAAATGCATTCATTTCCCATCAAAATAAAACTCAGGGTGTTTTTCTTTCCCAAAAAAAACATCTGCAAAGTTTTACCATCCAGTGGGTAGTAGCAAGCTTGTTTGGACAAATCCATGCAGCATCCTCTCTTCTCACAATCTGAGGCCGAGACGTTAGAGTCACCACACGAAACCTGCTCTCCAACATGGACAGCACAGTCTGAAGGAGAAAAAGATAGATTTCCAGCTTTTCAGTGTATAATCAGAACACCCGTGGCTCATTTGCTGCACACAGCCGACACTCACTGTGCGCCGTTGGTGGTTTGGATGGCGGTGCGGTGGTTCTCTGAAGGCATTTTGCTGGTTCGGCTGCAGCCGGCTTGGCAGTTTTGACCGATCCAGCTGGTTGGGGACTACACCTTGTGGGCTCAGCAGTGGGTAGCAGAGAATTGGCCAATTTATTGCACTTTGAACGTTTACTATAGGCACGAGGGAACAGCCCCAAATTAAACTTTGTGCTCTCCACACAAAATGCAACGAGCTCCTGGGTCCGACTTGAGATGGTGATGGACAGGTGCAGACTATAAAGCTAAAGTTTGGTTAAAGATATACGAGATAGTACAGTCATATGTTTCACACACATCTATCCAGACAAATTGGTTTTCAAGTAACCTACATCTTCCACATGCTCCCTCACATTGCAGCCAGTGAAAGGAACAGTCACGGTATTGTCCAGGTGATTCATGCGATAGCCACACTTCTTCGGAGCATTTTTTAAGGAAACGTTCTTTAAACCTGGTAGAGAAATGAGCAGCTTAAAACATAAAATATGCCAACATGTAAGAGCAAGGGGATTTTTAAAGAACTATTCAGAGAAAAACATCATACCTACAACCTGAATCTCCTGTGACAGGCCTGATAGCAGGGATATTTGGAAGCCATCTTCACTACAAACAACATGCAGCCCACCATAACTCGAACTGGTACAGACAGTCCAACTCCTTGAAGGAGCATCAACGAACTCCATACGGAATGCAGGTTCTGCACCATTAGGCTGATTGTTTAAAGCAGAATCCAATTCACTCATCTCGTCATTGAACGGGTCATATGTTCCATTGGTTACGACGCCTTCAACTTCCAGGAACGCTTCCTCTGGGTAAGTGTCATTCATCCCCATTTCATCTCCGTCAGGAATACCGTCTCCATAAATGTAATAGTAAGCGTGGTCGTCTGGAGGAGAGCAGTCGTCGTAACCACCTGTCGTTAACAGTCCAAAAATCTTGTGCATGCGTAAAAGTTTTACCTGCAAGCGCACCTTCGGCTTCGTCAGGAAATCCATCCTCATAGCTGTAGTCGTCATAGTCAACGTAGCCATCTAGAGAGGAGGGGCAGTTGTTACCCAGTGCCATTGTTAAAAAGACTCAAAATCTGGAACCCCAGACACACTCAAGCAGCAGTGATACCTTCAGCTTCCTCCAGCACATCCTCAGATTTGTCAGTGGTGGAGACCCTTTCAGTTGGCACAGGAATTTCATCTTTGTAGTCATCATAGTCAAAGACTTCATCTGCAGGAGATGGATTTTTTTTTAGAAGAGCCGCTTGTTGTAGTTTTAAGCATTTAGTTGACGGACTGTTCAAAACATTTGTCCATTAGAGAAGATGTGGGTTTCTGCAACTCTTTCACACATTTGAGGATTAGACAATTTGAAATTTAGGAAAACCAGTTCATTATGCAAACTTAAGATTCTCAGGGTACCAAGTGCCTCCTCTTTTCAGAAGCCTTCTGCACACATTTTTAACTAGAGAAAATAAAAATGTGCAGATGCCTTAACGTGTTGGTTTGTGATTGAATTCCTGAAAGAAATGCAACTCTGACAACTATCTGACACTGTCCAACACTTGAACAGTATTTCTCTTTTGCATACCATTTTTAAAAAGTCAGTCCTACAACTCCTTGACAAAGATTATGCTTCTCTTTTTTTTTTTTTTTTTTTAAACTGTTGTGACTTTGAGTAAAACGAAAACGTTTAATTATTTGTCACTGCAACATGACAGTGAACTTGGGAACACCCAGCACCTGCCCACATAATGGCGGTAACTCTGTGACACTACTTGCCTGTCGTTTCGTTGAGGGGGTCGCTCCACTGGCCGGTCTCGTAGAACCTGAGGAGCTGCTTTTCGTTGATGCGCTCCCATCCCCGACCCGACACCAGCAGCAGAGTCCCGGTTAGGGCCACCAGCAGCCCGAGAAGGTGCCAAGCCATGGATTCAAGAGCGAGTACAGACGCAGTACAGAGGCAGCTTCCCGCTCTGATTTCAGGCTGATTAGTAATTAATTGCACCTGCGGCTGCCAATTTATCGCTTAAACGTTCATCCGACTACACAAATACAACAGACGCGGAAGTTTGTGTTGTTGTTCTGACCGTGTTGTGAAATGTTTAGTCATTTTTCAAATATTTCCTTAAAAACATTTTTTAAAAGAGGCTACATACTACTTAAAACAGAGTCTGGTATATTTCGTCATGGAAAACTAATGTTTCCCCTTCCATGTACTTTAATATGTCGGGGTGAAATACAATATCCTGTCATATTAAAACATAAATAACCTAAACCAGCACCAAAAAAGAAAAATAAATGTACTCTCACAGGCCCTTTTTGCATTTTAAAAGTGAACAACTCCACGATGTGCCTCAGACTGCATTTGAGTAGATTTAAGTTATTTAAGAAGACTTGATTTCTTGTACATTAACAATTGAAAGTTTGGATACACACAAACATTCAAAATAATCATTAGACAGAAAAAATACATGGGTAAGATAGTGAATTTCTTGCCACCTTTCCTGCAGTAAAAACCGCTATATTTTTGGTTTTCAAGTTCACAAACAACCATTTTTCCACTGCAACCTTTAATGACTTTTAACAGCTTGTTTAATTTATAACACAAAAAATCTTCACTCCTTGATCTTGTTAGGTGGCCATAAAGAAAAAAGGATGTTTCAAGCTGCCATGCAAAATCACTTGTAGGAATTTGCTTTGTGCTTGGGTAAAAAGTTGAAGTTCTTCGGAACAGGTCCAAGCAGCATTTCACTGAAGAGATAAAATGAGAGATGTATTCATGAAATGCAGTTATTTAGATATCAGTTTAATTCAAAAACTGAATCGGGCATACTTATTGTTTTCTGCTCACCTTATCCTCACCCAGTCCCCCACGTTCTGACTGGCCATTAGTGATTCCAGGTAGTTTCTGCCCATGTAATATGGAGGTCTCTCATTGATCTTCTGAGGCACCCTCTCTAACAGCCCCACTGGAATATATCTAGCACAAAAACAGAGGAAAAGAACAAAGTTTCATACGTTTCTTGTCTTCTTCTTCAGTATCTACGCTATCATTTCTTGTTTAAAAAGCATGAGGATGCCATGAGACAACTTTAGTTCTCACAATACATGAGTACATTAAAGATAATCTCAGTCTTTTGAAGAGGATGATGCTGCCCACCTGCACATGAAGGACAGCCACTCCAGCATGAAGGTGCGGGTTTTCTCCACACCTCGAGTGTCGGAGCCCCAGTGCTCCAGGCCAAAGTTGGTGAAATCCTTGAGGATGTCGAGTCGCTCAGTGGAGGAGATGTCCCAGTGTCTGCTCTCCTTTATCTCTGTAAATATCCAGGGCTTGATCAGAGCACCCCTAGAGAAAAGGGATGCTGTTATCAGACTGTTTGAAAGAGATAATAGGAAAGGATGTGTGGTTTGGTTGGTCAGGTCAATAAAAGGCAGTTTTTGTTTATTTTTTGTTAGCCAGGTGAGACTAATGTGATGCAGTGGCACCAAGTTAATATATAGACTTTATGATATTTTGTCATGAGATGCTCTGATGAGCATTTCTTTGCTGTGTATAAACAATTCCAACCTTGCTATCATGATGCCTGAAACACCGGTCTCTCTTGCTTTCATGGCATCTTCATAGGATAGAATGTCTCCATTTCCTGCACCCCAAAAAAGCCACTTTAGCTTAACACATCTTAAAGCAATAAATTATTCACAGCAACCTCTGAATGATTCTACAACATTGAAACCTCCATGTTCTTTGTCCCTTTTACTTAAATCATCTGCATTCTGTGTGGCTGCTGTTTTAACCAACACACCTACCAAACAGCGGCACAGGATTTGCTAGCTTAGCACATGTGTTGATATAGTCCCAGTCTGCTAACTTTGTGTAGCGCTGCTCCCTGGACCTCCCATGGAGCTGCAACAGAACCAAGAGGATTGATACACACAGAAAAACCACACGCACGCACACACACACACACACACACACACACACACGATAGCAGAGTCTAAATAGATATAGAAATGATGGTCCCTATAAAAGAATCCCAGTGTTGAATTATGAGCATGGGCAGTCAATCTGCAAGAAGGGATAATCACCTTAGGTTAACAGGGTCTTCTTAAGTATGTTTAAATTCACATCAAACAGCAGACTAAGTGTATTTCATATTTTTCACTAAAACAATAAAACACTTAAACAAACAGCTCCTTATTTGTGTTTCTGCTTGATGTAATGCTTACAGTGATCATGGAGACACCCCAATTCTTCATCTCTGGGATGAGTTTATGTGCTACGTTAGACTTTTCCTGAACGCCAGTCCGGATCTTGACCGTTAAAGGAACATCAAGGACCTTGACAAAAACAAAAAACAAAGACAAAAATAGTATTTTTCACTCAGCTGTTTACTATACATGTGACCCCCCTTAGACAACCCATTCTTATAAAGTTGGCTTAGCTGCAGTCAATTAACAAACCCTCCATCACACAAACAAGTATTTTCTTGAGTGAAAGGTGTACTTACGTAATTCATTCCTTTGACAATCTGTTCAAATTTTCTGGTTCGTGTCATCAAACCACAACCTCCACCCTGATGTGGAGAGACAAAAACATCTCCAAATAGTTTCATATTCACGTTTAACTTCTTTCTGTCATGTTTTTCCATATTAGCTTATCTTGAACAGAAAAAACGAGCCGCCAGGCATTGCACAGAAAGTTGCGGCAAATAATAATGAGAGAAGGTTTTTCATTAATCTGAATGGTGTTTGTGTTACATAGGAGCTCACCTTCTTATAAACAAGATCAATGGGGCATCCAGAGTTGATGTCCACAAAATCGACGTCTGTGTAGCTGTTGATGAGCTCTGCACACCTGGTCATGGTGTCAGGGAAACAGCCCTCGACCTGAGGACACAATTCTGTGTTTAGAAGTACAGAAAAACCGAAAAAAGTCTAATCGCTTGTTTCGGAACAGCCCCCCGAGGAGACCAAAGGGTCCGAATGACCTGTGCTGAATCACCTGGACACCAAAAAGGTCCTCGCTCTCGTGCCTCTTCAGGAGGGCCCACTCTGACTGCTGGCCTTGCAGCAGGTTGGTGCACATGGCCATCTCCCCACAGGTGACGTCCACGCCGAAGCGCTTGCACACGCGGCGGAAGGGCAGGTTCCCACACTGAGGGAGATGCACACCGCATGTAGGAAGGGGCGAGTTGCCTTTTCAAAAGCAACATTAAACCACCTTTTTCTGTCGTTACTTACAGTTGTTAGAGGAGCAAGGTAGAGCTTGTCACGGAAGTCCACCTTGAAGACAAAAAACTTTTTTCAACTCTAAATCTTGTCAGCGGTTAAAAATCATTTGCAAGTCTTCTGCTAAATTAACCTCATGCTTTCAGCTAATCATTTTGTATCACCGCATTTCATTTTAAGTGGAGAGAATCTTTGGAGGGAGGAGTTGGGTTGTGGAGTACCTGCTTCTTTTCGCAGGGCCGCAGCTTGATGACATCGGCATCAGTCAGTGGGCCCACAGTCTTCACAGGAGGCTGTCCACCTGGGCTGGCCTGCAACCAGTCACACAATGCACACTGAATATGACCGCAATGCACTTTTCCGCAAACCAAAACATTCCCCGCCAGATGAGGTATTAGGTATTACCTCTGCTCCAGCTGAAACTTGCTTTTTTTCTTTTGGATCTGAAGATGTTTCCGCTTTGCAAACATCACCTAAAACAAATCAGCTCATTAAGCGTTGCTACTATTTAAAGAGTAAAGCACAAACTCAGAGGAAAACCAAAGAGGAGCAGAACCCATGACACCTAAAACTGAAAGTGAAACTAACTTTAGGCAGAAAAAAAAACACGCAAACATATTAAAATGACAAAGCTTTTGCTTTTTTGTAAACAAAGATCACCGGCTAGTGTTTGGAGGAAAATCTACAACTTCACAAACTGGTTTTAAATTATGCCTACAGAATTTCCGAACTTTCTGAGAGTAAACCCATCTGCCAGAGCCATTTCCCCACTCACCATTCTTTTGCTGAGCAGTTTCATCTTTGCTGCTGGAAAGCGTCTTCAGGTACTCGGCTGACTTTTTGAAGGCCACCGAACGCTTCCTGAGGCGATTCTGGAGATCTTTATTCAAACTGTTCTTCACCACGGTCCGGCCTTCATTTTCTTTAACCAGATCTGCCTTCTCCATGGTCTTGAAGTCGGGCGTTGTGTGCGCCTTGGCAAAACGGCAGGCCAGCCCAAATCCACACTTTCCAAACGTATCGTAGAGGTAACAGCTTTCCCCTATGTCAGCAGGCTTAGAGGCCATGTACTCCGCAACATCATGAATAAAGTGGCATTTGGATCCATAGATGCATTCCTTGTTTTTCTAAATGAAGAAAAAAAGTCATCAGTCACTTTAAAGCAAGAAAAGTAGAGGTGGAGTTTGTTGGGAGCCAATGTAAGCATCCTACCTGAATGACAGAGAGACAAAGTCGATTCTCTTCATAGGTGGTCGGCTTCGTGTGTGGCCTGGACTTGTTCTGACCTCGAAGTCGCTTACCATCCGGCTTGCCTGTGCTCTTGCTGTCATCAGGCTCCAGCTTGAGCTTTTTAGGATCAGGTTCCACCACAGATGTCTCATCAACCAAGTCATTTTCGCCGGCCTCGTTCCCCTTGGAGTTTTGCCACTCAGAGTCTAAACGCTCGTGAAATTTCTCTTTGGTGGTACGGAATCTGCGAAAAGAAAAAGTTTAGGACACAGAGGTGTTGAATAAGTAAAAGGTACATTTCGGCAACATGAACAAAAAGGTTGAGGGACTACAGCGACTGTTCAACAGTCTTTTTTCTGTTGTCTGGCTGCTGCAAACAGAGAAGCAGGCTGTGTGAATGGTGTGATGATGTGGGTGGGGATGTGAGGGCTACAGTGGTCCACTGAGGAGAAGATGCGGCTGCCTGATAACTATAGCTTCTTACACTGCTCAGTGGGATTAAAACTAGCTGTAACTTACTCCTGTTTGATTGCCGCTTCACCCTTTATGGCCACATCTGCCCCCTTCTCAGCAGTTTCCTCCACCACTGCTTCCATGGCACCGACAGAGGTTTCTTTTGTCCCGATTCTGAAATGTTCAACACATCCGTGTTCAATCAACCTACATAGGGATGTCATAGTCAATTCTTCTCTGTCTCCCAAAAATATATATATTGCCAGCTACTTCGAATAAGCTTCACGCAAAAAAAGTGCTTAGGCACGACTAAAATCCAACTAGTGTGACTGTATAACAATCCATTTATCATCATACATAGACACAGCTGCGAGTCAGGGAATTTTTTAGGTTTGTGGGCGTTTAAGTAGTTATGTTTACAAGTCTGACAGTCTTTTTTCACTCTCAATTGTAAGTTGTAAGATATCTTTTAGCGTAAATCATGAGGTCGTAATCAATCCCTGACCGTGTAACTGCAATCATACATTTCACACAATCACAGGCACGTTTTTAATACATTGTACACTTGACGTTACTCATATTACAATGAACATTAACTGCAATTCAACTTTCAATGTAAGTGGCTGCATTCAAACTTACCTGTTAATTAAATGTTTCCCGAATTACTCAGCAGTTAGATAACAACAAGCTGCCAATAGCCACTAGCTGTCTAACGTGTATAACGCAAAGTTTAAACTCAGTCGAAAGCAATAAATTGCCGCAAATGCAGGTAACATGTACACTAGTCTGTCTCACACTCGAACGTGCACACAGCTCACAGTGGTGTCACACCACATCGCGTGGAAGCCATTGTGCAACTATTAAAGGTCCGTAGCAAACACCTTAGAATAGTTCCGCACTGAGACGGAACATAAAATATATCTCTTAAATAAATCAAATCTCTGGGTTCTGATAAACCCACGGATAATTAAATCCTCAGTTTAAAATAAGTAACTTAAGCTATGATATATAGTTAAAAATCCAACACATTAAGGACAACCCGTTTTTTTAATATATTCACACTTGCACAAAACAATAGTTTTATTTACTTAAAAACATAGTTACAAGAGTCCACCCGTACAACTACAGACATAAACGATTTGAAAATGGCTTTTTTGATAATTGAATATTTAGACCAAAAAACAGTACATTATGAGCATTAATAATGACAGCATGGTTGTTTTAGTAGTTTTCCTGCATCCTAAGCAGGGTCAAGCATGGATCAGCTCCTCTCAAAGTCAGGTAAAGGCAGTCATCAACCTGATCTGGCATCACTGTAAAAAAAAACAGCTACGTTCATTCATCTGGTGAAGTTGCAAGTTTTTCCATCTTTGCATCAAATCTCTTTCGACTGGAGTCCAGGATGTTGATACCGTTTTTCTTGAAGTCGTATCCCACTCTCCGCAGCTCCTCCAGTCGCCCTGTAATGTTCTGTGTGCTGTAGTCCAGCACTTTGGGCTTCTCGAGTATCTGCTTCATCGTGATTCCTCCCTTTAGAAGGCAATCAATTTTAGTGTTCAGTGTTTCTGGCCCAATGTAGAGAATCAGTGGATAGCTGATAATAATTTTTTTCAAATCATTCCTCCGACAGCCAAGTAAAGCCATTTTCTGCTGAAGATTGTTGAAACTTTTCTTCAGATACTCATTGGACAGGTCCAAAATGTCAGCCCCATGTCCTTGAAGCAGAGCCAGCATTTCCGAGTCGCTCAAGTTTAGAGAAGCTTTCAGGGTTTCTATGTTTGTCTTTACTCTTTTAGTGCTTCTGATAAGAATGTAAAGGTTTTTAGATATGATGGATTTTGCAAACTGCTCAGGATTTTCTCCTCCAAGCTCAGCGCAAATGTCTTCCAGACACTCCACCATCTGCTTGTTGAGCTCCACGCTGTTGGAGAACGTGCGGGGGGCGGTGGTCAGCAGCCGATGAAGGTCTTTGGTGTTAAGTCCCAGTGAGATGAGAAAATCTATGTTCTTTTCCAAGTTATCGTTATCACTAGAACGAAAAAAAGATTCAGGCGAGCGATCAAGGATGCTCACAATTTCTGCATCAGTCGTGAACACATTTCTCCACAGCTGCCACCGTTGCTCCAAGTGTTCGATGGAGCGTGTGATGGCGCGGGGATAACGGGACACAATGCTGGCGATGGCCTGGCGGCTTGCGCCCTTCGTTTGCAGGAACTGAGCGAGGCCTTTCTCATTGGTGAAGGCTTTGCGAAAGACTCCAGGCTGGCGTTGGCGGGCCATTTTGATATCCACTCCCATGAGATTCAAGTTCTCAAGCAGAGATTCATTCTCTGGGCTTACTGGCTGCGTCTGGTCACTAGCGCTGCAAAGCCTCCTGGGCAGGCAGGCTGATGCCAGCTTCAGTGGAAAAAGCCTGCTGCTCGGCTGCAACACCAGGGATCGACTGAGGTGGAGAAGGACTCTCCCTCCGGTGACCGCTGCCATTCTTACTGCGAAGGGAGGTAAATCTAGTAAAAACAGAAGAAGAAAAAAAATCAGTAAAATATGAATTGAGTGCAAGTGACAATATGAGTGGCATAATGTAAAAAAATCATTTAGAAAGACAATGGAGATATTTAAAAAACAACTAAAATCATGATACCTGCTCTGAGAAGAATAGGAACCCAAAACTAATGTTATAAAAGGCAACAGACAGCGCAGTGTACCATCTGCTTATGATCATAATGCATCAAATAGGTACCAAATATTTAACCAATCAGTCTAAGTTTAAATAGAATTTACCACTATAAGACTTTCTAAGATTGAACTAGAATTAGAATTAAAACATTATTATACACAGCAATTAGGTTTTCTACTACAGGGAATTTAATAGTATTTCTTTTTTACATATTATTTATATATTTAGTTCTATGTGATTTCGATATCTTTTAATATGTTATTATGCGCATTATGACATATGAACCTACTCGTGCAGCTTAAGGTTTGAGATTAAAATGTTAACGTTTACTTGTTATTAAGAAATAGCAGAAATTCGGCAGAAAGCCAATAAGAATTCCCAGGTACTTTTAACTTCCCTGAGGAATCTCAACACTGTTCAGAAAAGCTTTACAATTTAGAGCTACAATCAGCTTTAAGGCGAGAACAACTTAAAAAATAGACAAAATAATCAAAAGCATAATTGCCAAGTCAATTGACATGCAAATACCTTAGTAATACGACTCATTCAAAATGACTTGGGGTAAAACTGCTACCAAGATTCAATTTGTCTGTTTCATGGCAATGTTACTTTCATTATTCATACACACAGCCTCTTTAAGTCGACTGACCGGATAAAAAGTCTCACAAGACAGTCCTAACTATGCTTCATATTTCACTACAGTTTTCGAAAACTGCACATCAGTTTAGAAAAACACAAATAAATAACATACCACATTGCAAAAATCCTACAAGGTGTAAGAGTTTGAAAGCTCAATTCATACGACGGAAACTCAATTCAGGATACCTCGCGAGATTTAACATTTGAGAAAACACTAGGTTCAAGTTAGCGCCTCCTAGCGTTTGGGAGGGAAAAACCTGTTTCAACCAGTAGATGGAAGCAGAGGCTTTCCGTGCAGACTATTAAAAACCGCTGTTCAGTTTATCTAATTAATAAAGACACATTTTCAAGCCTCACTTTGAAAAATAATAATCTAAACCAGATTCAATATGCACTATTTGTGTCCACATGAGTATGTGCAATTGTAATTTACTAGTTAAAACCTTCTATTTTAAAGAAAAATTATTAGAGACATGACATCTGTGATCTTACAGTGGATTACTTCAATAAGAGCAATTCAAGGACCCTTAAAAAAGACCAATATAATTGATTTTGATTAATGGCCAATGTTGTCATTTCTGGACATTCTTGGGTAGATAATAAAAACGATTCTTCATTATGTTGGCAATAAAAATTAAAAAGGTAATGTCAGGCTTTTCTACATGATACAAAAGAGGATTTAAAGTGTGCTGCTGAATAACCCACTGACCCATTGGTTTTCTGTACTGGCGAGTCACACCACTTATGAATATTTCAATAGTACAGAGAAGGCTTCATTATGCAGATGCCTTTTCTCTGACACTTTGAAGTGACCAGTGTTTTAGTCATAATAGCTTCCACACTAGTAGGCTGAATAATTATGGTTAGTCTCAGTCATCAACAGCTCAAGGCATTATTTGCATTCCCAGTTTACATACATACCCAAATTTGTTTAAAGCATACTAATCTAGCTGTTTCATTTTTATACACTAATTTAATGGTGCAGAAATAGCAAATGGAATATGATTCTTGAACTGATAATTACTTGAAAAAAGGGTTGCTGTTGAATTCAAAATGACCTAATTATCTAAATTAACACGAGATCACGATTTCCTTTATTGGCCCTGACTATGGTAATTATTGCTGTGGAACACAATTAATTATTCAGATCTGTTTAATGGGGAACATATGGCCAATGCAACCTACCACTGCAGCTATGGTCAAATTTAAAGAAGAAAAAAAAAGGGGAACACAATATGCATCTGCTGGTAACTTATATGGAACAATTTTGTAAATAAACAAAGGTAAATTTCAACATTCTATACCATTTACTCTCAGGCCCCTTAGGTGGCAGCAGTATGAAACTAAATCCTGCAATTCAGTTTAAAATATTCGTCTATTTAAATCACCAGTGAAAACATCAATTGAGAAATGGATTTACCAATCAGTCCTTCATTATAGTCCTGGATTGATTGTAAATGATTTATTTTTTGATGATGGCATAAACTGCCATCTTAAATATTCGGGGTGTAAAATTATCTTTAACTACATGCAGGAAGGTACTATTGAAAATCAGTTTACAGGCGTTGGTCTGTCTTTCTTACTGATGATAAATGTCTAGGACATTAGTTCCCATAATATTTTTATTTATTACTTTCTTATTGGACAAAAACTTGGAACAAATAAAAGTGATAGTAGCTATTTTTCAATTGCCCTGCAAAGCTTAAAGCTTGCTTAGAGAATTGATATTTCTATTATTTATGGCATGTAGTATATTATTTAAGCATATTATCAAAGTCTTACTCCACTTGCTTGGGCAACTGCAGACACGGTACACCCCCCATGTGAATAAATAATTCAGAAGCTGACGAAACTTTCTGATGGTGATGCTTTCTTGTGGATGCTGTTGCAGAGGCAGCAGGTGTTCCCTGGTGACAACACCTTGTTAAAAATGTCCAAAAGACGATATGTGGAATTCAAAATCTCTCAGACTATCAGCTGCTCAGCTCCTGTCAGCCGAAGACGCAGAGCATCTTCTCCTGCTGCAGCTGGTAGGTTTGAAATGAAAAAATTAAAGCTTTACTATTTCATTACATCGCTATTTTTCTTATTTTCAAGTAAAGTTCAAGTGGTAGTGAAATTTAATTGAACCAGTTTTGTTTTTACCAGTTTTCTTTCTTGAGACAGTGAGTAATGTTAAAGGCATGACCTTGGTTTATTTGTATATTTTGGTTTTAAATACTTTAGTTAAATACTTAACTTAAATACTTTTTGAATACGTTATCTAAGCAATCTTAGGAATCACTTCCAATATCTGCCTGCAGTTTATTTGGCTTGTGAAGGAAATCAACATGAAACAAAATTATAAAGAGAATCATGCCAAGATTTTTAATTATAAATCACAAATTTCTCTCCCATCTAATATGAACATTGGTTAATGAGTGTGGAATTAATTATTTGCAAAGAGTACAATGCTACTTAACAGAAACTTTGACCCTCACTGGTGGTTGTAAAAAACTAAAATCGATTCAACTGTTTGTAAATGGAGGATTAATTACATATTGTTAGCCTGACCATCCCCCCCCTCACCACCACCACACACCCGGTCATCTGCCATGGAAACCCAAAGACAGTCTCTCATATTACCTGCAGCACCACTCAGCCTTTCTACCCACAAATAAGCTAAAATGTTTCTCTTTCAAAGAATCGTTTAGCTGTTTTGCTTGACATGTGCTGGGAATGGCAATGTCATATGTCTGCTGTAAACTGCAAAGTGATGGCTGGGGCCTGTGTTGTTTGAAAATGATTTAGGTTTGAAAAAGAAAAACGAAAAACTGAGCTGGGCCAGCTCTGGCAACCAGTCCTGCTGTTACCATAGAAACTGATCAGACTTTCTAAGCTGTTTCAGGCTGCAGACAATAAAATTACATTTTTAAAAAATCAAGAAAAAATGTTAAAGTACATAAAAAAATCTGAAATGTTTAATCGCTCTTGTAGTCCATGCTCCTCTTTTTAGTAACATTTTTCCTAACCTGAAAACTGGGTAAATAAATGTCATATAAAAAAAGTGCATCATAAATCCATTTTCTAGACTATAATCATCTGAATACACTTTTCTTTTTTACGATCACCGGCTCTGGACAAGGCCCCAAAAACAAATAAATACAGCTTTGAATGAACAGTGAGATATGATATATTCCACTCTGGGAATAATTGCAGAGAAATCCTGGCTTCTCAGGAACATTTTAACACCATGCTGAGGAGCAAAGACATCAGCAGTTATCTCAGAGAAGCCATATTAGCTGCCCAACAGTCTAGGAGAAGTTATCGGGACATTTCAAAACTTGTTGCAGTCCATTATTTCACGGTGAGGAGGAACATTCGCAAGTAAAAGGCGTGCAAGACAGATGTCAGCTTAAACCCTGTGTAATTTCCAGATCATTTTTTTGTAAAGCTTGTGAAAGCTCTAGCATTGATAGAAACTGTGTTTTGTTTTTCCTCCATGTACATGGATGTCCAAGTTCATAAACATTTAGTCCTTTCAAAAATGCAATCAATGGAAAACATAACATTGACTATTTCTTAGCTCAGTTTATGGTATAAAGTCTAAAATTCCCAAATATTTTCTGCATTAATTTGTTTGGTATGTGGAAGAAATTTTTCTTCATCTTATTTAGTTTTTATAGGAAAAAAAGACAATTTTTTTCAGATATTTGTCCATTTTCAAATTTTGGTTTGATTGAATACATTTAATTTGATGTCTTATTTAAATGACAAGCAAGTTTTTGTTGTCGTTTCAGTAGCTTTTTTTCTCTGTAACTATGACTCTTACATTGGTGCAGGACTCCACAACTTTTTATTTCCTGTCGGTTCAGAAAGAGCTGAGAATTCCAATAGCAAGTGAAGCTCCCACCAGTGGAATTTCAGGGGGCGTGGCCGTGAAGGCACCTACACAACGTCATCACACTTGTGTCTCATGTTTACGTGGAAAACATGGCGGCGAAGTACCAACAGCGAGATAGCTAGTAAATGCGAGTCACTGGCAGCGGGCTGCGGGCCTGACAAGATATTTATCTAGTACCTTTTAGATTTCTCTCACTGATATTTCGTATGAAGCGGCTTTCCCCTTGTTTTAGCCACAGGGACAGCGGTGATGGAGGACGAGGAGAGGCAAAAGAAGCTCGAGGCCGGCAAGGCAAAGGTAGGTTTCTCAGTTTTTTTGGTGCTAGCACAACTCATAAACTCTTCTTCTACTGTTTTAAACTTGCAAGTAGTTGTTTAGGAGTACTTGTTTTCCTGTGTGTGGGTCTGTCAGCTGTTTTTAGTTTCCCCTCCCCCTCATATGACCCTCTCAGCTGTCAGTCCCAGGAAACATGCGCTCGGCTCTGACAGAACACCGGGCTCTGCCGGGAGGGGGAGTTAGCATGGCTACCTCTGACTAGCGGTGGATGCCTTTGTCGTGCCTTTGGCATGTGTAACGTTTTAAAACTGCGGAATAGGAGCATGCACGCAATGTTGGCTTAGTCAAACCCAGAAGCCCAGCAGCCACATCGTTATTGAGGGCTGCTAAACGCCACTTTAAGTGACTCTGACAGGCCGGTGTAACAGGATTTACAGGGCACATCCTCGCTAGCTAGAGCAAGGATCTCTTCACATGCCAAACTTGTGTTCTATGTTTTGTGAACCTATTACATGACAGTTTGAGCCAGGATCAAGCCACCCGGTCTCGTAACTTGCAGAAGAAACTCACAGTGACTTAGGCTTCCCCTATAAATCTGGGTGGAATAAATTTCATTCATTTTTTTCTAACTCTGCTTTCAAATTCTGTGCACAAATCTTCTGATGAGCTGCCGCCAATAAGCAGCCTGCAAAATGACAGCTGAAGCTTCTCAGACCACCCAGTGTCTATTTTAGATTCATATTTAATTAAGATATCTTTGTTATATATTTAAGATTATCCCTGGATCATGTAGCGAATCAAACATTTGTAGAATGTATAGAAACTGAATGAGATTAAGAAAATAATGATGATTTAAACAGGGACTGGAGCTTCGTGGTGGCAGAATCATTGCTGCAACTTGCTCTTAGAGTTTACAAAAGATTGATCTATTTAGCTTTATAAGCTTAAAGACTTCCCTAAACATGACACAATGATGGAGGACTCTGTCGGGCACGCTGCACAGAAACGGACACTGTGCCGTTCGAAGGCTCTTTTGTTTGCTCCTTGTTCCACACTGGAATAAGTGCTCTTGCTTTTGGGCTCGCACAGCTGGAGAGCCCTTATGAAAGACCATCTCCTCGGTCTTGCCTCTGGTATTCCACCTGATAAAAGACTTGCCGTGCTGTTGGCCGGTTTAAGTGCTATCTCTGTCACGCAGCAACCTTCACAAGATACTGTACTTCTCTGACTAATCCTGATATTATTTTGAAAACTTCCCATCTGTCAGATGAGACCTTTCCAGCTGATGAATATTAAGGCCAGAAACCACAATCTGGTGTACACTATCTAAAATGATTCAAACAAATCTGTTTTAAATCTGTATTTAGCGTCATTAGCTGTCATCGTTGTATAGTTTGAGCTTTGCTGTGCTTTGGCAGGTTAGAAATCAAACGCAGAGACCAGTGACAGTGACTGAAGGATGCATGTCTTGAGTTAAGTGAAAGAGGTTTGTGTTGTGTGTCTTACTGACGAGTAAACTGTCACTCATTTAGAGTATCTATTGTGCAGCACCAGACGAGCGCTTTTTGAGTCACAGCAGACAACAAATAAAGTGAAAATTGTGGGCTGCCGTTGCCAGGCTATTGTTCCGAGCCATTAGCTGCAGATGCATTTGTTGCTTTCACGTTTTCCTACAAGATAGAGCCGGGCAAATTCGTTGTCGTTCAAGACTTTGACGTAGATTGTCAGTAACCTCAGTTTCAACTCAAGACTTTGTCTATGAAAACACCCATAAACGACAGAGATGCTCAGTATGAAATCAAATGTTCAATCAGAGAGATCTCAGAGAGGTTTTCTGGTTTATATGGTGTGTTTCCACAAATTGATGCCAAGCGTGAAAGGAAATATGTGTAGCTGTCAGGTAAGCACAGGACAGCTAAGTTTAGCTCTTTTTGTTCTTCCTTCTACCTATTAGATGAGTCTCCACTTCTTCAACTTTTGTCAGGAGATCCATTTCTATCATTGAGTATGGTAAAGTATTACATTTCTGCAGAAAAAAAAAAGCTTCCTTTTGCCGTTATTTACATCTCAACCTGAGGAGCTCTTTTAAAAAAGGGTTTTTTCTAGAGCCTAAAGGCTCAGTGTCGCTGGCAGGTAGTCTCCCAGCTTTTTAGGACAGGTGACCTTCTTAAGATCGGCCTGAATAGTTAATCCCACAGCATGAGGCACCCTGCTGTGCGTTGAATGTTCTATAACCAGCACAGATTATGTAGCTTATTAATGAATTGAAACTGGCCAGTTTTACTGTTATGCCACTTCAGTTTGGTTCGTGTCACATTCAGTAAATGATAAATACCTCCAAAGCTCATCGTCTGTTATGCTGTGTCTGGACACTAAACAGATCTGATGGGTTTTTTGCAGGTGCCGTGTTTTTATTTAAAAGAATATTTTAATTAAACTGTAAAAGGCAAAAAAAAAAATCGTACAGGTCTTACAACCTTGAGCATCAGTATTTGACGAAACCCCAAAACCTCCAGCTTTCTGTGGTTGAAAGTAGCTCTCAGGAATAGCTCTACAGGCTAATTGAAGGACATCCCAAAACCTATTCCAGTCTGTTATGATTGACATCGAACTTCCTGATGGATCTCTCAGGTCCTGGTTCTCTTCCTTTCAGATGTACTCATCTGTTGATAGTGACGACTCTTCTTGAAGGAGACTTCTTCAGACTTGTTTAGCTGAGCCATGCCGGGTGGATTTCTCTGTTGTTCTGAGTTGTCTGACCGTTAAAACGAGGGCCATTCGTCAGCCTGGACATGAACGGTGGAGGGAAGCTGGATTGTGTTGGTTGTACACGTACCCATGCTGACCGGTGGGCACTGTGAGTCGGTTCTTACTTGTGGGAAAATCTGGATGAAGAAGTAGGCGTTCTACACTCGGGGGGGAAAAAAACAAACGTACAACACGCTTAATAAATCCCACTTAAAAGAAATCAAAACCAACGCTTTCCACAGGGATTATCATTACATCTATGTAACACATTCAGAAAACAAAAACCCACTGTGGTGACTAAGCAGAAAAGTCTACATGCAGCTCACCCAGCAAGCGTCCTGACATTTCTGTGATTTGCTTTCAAAGTGTGCACCAATCTAGGTTATGCTTCCTTTCTCTCTTAGCCTGGTTCACTGTCGATAAACATAATGCATAATTCATTTACACGCAGTCCACTCCAAAGGCTCCCAAAATGCACCGGAGACTCGTAAAAGCCCCCTTGTCTTTGTGTGGTATTGGCATGAGGGCCATTAGGTCACTCCATCTGCTCACAGCTAAATGATAAATCAGCCTCCTGTGTGACTGTTGTCATTGTTGGTGAGGGAAATCTGGGAGTGTGTTCAGAGGATTGTCGGCCTCCCGGGGGTGGGATGCCCTCACGGGCTTATCACATGTGATGCTGTGGGTGTCCCCCCCCCACACTGCCTTAAAACTGCTGCTTCCTGTTATGTTCAGCATCCATCCTCACAGAAGGCGATCCAAACTTTAAGGCTACATGAAACTATCTGAGTGTATTATTTAGGTAAAGCCTGTGATGAAAGTTGGACCAATCTTTTATGAGCTATAAGGCAAAAATTTCTCTAAATGCCCCATTGAATTACGTTTAATAAATTTTCTTTGCTCGTTCACACAGCTCAGTTTTACGAGCGGCATTCTCAAGTCTAATGTTCATTCCATTAACGAGTCAATCTTTTGTTGTTTTTGAGCCAAGGTATGAAGGACTGCATTTTGAAATCCTTTTACGGTAGGATTGTACACTTTTTCAAAAAAGATTGAACAGTGGGTCTGAAAACCATTTAAGCGCTCTGCTTTCATCCATTTAACAGTGAGAACAAAACCCAGCAAAGTTCCAAGGTGATGTCTTTTTTTTTTTTATTTAAGCCATTTTGTTTTTTTATTTGAAAAGATACTGAAAAATGATTTTATAATTAAGTTCGATCATCGGTTCCTCAGATTTGAATCTCGGGCTGTTTTTTCTGTCAGATTCTCTGTGTTATCAGGTGGCGTTTGAGGCCTTTTTCCACACAAGAGTTTGTTTTGATTGATATGGAAATTGGAAATTTGACCTTTTCTCATGTGACATACTGGACAGAAACGTGTGTCTGGTATTTGTAGCTCAACTCTAGACATTTCCAACACAAAATGAATCATCTGACTATCTGAAATGGAATGAGCACCTATTTGTTGGTCCTTTTGCTCTTTGAGGTGAGCGGTCAGATTTTGTTAGACCCAGATATGGAAGGGGGAAAAAAAAGGTGTGCGCAAATGTTTTCAAACAGCAGATGGAGATACACCTACGTAGTTTCTGCCTCCCCAGATGGCGATGCAGCCCCGTACGCTCGGTTCTCCATATGCTGAGCCACTGCTCTGCTCGGCCCTGCCAAATAGGCCGGCTTGCAGTGATAAGCTGCTCAACGATGGCAGAAACCGGGTGGTTCCTGTCACCGCGTCAGTCAAAAAATCTAACAAAAAAGTGTCCTTGTGGCCAGCGAGCGTCCCACCCCGTCATTCATTTTTAATCGCTATCATTGCTCTGCTGTTTGAGAGATCTAGCTCCACTTGAAATCCAGATAAGTGGGTATATTGGGACCGGGGCTGGGCTGTGTGTGGAGGTGTGGAGGCTCAGATCAAGGGCTCTTTGAGCTTTTAAGCTGTATATAGTAGGTGTCAGTATGACCAGGACACCCACTCGCAGTTCTGCTGTGTCAGCCTGTAACCTTTTGAGCAGCATCATAAAATCAGAGCTCTCAAAAGCGGCTTACTGACTTTGGAGATTTAAGGTGCTGTTGTTGGGTTTTCTGGTTTGGGATAAAATCTGTGATGCAGATCACGTGTCCTAAAATTGATGTAATTTAACCTAGGGTTTGGTGACCTTTGTCTACTTCAGTTTGATGAATATTTTGCCAGGTGTATAATTTGATCAAACTTGGTTAGAGTAAACAGTCCTTTATGATTCATTGCAGTTCCTGAGGGGACTCCACAAACGGCTCCTATAAAGGTTATGACAGTCCAATCATTGTGTGGTGTTGTTCCAAAAACCAACCTTGTTTTAGCCTCGGAGGCACCGTGGTCTGCGGAAAATTCATCACCAGTTCTTTTATTGGATGGAGGAGATTTCACAGCATAACTCTGAGTGAATTGTCCAATGGGGAGGGGACAGTAGCACCCCCAGGACGGTGCTGCTATAAAGTTACCCCAACTCACGTTGCACTCGTAAGGTGGTTTTACATCTGCATCACATTCTCAGCCCTTCAGGAACCGCATTTGACATAATTTAAAAAGGCAAAACGCAGGGAGCAGTAACACCCTGTTCTTTCCTTTGCTTTCATCAAAGTCTGAACCCCGAAGAGGCCCTCTCTGCTAAGGGTGGGATGTCTGTCATACGGTCAGGGGTATTTCACACACAGGTGAGAAGGCACTAGATCGGTATCCTTGGCAACAGTTTGTCTAAAGAGTATCAGTGGCAGATGGTCCATGGAGCCACCTGTGCCCCCCCCCCCCCCAATCAGCCCCACTCAGGTGACTCCTGTGCTGTAGTTCATGCATAATGAACACTAGTGGCATCTCTTTAGCCTTTTCATCATTCCTCTGGTGATGAAATAGGGATATTTTTCTGAAACAGAGAGGTTTGAAACACACTCTTCGACCACAGCATTTTAGCCGCTGTTAGATGAGGCAGGGAACTCGATCATCCCCGGACAGCCCAGTGTTCTGGTGGGGATCTCCCTGTCCTGGCTCCAGCATGCATGTCTGAACACACAGCTTAACACTTAGCACAGTTCCGAGAGGTGCTCCCTAACAGCCAAAGGCGAGCGTTTCCGCTGGTGCTCAGCTCCCAAATCCTGTTTGGGTCGACTCTCTGGAGGACGCAGCAGAATAAGCTGAGGGGCCCCACCCTGCAACTGCTTGGACTCAGACACCTCCATGGCAGAAAACCAAGGGGCCTCGTGCCCTAACAAGTCAGAGCTTTTGCACAGTTGGTCATATGGTACGTTTTTAGCCAGATGGGGTTTAATGTTGTGGCTCGTTTACATTAAATCACTACAGTGCACATTTTCATTCAGCGCAAATTGTCTTTGGGAAGGTATCCTACAGTAATTTAAGCTTCTTGATATCATAGTTTGTAATCTTTCTTGTTGCTCAACCAATTAAAAGACATTTCGTGAAAGTTTAGATGATTGTTTTCACAGATCGCCAACACGCTGTGGTTTTAAAAAGGCAATCCCTTTAGGCGGGATTAGCTCCTGGCGCAGCAAGACGCATGTGTTGGGTCAAATGGACACGGGGGGGAGAACTCATTTGGAGCACGCAGAACGCCTGTTTGGGGCATAATAATGTTTCGCTTGAGTATCACCAAACTGTGTCAGTTCAGAGTAAGTTTACCTGTTTTTGTCTCTTTTATTAGTTTGAGGCGCAAGTCAGGGATACTGAAGGAATTTCCAGTCACGAGTGCAACAGATGGATCTTGACGTAGCAGCTCAGCATTTGGGTCAGATATACGAAGATGTAAATGGAAGCTACCAGCAGAAATGTAGAGCAGAAAACCGTTATGTGAATGTTTGTGTTTGCAAAGGCTTTGTAGCTCTCACCTTTAAAGCAGAAAGTTTTTCTTTTTTTTTGACTCTGGCACTGCCCTTTGCTCTCTTCTTTCTCTAGCTGGCTGAGTATCGCCAGAGAAAAGCTCACACAGACTCCCAAAAGAAACAGAAAAAGAAGAAGAAAAAGAAGCCCGATGAGGACAACTCACAGGAGAGAGAGGGGGGTCAGTCTGTGGGAGGAGAAGACAACTCAGGTGAGGGACAAGACGCACCACATGGAGGACACGAGGATCCGCCGACCACAGAGTTCACCTTCACCAAAACGCTGAGGAGCGGAGAGACTGTCAAGCACGACCAGACCTACAAGATAGAGGTAAATGCTCATATTTATTTGATCCAGCAGCAGCTCACGCTTATCATACACTCACACTGACAAGCTGAATCTGATGCGCACATTTCCCTTACAGTATAAAAGAAAATGGGGATATTGGGCAAAAAAATGTCAAATCGGTGACATCAATGAACATATCTGTTATACACACTTTAAGCTTTTGCCATCGTTAATTTGCCGTGTAAATTTGGATTTCTAGTTACAATATGTATGCCTGTGGAATAGTTTGTTATTGGGATTCAAACAAAATAGCAAAGCACATTTGGTGCAAATATCAAAAAGTAAGGACTGATATCGAGACACTCGCATATCAACAAAAGGAAAAACAGCAGATTCTCACTTTTGATGTTTATGTGCATCAAACGTGTAGACTTTTTTATGTTCATTCCCAAAATGGTGACATACCTTGCAAATTGCATTATTGCTAAACCTTTCACAAGACTCCATAATACATTCATACACACATCACCCTGATTATAACTGTGGAATCTGCTTTTTATGGCTAATAAACTTTTCTTGTACAGTTTGATAACTCACTATGACTATCCACCTTTGGCTGTACTGCTCACTTTAATGAGATAAATTCATGGCTGTTAACTGTCAAAGAGGATTCCCCCCCCCATAATGACAGATCCTGTGTGAAAAGCTTGTTGTCTCTGTTGTTTCCTGGAGCTTAATTAGCCTATTGTTGCTGCCTTGACAACCAGCTCTGAGGGATGCAAGAATTTAAGCAGTGAAGAAGAAACAGCCTTTTTCAGATGTTGTTTATTCTTAATGTTTCTGAAATACAGGATTCTAGAATAATTAGTTTGACATTTTTACCCAAAATACAGACTTAAGAATAACTGGAATCTACATTTTTTTGTTGTTTGTTTTTGGTTTATTTGTTTCGAACTTTCAACATGATGTTGCCACTGAAGAGCTAACGTACTGTAATCCAACAGATGCTAAATTTTAAAGGTCAATTTGATCTTAAAGGGGCAGGAGAGCGGCAAACATTTTAACTGTACAATGCCTTTTTTCATGACCTTATTTGCCTGGATAAATGAGGTTATTTTGTGCGGCATTATTTGCCATGTCCGCCATGCCTGTGAGGAACACGCGCCCTTTTTACACAGCCTGTTTCAAGGACTGATACACCTTCACTGCTTGTCAGTTGGCAGTCGTTCTTTTGTCCGTATGTTTTTCCAGAGGGACACAGCGGCAGCTTTTCAAGGACGTTGCTTTTGTGCCTGCCGTTGCATGGAAAGAACTTTTAGTTGCTGCAGTTGAAAGGCAATCAAAATGAGATGGAATAGACAAGAATGAAAGGGAATAAGGTTCCAGGAGCCTTCAGAAAAAGCTGCCTCTCTCTGGTCTTTCTCTTAAGATATTTCAGTCTTTCTTTATATCATTTGATTATTTTTCTAAATGTATATATAGAAAACACTTCGAGTACTACAACTATTTTAGGAAGCTTTTTCAAAAAACTCCTTTTCCTCCATGCTGCCCTTATTTGTCAGCTTCAAATTTGTCTATAAAAATGTTGATTGGCGTGAAATCAACAATAACCATGAATGAGTGCATTTTTGTTACCCCTACTTTTGGTAAAAAATTTAATTTCTCTAGACTGCCAGTGTTTCCATGGCAGCCAAAAACAGCCAAACCACGAGGTGTTTACAGGGACCAGTTCTGTTCATGTTTTCAGGTCAAAAAGGGGAAATCACCGAATAGCTTCCCCACAAGATGTCCCTGAATCCTTCTGACATTTGCAACTTTAAATGTTATTTGGTAACAGCTTTTTTTTTTTTAAATACACATACTATGTAAGCAGTCAACTCTGACTGCATGAAAAACACCACCAGGAATCGAGGCGCTCTCAAATGAAAGAGTCCTGCTTGCTAACTTTTTCCGCCTCTAAACGATGCCCTCAGTTGCATCGCATTTAAAAAGGTCCTCCGGGATTTGGCCAAACAAGCTGCAGAGCTCAGATGATATTATCTGGTATACTTTTCTAGGCATTGAGAGGTTTTACAGCAGCTCCCCTTTTTTATTTGCTATGTAGAGATGAAAAATGGTCTCAGATATTAACCTGCACGGGGAAATTACAGCTGATATTTGGTCTGTAAACCTTTCAGCATTTCGTGACATTTCAGCATGCAAATGACTGAACTGCGGTGAGAATAGGAAAGCTCCAGCTTGAGCCTTTGGTCTGAGCTTTCTCGGCTGGTAAAATATCCACCCTCTTGTACAATCCTGCAGAAAAATCATCGTGAGACACTTGTAAAAATATGCAAACCTGAGGGCTCTTGTTCATTTCATATTTCATCGTTCAAGCCCTCTCAGTCTCTTTTCATGGCCCTGCGCTGCCTCTGTTTCCCTGAACCCGCTGAGCATCTGGTGTTGCACATGCAGATCACATCACAGGGCTGCTTGCTTGCCATGGAGACAGACAATTGCCTTTCAAATGGTCTGGATGTGCTAGTCTATGTGAGAAATACCTGCGGCCTTGGAACACATTTCATCCAACCCAAAAGCTGATAATTATGCTTCTTGCACGGTGATGAAAAAAATAAAAGTTTTCAATTTTTTAGTCTTACATAAATGGTAATTTACTGACGCTTCAATGGGAGCTCCTTTGCATCACAAAAAAATGAAAACATGCTTTTAAGAGGCCGAGCCAACCAGTGAATTATGTGTGTAATTGATTTTTTTTACTTTACTTGTTTTTGTGTTGTCAGTTTTTCTCTCATCCTAAAAATAAAGGGTCACCAGGCCATGGCCTGTTTTGATGACGCACCATTGAGCAGGCGGAAAACTCAATAGAATCAGTTTTTCCATTCTCAACACTTTTGAGAGTCATTCAAAAACACAGATAAAGTATCTGTTTTTCTTTCTGTGCTGACTCAGATATGTTCCAGTGCCTGAAGGTTTAATAAAATGTTCACTCGGATACAACTCATGCGGTAGCATCCAGTTTGGATTTCAGTCCTCCACCAGAATCCTCTTTACTTTTATAATTTATTGGATAATTTGCAAGAAATCCAAAGCCTGAAATATACACACAGCTATCTGACTTTCTTTTTGGATAGAATGTCTTATTGTCTTTAGGAAAGTTTGCATGATCTCACTTAATCTGTGTGGGTAATCTCTCTGTGTGTGATGAGCCATAAAAGTGTCCCACATTTTCTCTCTTACCTGTCACACATTACGGTTTCATATTTTTGGTTGTTTAAAGAGAATAGGGATATTAAGATATCAACAGTCAGAACCTCTTCTTCCCTGATACAATTTTAGTTTATCAACCAGGAATTACCCCCCAAAAGAGATTTAGATAATGAAAATCAGTACTAGGGGAAGTGGGAGAGGAGCTGTGTGGCAGAAGTCTGGAAATGGACTGTGTGCTGTCAGTGGATATACACTCAAATGTGTTTGACCTAACATTTTTATTCTTTGCCTTTGTTGTATAATATTTCCTGGCAACTTTAACTAAGGTGTAATTTGTTGTTTGAGATCATGTGTGTGACATGAATTGGATGTTGTTGCTCTCTTGTAAAGAATCCGTTTTTCTGCATGTGTTGTTGATGGAATAATTATTTCTGTTGCAGCCGGAGAGTGAAATTTCCACCACAGCTGAAGATTATTCATCAGAGGTGAGTGACCCTTTCTTAGACTGACATCTGCGCCCGTTGACATGAACACCCCTTCTCTTTTATTTCATAAACTGGTATATCTGACCCCACATTTGGCTATGATACTATTTTAGAAGTCTAGATTATGTGTTTTTGACAGACAGAAAAATTGGTTAAAACGTTAAAATACACCCCTAAAAGGTGGAACATTATTATGTTTCATCAAACTTCCTTATTGTGAATAAATCCATTTCCCCATTTCTGCTCTCAGCTGACATGAAAATGGGTTGACTTGAAAACCATTTAGTTTTCTTTTTAGTTTTTCTGCTTCTTTGCTGTCAGATGTCACTGGAAATGAGATGCTGATAGATTAAAAGCAAATGTTGACTGTGGAGACTCGTAATCGCATGATTTAAGATGAAGGTGCAGAACCACCATTTTGGAATAAAGACACTAAATCCGACAATGTTCTATAGAGCCACTCGGCTTTGAAATGCAAAGCTGCTCAAAGATGATTTCGGAAATTTCGTCGTCTCCACTGCTGCTCCCAGTTCTTAATGTTTGACGCAGAGAATTGTGAATTAACAGGTGAATGGGTGCCATGATGAGATGACAGAGAGCCTAATGATGCCTTCAAAGGATTTTATCTGGGTACAGTAATCCCATCAAACAGTTCTTATGGCTCCTCTGCTGCTTCGCTAACAGACCCACCTGCTGGACCTGCTTACAGCAAGATTTCCTGTAACTAACCACATCTGTTCTGTTGTGTCCTCACTTAACTGTGCCTGTGCATATATATATATATACTTCAACGTATTACTACATCAGTACTCATAAAGGGCCAGCTTCAGAGCCCAGTGTGCCCAGACATTTAGGATAGAAAGGGCTCTGTGACATTGCAGAGGTGTAAATGACCTGTGAAAGTGACAGGACAGGCAGCGAGGTTGTGCGGCTGATTAGAAAAGGGAGAACACTTGGAAGAAAGAGGACAAGGAGGTGTAATGCAGAGAACTTCTTTCTTTCGATCGAACCGAGACGAACAGTGAGGGTGCTGATAAAACCATCTCAGAAAGATGGAAACTCGCAAATAGTCTTAAAGCATGTCAAATTCTCAAATAATGAGTGTTCAGTAGCTTCTTCTGTCTATCTGCATAGAAGTTAAGCAAATGTCAGATGCTTTTTAAAGTTTTAATTATCTTGAAACAACTCTTAAATGCTGGAATCAGATTGTGTGTTTGGCAAATTTACAATTTTGCTGTATTTATTTTTTTTATTTTGAATAATTCCCATGCTTTGAATTTCATCGTCTTTAGTTTAAGGACCTCTAGCAGAAAGCATGAACAGCAATAACCTATCTGCTGCACTCTCTTTATACGGCTCTTCTAACCAAAGGCTGTTGCTTTTGTGGTGACTGGGTCTTTTGATCAATCCTTCTTCCTTATCTCTTATCGCCTATCTAAATCTTGCAAATGCTGGTTTTGACCTCACCTGTATTTTCCTGCTCAGGAGGAGGTAGAGTCCCTGCAACAGGGGACAAAGGCCCGGACAGTACAGGACATGGAGGATGCACTAGCTGCCAAGTCCCAAGCTGTGGAGGAGCTGAGTCGAGAGCTGGAGGAAATCAAGTCTGCCTTTGGCACAGAGGGAGTACAGCAGGTAAATGTTGACTTTTTTTTACTCTGTGGTGGACCGATGAACCATCCAGGGTGTTTTCTGCATCTGTCTATTGTAAGTGAGAATAGAAAATGGATGAATGGATGTGTCATTTTGCAGGTTAATATGACATGATAAATGATCCCCCTTTAAACTCCTTTTTTTTCTCTATTAGTAACATACATTTTGATGTCCACACAGCCCTCACATTCAGTGTCATACCAAAGGTCAAACCTCTTTACAAAATGACTTCAGAAACTGCTCTCTTACTATCACCTCCATCTCAGGATGATGGTTTGAGCTTTATTGGCTGGGGGTAATTTAGCTCCATTTCATTTGAAATTGGCAGCTGCAGGACTTTGAGGCAGCTCTGAAGCAGCGCGATGGCATCATCACCCAGCTGACGTCCAACCTGCAGCAGGCCCGTGAGGAGAAAGACGAGATCATGAAAGAATTCCTGGCACTGACGGAGCAAAGCCAAAAACTGCAGATCCAGTTTCAGCAGGTGGGCATTTTCTTATTTTATTTTCTTATTGTTTTTTACTTCACAGCTTTGTACAGTCGATCTCTTCTGAACACTTACAGTATGTTGAGCTATTCTGACTACCGTCTTTTTCTGCCCATGGCAGCTACAGGCAGGGGAAACGCTGAGGAACACCAGCCACAGCAGCACTGCAGCTGATCTTCTGCAGGCCAAACAGCAGCTCGTCCAGTTCCAGCAGCAGGTGGAGAAGATGAACGCGGAGGTCAGGAAGCACCAGGAGAGGAGCAGTGAACAGCAGGAGCACATCGGCAGGCTCCAGCAGAGGCTCAGTGAGATGGAGATGGTGAGAAGTTACCCTCTGCGTTACCCGTATGACGGCTCTGTTTTTAATTGTCACTGATTGTACAGATTGCGCCGAATGTTAAGTGTTAATATCTGAACTTCCTTGTCTTTGTAGTCAGGAAGAAGATCAGAGGAATCATTTAGCCAAAGGATAAATGAGAAGGATTTGCTGATTTCTGAAAAAGAAACACTCATTTTGAATCGGGAGCAGTCACTGTCAGAGCTAAGAACTACTTTAAAAGACAAGAATCAATTAATTTTAGAGCAAACTGCGATAATCGCAGAGCACGAGCGGTCATTGACTTTACTCACAGAGGAACTTGGTCATGCTGGAAAGACTACTGATGAGAATATTATACACCACTCAGATGATAAAGACCTCATTATTGCAGAGCAAGAAAGGGTCATTTCAGAACGCGAGGGTTCCGTCACTCAGCTCGAGGATATGCTGGAGACCTCAGAGAAACGATTTCACGACTTCCAGGAGCAAATGGCTGCAAAGGAAACAGAGCTCGAAATGTGCTTGGATGAATTGGAAAGCACTAAATCTAAATTGGTAAGCTGTAAAAGCGAGCTGGAGAGATGCACAATGGAGCTGGAAAGCTCCAAGGTGGAACTTGCAGCCTCCCGACAGAAAGAGAGAATGTCGTCCAGTGAAGTCATGCAGCTCATGGGCACAGTAGAAGACCTGCAGAAGCGCTGTCACCAGGGCAGCACGTCCGAGAGCGACGCCATCCAAAAACTCCAAGAAGAGTCCACGAGGAAGCTCGAATTCCTCCAAGCAGAGCTCGATGAGATGTACGGGCAGCAAATAGTGCAGATGAAGCAAGAGCTCAACCTTCAACACGCGGTTAGAGTCCAGCAGATGACACAGGAACACCACGCTGAGGTGGAGCTTCTTAAAGCCCAACATCTGTCCCCAACCCCCACAAGCGGCGAAGCAGAGGTGGAAACGCTTCACACAAAGATCAGGGAGCTTCAGGAGACCTTAGAGGAGTCTCGAGCAATGTGTGATGAAGCCAGGCACGAGTTGAATCAGGTCAAACAAGAGAAGTTCAATCTGCAGGTCAAAGTCGACGGCCTTCTTCAGGATCTCAGTTCGGCTAAGGAAAAAGTGGAGCAGGTCTCCCGCAGTCTAATATCTCAGGAAAGTAAACAGAGTGAAATTCAGCAGCTCCAGGAGACAATTGACAATCTGAGGAGCGAGCTGTCTGCTGCTCAGGAAACGGCGCAAGAAAAGGAGGCGAAGCACGAATCTGAAATAACCAATTACAAGATCAAGCTGGAGATGCTGGAAAGGGAGAAAGACGCCGTGCTGGACCGCATGGCAGAGTCGCAGGAAGCGGAGCTGGAAAGGCTGAGGACTCAGCTTCTGTTCAGCCACGAGGAAGAGCTCACCCATCTTAGGGAAGAATTGCAAAGGGAGAGCTTCCTCAACACGGAGAACCTTCTCAACGAAGCTGCTATCAGACACGATAAAGCTCTGGACGAGCTGCGTAAAAATTATGCTGAGGAGCTTCAACTGTTACACAAAGAGAAGGCCAGTTACGCCATGGAGCGCGATGAACTTATGCACCAGATTCTAGGGCTAAAAGAGGACCTGAAGCTGGCTTTGCACAGCTCCAAGGCAGATGAGCTTGTGCAGCAGCTCCAGGAGCTTCAGGTGGAGCTGGAGGAACTTAGAAAGGGAGCGCAAGAGCGAGTTAAAATGCAGACCGAAATTCAGACGCTAGTTAAAAAGACAGAGGTGCTTGAAAACCAGGCAGGAGAAAGAGAGAAGTATTGGGAGGACAAACAGAGAGAAAATGGCTTAGAAAAGGAGTCTCTGAAAGAAGAGCTGGAGTCGAAAAATGAAAAAATCCAGACTCTCACAGGAGAGAACGGTCAAATCCAGCTGCAGGTTGTTGAGCTTCGTGATGAAATCGAAAAGCAGAGGACTACTTTCTCTTTCGCCGAGAAGAATTTCGAGGTTAACTATCAGGAGCTGAAGGCAGAGTATAGCTGCCTCATTGAGTCGAAGACGCAGCTGGAGGAGAGGACGCTGAGGGAGACGCTCGAGTTCGAGGCAAAAATTGCCAGCCTACAATCACAGATTCGAGTGCTGGAGGAGAGCAGCAGCAGCAGCAGTCTCCAAACAGAGGGGGCTAAAACAGACGGCAAAGCGGTGACGGAGAAGGACTCTACAGAGCTAATGGAGAAGCTTAATGTTACTTTGAGTGAGAAGGCGAGCCTAGAGAAACGGTTGTCTGAAGTTACAGAGAAGTGGATGTTTTCGAAGGACAAAGCGGAAGAGCTGGAGGCAGAGCTGATGAAGGCGCAACAAGAAACCTCAAAAGTCATCTCCCAAAATGAAAGCCTCGGGAAGGAGCTGGAAAAGAGGCAAGAGATTACGAGAGAGCAAACGAGAGAGAAGGGCACCCAGAGAGAAGCTAAGCCCCAGGAAGAAGAGCAAGCGATTGAGCCAGTTAGTTCTTTAGAGGATCATCTAATTCAGATTCAATCTCTGCAAGAGGAGGTAAAATCTCTCCAGTCCCTCTTACGCGCAGCTGAAACGGAGAGGGACAGCATTCAGCAGACTCTGGAGCTCCACAGGCTGTCGCAGACTCCATCTCCAGCCGCGCTGCACTCCTCAGGGGAGGGACCTGTTGAAGGACATTCCTCCCCGCACAAGTCGGCAGGCTCGGGGTCGAACAGGCGCAAAAGACGGCAGAGGTCTAAGCAGGAGCGCAAAGTTGGCAGCTGTCCGTCAGACAGCCGAGAAGAAAGGCAAACGGAGGAGGAGGAGCAGGCGGCGGCGGAGGAGGAGAGGGCTCGCAGTGGTGCAGAGGAGGAGATGCAGCCTCAGATGCGGAGCCAGGTTATGTCACGTTCACCAGAGCGGGCTGGTAAGGAGGACTCCACTGACGGGTACCAAGGAGACGGAGGCAGAGGCTACGCCAAGAAAGCAGTAAGTGCTCACATGTTTCCACTGCAGGAGCCCGGCTGCCTTTACTTTGCTCTGATTGAATAACAACGAGTCATGAAGGGGCTTTTCAAAAACCGCATCTGCTCTGATTACACACGCCACCGCTACAAGTAATGCTGGTTTAAAAAAAAAAAATTGTTTGTCGTTTTATTAGTGAGCTGGGGGACAGCATCTTTTGCCAGATCGGACTGCGCTATTGAAGGGAAGATGTCAGGAGTATCTCAGCAGTGGCAGGTTTTCTCTCCAGTGAGAAACTGTCTTGATTGTAAATTGCCTGAGAGAGTACAGGCTCGCTTTGAAAGGTAGCACTTAGCAGGCAGGCGGCTGTGTTTAAAGATAACCTTACATTTTTTAAAGTTTCTGCCGAACATGCAGTGAGAACATTGTCGAAACAATAGAATAAAGGTTTTCTTTTTGCTATATGCATGTAAAATGAAATGTTCCGTGCAGTTTTCTGCTCATTTCTACATTAAAAGGCTCATTACAAAACATTTATGACATGCTTTCGTAAGAAGTTAAGCCTCTCCGTCTGAATGAAATGTTTTTAAATCACTGAGAACAGACAAAAAGCACTCTTTCAGATAGCTTTGAATCCTTGCTGTTGTGTAGAAACGTGTACATTCTAGTTTCTTTCCATCCTGCAGGGAGTGAAGGGTTTGAGGTGAGAAGCCATTTTAACCCATTCACTTTGTGTCTGTGTCACAAATACACAAGGCAAAAGATTGTGTGCAGTGTTTGTCTGCCATTTTATGTCTGTGCTTCATTTGGCTTCTGTCACCTCCTGGGTTGGAAAACTATAAGTGCAACAGCATCTTCTTTTCAGAACCAAAGAGGCTTTTTTTCTTTATTGTTGGCTTCGTTAAGTTTCGCAAGAAACGCATACAACATTCTGTGATCACCTTTTTTTTTAAGCTAAAAATGAAGAAAATGAATGAAGGCTTCATAGAGAAAGTTCTCAATCAGTTTAGCAGGTCATGAAGATATGAAGATTATTTCAACAGTTAACCACAGTTCTACTCTCTGGTCCCTCTCAGGAGGTGACCCATAATGGTGCATCTTATCCTTTTTGTCCATCATTGTCTTATTTGTCTGCATTTTTAAGGGAACATTTTGTGGCGTTCTTTTTTTTTTTTTTTGGGTTGGGGGGAACATGTTGAGAGTAAATTTTTTTCTGTTTGCTTTAATAGGTGAGCAGTCATGGGATGGGTGGCCCCGCAGAGCGTTTTGTGTGTCAGAAATCAGAAGTGGAAGGACACACCACTGAGCATGTAAATGTCACTTAAGCTCACATCCTGCTCTTTGTGCCTCACTGAATATTACATCAAAGCCATTGAAAAACAAAAGCTGCCTAGTATGTGCTCAAACACCTTTCCTATCCCGTGACTTTGTATTTTCTTCAAACCGACTCTCATATAAATGTCGGTAAATGCTGAATTCAACCTGTTGATGGTGATGTGGTGATGAGATCTGATTACATGGATAAATGAAACACTTTAGACTAGAGGCTGCTAACCTGCGGGCAAAAAGAAGAATTTAAAGGAAAAACATCAAGTCTTGTAAGTCAACAGCATCAGGAAATGCAATGATAACGAGAGCAGTGCGATCAGCCAAAAAAGCCAGTGGTATGACAAAAAGTAAATTACCAAAGAACACACTTTTTCCAAAATAGAATGGTCCCCCCATTGAGTTGCTGAGGTGACAGGAATTTCCAAGCTGCTGCTGAACTCATGCCAAAACTGACTTGGCATAAATTTTGGAAAAACCCTGTGAAATCTGTTGTTTAAGTAGCCCTAAATTAACCACCTAGGGTATTTCATTAAATGTTCAGTTAGTTTATGTCAATATTTTCTTGTGTGATTGGCTGTAAACGAGACATCAGATTTACCCTACAACATGCAAGAAAACAAATCTGACCTCATCAGCTGTTTAAATTGCCTTCATGTTTTTAATTGGTTCAGAATCCACTAAACGAAGCATGTCGTTAATATACAAAAAAGAGATCTACTTGTTTTAGTCAGTTTTGTTACAGGGCTAGTTATTGTAAACTCAAATAATTTTAATAATAGCTTTATTACCTTTGCTAATGGTTGTTGTGTGTCGGCTCAGGCCATTTCTCATCTGCATGTTGCAAGCATCAACATCTGAGCAGTTACATGTTTGAAGGGAGCCTCTCCACTACACCATCAGATGGAGTGATTGTATCATAACAAAGCAATTTAAAAGCTGCCTAATTAAGATGTAGAGTGCACTTTAAAACATCTGACATCAAAGGCACCAGAAACACAATTCATAATTGTGGAAGCCTAACAAATTCCTCCTAATGCATTATGCATAATTAGACAAAGAGTCCTTACAGTCTGCTTTTTGTTCCCTGCTACAGAAGTGATAATAGCTCAGCTCTCATCCGAACATAGATGGCTTGTGCTATACTTCTGTCGTATAAATAGTAGTTATGTTATTTAATCATTTCTCTTCTCTGATCTGTAAGTGGATGTGCCCTGTGGTCAGTTATAAGTGATATGTTATGCATTCTGCCACTGTTTCCATCTCTGCAGTGTAAACGTGACATTTCATATCACCGTGTTTAAGTTTTTATCAGCAGTGACACTCAAATGAATACATTTGCATGCGTGGACTTTTTCCCACCTGTGCAGTCCGTGCTGACTGGTTTATTTTCCCGTGTTAGGATGAGTGCAGGCTGCGATTGGAGGCTCAGCGCCTCAGCCTGTCTCAGATCCACACCGCCCAAATAGAGCTGCTGCAGGAGGAGACAAACGCCCGCTCTCTGCAAACAACAGTCCAGGACTTAAGAGGCCAAGGTGACCGGGGTGAGCAGATGTGTATCTGGACATATGTGTGGGCTTCTCTCTGTAGCAGAGCAGTAATCTCTTCAGAGGTGTTTTTTGGCTACGTTTAGGAACATTGCAATAATCTGTTATTATCCTGATGGGGACCTTCACATATATAAGTCTCAGTAATATGTTCCTGCATAGGCTTAACAATAATTATGACTATGTGTGACTATGTCATAACCCAGTGGGCTAATGCTCCAAATTTGAAAAGATATCGATTTGAGTCAGACTTGTGGCTTGCGAAAACATTGCAGATGCTTGGCAACAAACTGTGAGAGTGGGTGATTAATCAGAGGATAATCTGTTGAATGAAGTGAATATCCATCCATTTTGTATACCAGTTTATCTAACGCCGGGTCACAGGTGGGGGATGGACCATATCCCAGCTGTCGATGAGTGAGAGGCGAGATGTAGATTGAATTAATATCCTATAATTATGCAGTCCTATTTAGATTGCAGTCAGTAGTTCGTACACTGCAGTGCATCTATTCTACACATGGCAGCTCGTTTGACACATTATGCTGGATAATAATTTTTTGTTCATGTGTGTAACGTTCTGTCACTAATACTCTTTTTCAGATGAAAGACAGATTTTCAAGTACCAGAGCTTGGTACAGGCAGTGTCAGAGGAATGCAGTGAGATCATTTTGGTAATTATTAACAAAAGAAAAGTGTTTTTTGAGCTAATTTTATCAACACCACCATCATATGTACCCTTGTCACTGTGTGCTCTGCTTTCAGTCTTTTAAGAGGATTTTTGGTGAGGGGTTTTTAGAGAAAGAAGAACACGACTCATCGCTCATTTCAGAGAAAAAACCAGCAACTAGTGAATCCACCTCCATTGTTCTGGAGGCCCGAGGTACCATTAAAAAAAAATACTATAATTAAACCATGTTTGATATGAATGTGGCAGCAGGAACCATCTTCAACTCAAGTTAGAGCAAAAACATTTTTTTAGTTTAACACTGTGTTGTGTGTAGTCACTACAAACCTACATAAATTCTCATGAGAACAAATGAGTACAATATGATTGTGTTTTTTAATTTTATTCTGTAGATCTTTACAGAAATCTTCAAGAGGTGAGGGAGAGGATTGAACAGGAACATTGTCAACTTTCTCAGCTCCAAGCCCTCCTAAGAGCCGATAGGAACAAGGTAAATATGTTTAGATCTATTGACATTATGTATTTTCTATTTACATGCTAAAACCAGACGTGGGATTGATTTTTGTAGAACTTATTTTGGTGCATTGTGTTGCACAAAGTAGGCTGAACTCCATGAAAGGTTCAAAAGCTAACTGAAAAAGCAGAAATTCCACAAAGAATTTTAGATAAATGATAGGATGTTTCATACTAACGATGACCTGAATTATATTGTATTATTTAGTCATTTTCTTTTATGGAAATGCGTGCTGAACATCTTGTTTATGAAGGAATTACACTGTTTCCACATAGTTTGTGAACAGAAATGATCACAATGGTAACAGAAAGCAAAACTAAATCCATTTCTTCTTACTAACAGATAACTGAACTGCAGGCTGCTTATGATGAACTGAAGAGCAGCAGTGAGAGAGAAATGGAGACTCTGCGTGCTCAGATTGCCTCAGTAAGCCCGTCCTCAGGCAGAGGTAAGTTTGTCCACCCATCTTTTGACGAGTTAAAGCCATTAATGTCAGGTCAGCATCTAAAAACACAATTCAATGTATTCAATTTAACACAAGGTTCAAACGTAATTTCACTTAGTGGGCCATTTCACTGTCAAGCATACACAGAAATGGAACTTTGCACAGGTTCGAGTTATTTCTCTAAAAGGCTTTTCATTGACAGATTCATACCTATACAAAATGGAGAATATATTCCTCAATATTGTTCTCACTGTAGCCACTGGATATACTGTCATAAAAAAAATGAAGTTCCTACAGTAACCATTTCCCAGCCACACTTAAACTAATTTTAATGTTGTCTGATCTTAGTCTCAGCTGCCTTTTCACATTTCTGCCCTGTTTCGGTTAGATTCGGAGGGCCGGGCCGCTGCGTCTGCTTCCCCCGCCGTGGATCTGCAGAGGCTGAAAGCCGAGGCTCAGGAGAAGCAGCTCCAGCTAGAGGAGAGTCACAGACAAGAGATGGAGCGCCTCCGAGCCCACTACAGGCAACAGGCCTCGGAGACAGAGGAGCGGTACACCACCGAGCTGGTCATGCTGCAGCAGCGTCTGCAGGAGGTCACCGGCACCGACGGCTACTACAGGTGACCCCATGAACTGACCCACATCCTCGGGGTGCCGCTATCAATTCACTGACTTTTAATGTGGATACATTTAAACGTACTTTTAATTGTTTGTTTAAATATATACACAAAGAAAGTCAGTGAAATTATCTATTGAGCTATTAGAAAAACATACTTTTAATTGTTTGTTTTTCTAATAGCTTAGTGTTGATTAATCGAAACACAAGTCTTTTCACATATCAGTGTTTAATAACGCAGCTTCTTAATTCATCCATTTATTTCTTATAAGAAATCTTAGGATTTTTAACGCTTGAAGGAAATTCTGCTTGTGTACCACATACTTCTCATGTCTTAGATAAACCCTTAACATGTTCCTTTTAGCAGTAGCACTTGATTGATTAATGCAGTGTGTGTGTGTTTGAGAACAGGCTGAGCTGTCTGAGCTACATGATTGACTGTACTAAAGATAACTTCAAACGTAGCCTGGTGTGCACATCCTGTAGCATTAGGTGGCTATCTGACCCAGTTCAGTTGCCAACAAAGCCTTTACTAATGAAATATTCACTAGTGCTTTTCATGCCTTTTGTTAACACACTAAACTGTAAAATTAGCCCTCCAACCTCTCCATATGTCTTCCCGGTGGAAATTGGACACTAAAATACTGCTTAGAAAGAACAAACAATGAGATCTTAGACACATAAAGCAGTAATTTATTTTTCTACATTATATTTTATTTATGAATTATAGAAAAAGGCTTAAATTGAAAGGGCATATTTAATCCTGATCTGTTCTGGTTAGGGTGTGTTAGGGTCTGCATGAATTTAATAACTGTATGATTGTGTAGAACTGGTTGAAAAACCCATTATGAATCATTGAGTAAATCCATTTTCAAATTTAAGTTGATTTAGCAGAACCATGCCCGACTCATTGAGGCTGAACCCCTAAGGACTGGTTTTAGAAATGGTAAACACTGTAGCATATGTTTCACCTAAGTCATTAAAACCGCTCAGTGAGCCGTAAAGACCTATAAATCGGGTTATTGTGATTGTGAAAGACACCTCTCCCAGTAGGATTGAAATGGTTCTTCAGGATTCATTTAAGGTTTTTGTGTGTCCTTTCACTTCCTTTTAAGGGGACTCGAAAATGTAAATCTTGCTAACAAAATGAAACGAGACGTTAAAGCTCATATTAAACTTTTTTTAGATTTCGGACTTTGTTCTTGTGTCAAATCCAAGGACTTTGCACCAATTCAGCCTAATGGTACTTTTTGATTGCCAACTATTTTTAAGAGTTGTGACCACTTGGACAGTTTGCTCATGCAGATGTTTAATGATGGTTTAATGTGCTAATGTGCACCTTTTCATCTGTAAAGAGAAGAGTCTCAACCTTTAGACACTGAGGTGCTACTGCCCTCCACTGTTTGACAGCATAAAACCTAAAAAAAAAGTCACAGGAGAGTGATTTGAACAGATGTTATAGGTTGATGTTGTTTGTAAGTATTTTTTTAGATCATTATTTGTGTCCTATAATGACAGGTATTTCCCTTTTTAATAGATTTTAGTTCTGTAATGTAGTTAAACAATTTAGTCAAACTGAAGATGACTCTTAGCCCCAAAGTTATAATCAAGTCTTTTTCCTTATTTAAGAGCATAAATTAACGCCAAAGCATATAGTCATGAGATTATTTAACATCAATAGATAAAGCCCTGTTTATATAATTCGTTACAGTTTTAGTAACGTCTTCTGAAGTTGTATTTTGTAACCCCATTACATTTTTCAAAAGAGCATTGCAAGCATTCATATTTGCTTACCACAAATAGCGTTTAAGCTTAACTACTTTAAGTATGTAACTATTTTTTATATTTTCAGTGTTGTAAATACCAGTTAGACTGTTCTTATTATTATGTCATATGTGGTTATATGTTATTTGTTATTATCATTCTGTCATACATTGGTTTTACATTTACAAATTAAACAATAATTCTTTAACTTGTTTGTGATTGTCAAAAACTAATGCAGATATTGTGTTTTGTCTTTAGTCTGTCTGGTGCTTCAGAATCCAGTTCTGTGAGGATTGAAGAACACAGCGTGGATCCAAAGGTTTGGCATTTTTTTTCCAATCTTTCATGTCACATGCATGACATCCTGCTATGGGCAGAAACGGGCAGATGTATTGAGATGGGAAGACAGTAAGGGTGGATGAGTTGGAGCAGTCTCAGCCTTGAGGCTAAAATGTGCCCTAAATCCTCACAGGCAGCATTATAAGTGAACCTATATCTAATGATTAAAAGGATTGGACATTACATAACACAGTTTTAACCAAGAGAACTTTACTCTAGCCTTGGTGAAAGGATGCCTGATTTGCTGTGCTCTATTTCAGCTATCTCACACGCTCATCTTTCTAACTTTTATCCCCTCTTAGTGTGTCAGTTTTGCTCCCATCAAGATTAGAGCTCCACATCATGTTTTGAGGCTCTCACACTAGGGACTGTTGCAAAGATTGGATAGGAAGACGAAAGAGTTTAATATCGACAGAAAAAGACCATAAAAATCCTTTAAGTTATGAGATGTTTTGGTTTGAATTGTTGAAACGGGCTAGAGGACAAGATGGGGATTCATGAGGACAGAGAGGCAGTGTGTTCGCTGAGAAAATGTGTCTGTAGTGTGATACAGGACACTTGTGTATCTTTTTATTGTTGCTGCGAGGCCGAGAGAACAAAATGGTATATTTATCTGTCGTGAAGGAGTGGGTGGGGTTTGGCTCAGATGAAGGAGATTTGTTTATTTCAGGAACAGTCATGAGAAACGTCCATTGTGGCTGGATACATTTTCCTCACTTAAACACAGGGAAGTCACGGTTATCGCAGTAACTACCTAACTTTCACTTCCGTGTGCAGGACCTGAGCGAGGAGGACCTGTCCGAGGGAGGCGTGGAGTCGCACCGGTCTGCGAGGTCCACAGGCCTCACGGCACAGCTGCAGGCGCTGAGAAAAGCTCTGTACCACAAGTACATCCAAGAAGTGGCTGCTCTCAAAGAGCAGCACAGCAGTGAGCTGAGGAGACTGAGGGAGGAAGGGGAGCAAGAGAGGAGGAGACGGCAACAACTGGAAGGAAGGAGAGAGAGAGAGAGGGATCTTAACGGTGTCATCGGTGCTGGAAGCTCCACTGAGAGCCTCGGCTTCCTTCTGGAGGAGAAACAACATCAAGAGAGAGTGCAGGAGGAAGTGGCCAAGGTATGTGGCCATTCACCTAGAGTTCTCAAAAAGAGTTTTGTGGTAAAATTATCTGATGAGAAATGCTTAAGACATCCCAGCTATCATCAGTATTTTTCATATTGTTGGATGATTAGGTTAGAAACTGGAGCTGGGAAAGTAAAACAAATGTATGTATTCTGGATTCTCTTATAAAAAACTGAACAAACTGAAACACCTAATAGAAAAGAGAACCATGCATGCACTACATCCTGAATCTCCTCTGTGTCTAGATGAAAGTGTCTCTGATTCAGTTTTTTGTTCCGACAGGCCATAGTCCAGATGTCCGTGGAGTTTGCTCAACAGACTGAGCTGGCTCGAATCAACAAGCGATCGCGCCACACGAGCATCTCCATGCAGACACAGTGGGACGAGGAAGAAGCAGACGACAGAGAGACCGAGGAGCAGACTCCAAGGGCTTCCCCCACCGCGGGCGTCTGGCTGGAGGAGGTGGAGAGACTAAGGCTGGAAAGGGAGCTGGAGGAGAGGAGCGCAGAGATCAGAACGCTGAAGGAAGAGCTGCAGAAAACTAGATCAGGACCTGAGCAGGTCGGTGTTGCTTCCCAAGCTGTCACATCTGTTATGCTGCTATACGCTCGTCTTTCAAGCACTCTTGGGTAATTTTGCTGTTGTTTCGTGGTTTTCTGGTGCAGTGGTTCAGTGCAGGCATTGCATGTCCTCTGCAAGGTTAGCAGTAAATGTAATGCTCTGTACGGGGAATATTTGCTTTATATTTTATTCTTATTTCCAGCTCCTATCACTACATGGTTATTTACCTGGTTACCTGAATAATTTCTTCCTTCTTTGACTCTAAATTCTTGATAGTTGTCACTTTACTTAGAACTTTTGACCCTACCCTCAATTGGTGAATTGATTTACTGACACACTGTAACAGAACTGTGAGTAAGTGTGCAAACACGTGCTGTTCCCAAGGAGAATTAGTTTGGGCATGTCAATTTATTATTGATTTGAAATAAATCGTTTGACTGTTTACTCCTCTCGAATACTAATATCTTAAATGCTACACCTTTTATCGTAACTTCATCAATATGCTTGACACGCCTCCACTTCTCAGAGTGATTTAGCTTTTCCAAAGGTCTCCCCCTCCTTTGACTAGCTAATCCCAGAGCCTGCCTGGTTTTCACTTTCCATTAATTGCACGATTAAAGTTTGCCTGCGTGGCTTCGCTGCCTGTCAGATTCAGCGTTCTTTGTGAAATGAAGAGCTTCATCATCTGAGCAGTCAAGACTGAATCTGAAAAAAGAACTTCTTATGACACCATTATCAAGTTATATTCATTTTAATTATGAGAGATGTTTTCTTTTATTCTTAGATTTTTAAACATAGACTGTTTTTCAGCCCCAAATCTTTGAAAAATCTAGTTTCCATTAAGAAATGCAAAATTAATAACATGTACAGGATGTTAAAAAAATGTGAGATAAAGAAGAGAAGACTCCAGACATCTGTTTTTTTTATTTTTTTTATACAGAGCTGTATTATGCTGTTGGCTGAAAACATTACGTGTTTCCTGTTTACATTTTAGTATTTGACTTTTCAGGCTTTAGCTTGATGCCACCTCAAATGACCCCTTTTATCCTGTACTTAACAGTCTTGACTGTTACATAAAGTGATCATTGTGTCTGGGTTCTCTCTTTAAATATTCTAAGCATGCAGTCCCATGAATTGAAACATATTCAAACATGCTGATATGAATTGCAAATTATATTATCTAAATCAATTTACCACTCTGTCTTATCTCTTGAAATAATTTAGGTTTCTACTAATTCTGGGTTTACAAGTGATTCTTGTGTACTGTAAGTCTTCCTCTTTGAAAAGCTCTGAAAGGGGGTTGTGCAGGCAGCATGTACTGAAAACGGGTTGTTTTATTCAAATCTTCTTGTGGTCCTCAGTACAGTGCAGCATCTGTTGAGAGCGTGAGCTGCTTTTTTGCTGACGCTCCAACAGATGGAGCCACCAACCCTCCCTGTCCCCCAGCCTCAGGTGCACCTGTTGCCATAGCACCACAAAGATACTACTGTTTCCCTCAGCTCCGAGGGAGCCTAAAGTGCGTCTTTGTGTTTGTGCTTGCGTGTGTGCCCATAAAGAGCTGTGTTTCAGAGCACGCATTGCTGCGCCTGATTTGAATTCACTTTTCCTAATGGTCACACATGCAGCCGCACCGTCCAGAGCTGCTGAGCTTTCAGAAGTCGGTTTATTCAGCGGACACTCCGCCATGACGGGCTTTTTATCCGTCTTCTCTCTGTTGCCTGTTCAGGGCTTAAAGAGGAGAGACAGCCACGAAGGACAACTTGAGGAAGAAGGGGATACGAGTGGTCCAACTCAGGCTGGAGGGCTCAGATTATCACTGCAGGATGATGCACAGCCTTCTGATAAACATGCTGAAAGGTATCACTCTATTCATGTATTTTATTCACACGTACACACACATATATATATATTTCCCCACTTAAACTTCAAGCTCTCCCTTTGCTTTCAGAAAATTGCTTCAGAACTTCAACAGCAGACTTTGCCAGGTGCTGGTGGACGTCCTGAAGACCACTGCTGCCGCAGAGGAAACTTTGGGCCTCCACATGCGAAGTTTACGCGAGGCCTCTGATGGAGGGCAGCCCCCTCCCTCCACCTCACCGACAGAATCCCGGAGGCTAAACACAGAGCCTGTCAAACCACATCATGCAGGCAAGTATCATCAAGAAGTCCAAGTAATTTGAGATGGTGTCTGTCTACATGCTTCAAAAGCAGGTGCAGCTGTTGACAGATTTTTGTTAGAACTGTAGTCAAGAGTAAAGTTCAGAAAATGTAATGATATGAAATACACTAAACAATGCCTCTGTATAAGGCTGATAATATAGCTGTTCATGCAGCAGTCACTGAACTTGCATCAGCAGAGCCATTGTCAGATTGTCTGCGTTAATGTCAGCTGTGACTGAAATCTAAGTCCTATATTATTTGTTGGAAGGTAATACTGCACCATGACCACATAATGCTTAGATCCACATGTAGTTGAGGCAGTTGTTCCCTCTATGTAATGGTAAAACATCATGTATTATATCAGTCCACGTGTGCACTGGTCACTAACTATAATTGGTCACATGCAAATAACAAGACAGAGTGATAAACCTGTAATTCAAATATAAAAGAAATGCCCTGTAAGGAAAAGAAAAAACAAGAAGTGCTAATTCATGAATGATTATACACCAAATAACACTACAAGAAAATGATCCAAATACTAAAAAGCATAAGTGTTCATAGTGGGTAACAATGTATAGTTCAATATTGGGTCCAAATTTGGGGCATAAATAGTACAGATGTTCTTAATATATGTGTATATTTGCAGTGATTTATCATAGCAAACATTTTAAAATAAACGTACTTTCCCATTGTGTTGCATTTGCTTCAGGTTACTGTAGATATTGGTCATAAACTGCTGTTATTAACACAACATATACAGCTTTACTTTTCTTTCATGCTGCATGCTCATATCATACCATCCAATGAAAATGAGAAAGTTGATTGAACCAAAGCTTAATTTGACTTCTTTTGCATATCCTATCTCCTATGGTAAAGTCGGCTATCTGAGTGCGCTGTAGCCACTTTTATCAGATGAACTGTGTGCTATATGTTCAAATATTGCTCTGTTTGGCATCCTTTTTGTCAAGAATATAGATTTTGAATAAGAAGCTGTGTTGGTAATACTTATTCTTAAACAAAGCTGTACACCCATTTGTGATCCGCTGTATGAGCACCCTGATATTAAACAATTCTAATATGTTTTCACATGATGTGCTTTGTTATCTGTCTGTATTTCAGTCAACCACCTGATAATGCAGCAAACACATTAAAATATACTTGATTTTATTCTGCCCAACGGTGCTACAGGAAGTCGCCGGAGCAGCAAAACTGGTGCGGAGGGCTTGGGCGCGTGGTCAGGGGAGGCTGACGAGGATGTGGAGATGTGTCAGCAGATGATGGACAGCCTGCTGCTTGGAGCAGGGCCACTGCTGGAGAAGGAGGAATATTTGATGGGTATTAGCAGACGACTCCAGACAGCTCTGGAGAAGATGTTGATGGCCATCACCGACGCCACCAACCAGGTACAAACCAAACATGGCCGGCTCAAACGATTGCACCATTCACTCGTAAATTCTTCTTGTACCCTCATCTAAATGTATGCCACTTTAAGAACTTTTTCATTTGCAGAATATTTAACTGCAAAGTATCTCAGGACACATTAAATGTCTTGGAACGTCCTGTTCAAAGCTCCGATATCGATGCTTTTAAGTTCCTCAGAACCCTAAAGGTGCTAATAAGGCTTTGTCTTGTTAAGAGTTCCGTGAGAAAAATGATGCCATTCTTAGATTTGCATGAGTAATATGAAGCTAGAGCCAACAGCCAGTTATTTATGCACACATACTGAAAACAAGAGGAGACAGCTTCCATGGCCGAAGATAATCAAATCCACCAAAAGCAGATCTGATAAATGTTATACTCTTTTTGATACTAGTTTTGTGTGTGAGATGAGGCACTTTGTGTGTTTGTTTGGGCATGAAGTTACCAATGGACAGAAAGCTCCAGCGACACATTCAGGCTTTGTCTGAACATTTAAATGCCCTCTCCACGCTGTGAACCCGCTGTGTGTTTTCGGGCCTGTCGGTGAAGACATAATGGGCATGAGACGGCAGAATGCGGCCGGCAACAAAGTTGGCCTGTCTAGAATCCACACACAAAGGAGCTGCCGCGTTCTCAGCGGTTGCCTATAGATACAAGCACTATTTACACAGAGCTTTTGTCTGACCCGGCAGCCTGTCCCGGTACAGTCACAGAGAACAACTCCACCCCCCTCAGGGTGTGCTTGTAGTTCTCCCACTGTGTCCACTGTCAGCTCGCAGAGACGGGGCCGGTTTAACTAGGCCACTGAGGGTGTTACTGTAACCGGCTGCACGGCCCATCCTCCCCCACGGTTAGAATTCATGCGTTATTCACGCTGAAACGGTTTACATCGCAGCAATCCAAAAATAGCTTTTACGAAGTTTCAAGTCATGCGTCATCTAAATCACAGATGTGTGCATCAGTGTTGTGTGTGAAAACATTTACGTTTTGCCTTTTTCTCCCACTGTCATGGCTTTAAAGGCCAGATACCGTCCACCCACTTTTGGGGGTCGTTTTAATCCAAATGTGCGCTTCCGAATACGTTACAAATCTGGATTTCGTTTGAATATTGCACTGTTGCTTTAAGGCAGCTTCAGATCAAACAGGTTATATTAATTTATTCTCCTTAAACATGTCTGTAGTAAAGATAAGAAAATGACCCACTGATTGCATGTACTACATTTTATATGTTTTCTGAAATGGTACAATCGATAGCACAATGAATGTGTAATCTACACCGGATTTAATGGCTTCTTCTCTGACTTCACTCTGCCATTGATTGGGCGTACATTATTCTTGTTTGTGCTGTTGGGTCATCTTGTCTTGAAGCAGTGTGGTAAGAAGAGATTGATGTAACATGTCTGATCAGGAATCTTAAGTGTCTTTGTTGGGTGACGGCTGTAAATAATTTGCTCGGGGAATGTGTTTGCCGCTCGTTCCTCTGTACGATTATTTGCAGGTTAGATGCTGGAATGACTCATGCCCGGCAAGTGTGACGGCTGACACAGCAGATTTAAGCCGAGACCAAGAGGCAGCATGTCAGACTGCTTAATTGTGTCTTTACTGCTACGAAGGCGAGAAATCTGGTTTGGCAGCTTTCTGAAAGAAAGGTGTGTGCTGCCTGTGGTTATTTGTGTGCACTGGGAGAGCGTGCGTTGCAACCTTGTGTGTGCGTGTGTGTGGCATGTGTTTGCTGATCTACCTGGCCCACTGAAGCCACACCTGCTTCCCTCCCACTTTTTTCTGAACAGTATCCTGCTGTGTCGATTCAGTGTAGGAAGCTGGAGAGAAATCTCTCTCAATTGAAAGCCTGAAACGGCCTCGGAATTCTTGGATATATATGATTTATTTATATTTGAGCACGTGGGTAAGGAGGAGAAAAGCGAGGCAGCGATTCCAGCGATAGTGAGTAATTTCATGGCATGAACGTGGGAGCTTACATGGAGAGGGAATGACAGCCGCTTCCGAGGCAAGGAAGAAGGAGAGAGCGAGTGACTTTCGATCCGAGAGTTGTCGCGTCACCCTCGGTCGACTGGTACTTGTGCTGAACAATTAAAAGGGGCCCCTGGGAGGCTTCTCTGCAGGTTGGGGTTGCTACAGCACCGCCGTATTGTTAATGAATCTCCAGAGAGAAAGAGGAGGGGGAGCGGGAGCGGGAGCAGACGTGGGGGTGTGAGCTTCACCGAGCGGCGTGCTATGGTTTTACTACAGGAAAAGAAGGTCAGAGAGAGCACCGGGAGAGGTCCACGGAGAGGACAAGGGAATACAAAACGTTTGCCTTGGTGTTTACATACATCCTGCGGCCATGTTCAGGAATGCCCTCTAGGCTACAGGACCCAGAGCTGACCTCCACTCCTGCCAAGGATGACGCTTTTTATTAGGACCATAAAACCCTCACCTTTGCCAGAAGATTACTTTTCTCCACATCCACCAGGATCTTATTCTACCTCAGCCAGGCGGCATGTGATTGAGATGAAGGGAATGACACCCTTCCAAATGCTGTTTACTCTTCTCGTGTGTGTGCCATACACATAGAAACTGTTGCTCGGAGCGATTCACAACATTGCGCACTGCTTCATTTCCCACGGGACTTTATGCTGTTTTAGAGGATACGCGGCTCGGCCCGACGGATGGCAGACCCCCTTTGAGAAATTCAGATAAGAAGCTCCTAGCAAACACAACAAGGCTGGAAGCTGCGCGTGCATCCGTCCTCTACCATGGATTCCTACCGCTCGTACTGGAAGTCGAGTATGCAGAGCAGCACGTGGATGGAGGGGGAGGATCGGGATGTGTACGAAGTGGAATCCCGTGTACCCCTACCGCGACCCTTCCCCCTTTGCAGCACCTTAAACTCCAAAAACGCTGTGGTGGTTCAGACGCAAATCTCGCACGTCAATCACAGGACCGATGGCCACCTTCTTAAGGTCATCTCCAAAATTTCCCTGCCCACTCCTCCTTATACTGTAAGTTTCATGCTCATTAGCTCTGAAGTGTGCTCTTGGAAAGTGGGTCTCTGTATCTTTAAAGTCTACGTTGAGCATATGCTGCCTTTTGGCGCTTCACATGCTCATTTCACTGCGTGTTTTCTGTGGTTCATGTCTGTTCATGCAGATGTAATGTAAGCTTAATGTCAGTCCACGTAGGCACACAGCTGCTCAGAGCTCGTTTGAATCTTTAGGTGAAAGATCATGTGACTGATTCTCTTGTCAGGCTCACCTTACCACTTCCTAGTTCCCATAATGTTACAAGACCTTTGCTCAGGGAGATATGAAAATATCTGTGAAAGAGTGGGTGTGAGCAAGCCGTCAGTTTATTTTATTATGATGAGTTTCTAGTTTTGATGCAATGAAAATATGCCCTCTGTCACATGAATAGCAGTTTATAATACCACGTATCTATTACATGACTTTTTTTGTTTTTTGTGTCTTTCAAAAAACGCATATCAGTTGGTAACACAGTTGCTTCCTTTTACTATTAAGATTGAGATTAATTTGTCACACCAAGCTCAAGCGGAAGGATCAATTGATTATTATAATTTATTATTACTGCACAATCTGTTCAGATTTTGAGAAAAGGACTGATACAATTTTTTTACTAAACGCCACAAATTCACGTCACAAATAAAAACTTGCTATTGGTTTTCTATATAGTCACTTAGGAATGTTTTCACAAGTCCTTAAATGTCCATACCTCCAAATTAGTTGAAAAATAGAAATTTCATGTCAAAGCAGAGGAAGCCCCACAGACATGGTCTATTTCCAAAGGCAGGGTGCAACGGTTTTGGCCGTTTGAAGCTAATGAATGATATCACTGATGTCATTTGTAAAGCGCTCCTTTAGGAAAAACCTGCTCTGTAATCTGCAACCATAAACTTCCGATTAGTTATTTGAGCTGTTCATTATCCAATTGCTGTTTCACACATATTAAAATCAGCTAAATGAAATTAAACACAGCTATTTCCACATGGTGTGGTTTAGCAGCACCACTTTTTACCTGTTAGTTTTTTTGGGGGGGGGTTTCATTCTCAGCCTTTATGTATTTTGGAGGGCCCAGTGCCTTTTTGTAGAGGATTTCTTGTTGCTCAAATGAAGCCATGGCATAGGTTTTAACAAAAAACTAATTTAACTGAATTGTTATTTATATCATTTGATGACAATTTACTGTCAGCCAAGAATTCACAGCTGCAAAAACTTGGCCCTTTCCTGACACACATTTATGTGTCTCCTTTTAGCTGGAACATGCCCGGCTGACCCAGACAGAGCTGATGCGGGAGTCCTTCCGCCACAACCAAGAGATAAACGATTTGCTGAAGAAGCAGGAGGAGCTGCAGGAGCGGTTGTCGGAGGAGGCAAGAACCCGGGAGCAGCTGGCTCTGGAGCTCCACCGTGCCGAAGGTGAGAGTGAGTCCTCAGGTTGGAACTCTGTGAACTGTGTCACGCTTGCTGTTTTCCAAAATAAGGGGATAGCTGAGCTTTACATTTTGGTCATTTATTATTTCAGTGCGTCAAGCTGCTCATCTTTGTGGGCCTTTTAAAACAGGCTGTTAGACAAAAACTGTCGTACTCTTACTTTCTTTACTGACTCCTTGTTGATCATTTTTTCTTTGCATATAGATTACTACAAATACTAATGAGTGTCATTAAGTTCAATTAAATGTCAAAAGTGGATGTGAGCATGCGTTTGAGGAGGTGGGTTTTACAAGGAGGGATGGCATCAGCTGTCAAAGGAGAGTCAAGGGCCGCGACGCCATCTGCAGTGGAGACGCAACAAATGGAGGCAGCTGTCCATAAAGCCGTCCCCTGGATGGTGTTTGCATTTTTTAAATTTGCATCAGTGTGACAGATAAATTATAAAAGTCTTTGAGTGGAGGAAAAGATAAATTAGTTATTAGAGCAGTTAACATTCAGTGGACGTCAGGAAATACATTTCATTCATTGTGGATCTTGTTGGTTTGGGGGGGGGGGGCTTGTTTTTTTCCTTTGACTTCAGAGGCAGCTGGTCCGGTCAGGGTCTGCAACACACCCCATGAGCAGTCCACACACTTTCTTTTTCAGCCTTTGCACACTTTAGACACTTCACAGACCTAGAATCATCTCCTTGTTTTCTTTATGGGCACACAGAGCTTAGGTAAGTTTACTGCCATGTCTTTTACTAGACTGGGATCCTGTTACCATGTTTGTGTTCACTAATCCTACACAGGAGCAAATATTTGCCATCATAAAATGAGTTAAAACTTTTTTGGTATCAACAAAGCTGATAAACTGTTAATGGAAATGATGAATAGAAGGAGGCTGTAACTAAAGAATTTTTCTTACATGTATGTTAACCAGTGGTACAAGAAAATAATGTGGCCTTTTGGTGTTCTACATCATGCAACACATTTTGCATTTAGATTTTGATTTGATTATGAAGAAATACTCCATAATAACCACAGGCAGCTCAAGTCCTCTGTAATACGTACAGTTGAATGTTGCTTTGCTAATTCTTTGAGTATCTCCTGTTTCAAAAGAAAACCGGCTTTGCATAACTTTGATTATCTAGTCAGGTGACGTTCCTCTTCATTCTCTGTTGGGGAGTGCTGGAAATCTTCTCAGCCCTCTTATCTTTAGCGCCTACTTACAAAAATAACCATAAGATGAAAAAGAAACATATCTGCTCCTGTTTGGATGATCCAGATAAAACATCCTGGTGTGGCCTTTTCAAACTGGTTTTGACTTTAACTAAGAAAAAAAGATTCCTTTGATGGATTGTTTTCATTTTTCCGATTTCTAAGACACTTTGGTATTGTTTAAGATGGTTTGTTGTGCTTTTTTCTTATTCAGTTCATTTCAGGCATCTGACAGCCGTGTATCATAGAGAGAGTCCTCCTTAAGCAAACGTCCTTCCCTCTGGCAGACAGGCATAAAACCAGAGAATATATTCAGAGTGGAGCTCTATTCAGTTCACCAAAAGTAAAGATACAGAAAATGAACAAACATGTTTTGAGCAGCCTCTTCATGTGTGCACCTTGTTACCTCTGTCCATGAATTGAATAGCATTCTGGAGGATAATGCTTGGTGACCTGTGATGGGCCACATTCGTAATGATTTCATTGTGTATGCAGCTCAGTCTTCAACTTCATGCCAAGCTAAATGGGTCAGACATTCTCACTTGTGCTCATTTCTGCGTCTCCATTTGTGTAGCAGAGCATGCACATGAAATATGTGGTAACCTTGGATGTTGTATCCCGCCGTAAAGCGCTCACTTGTTCAGTTTGTGTTCGACTGAAGCTGCAGGTGAAAGAAAGCCCTCTTTTCAGACTGGGAGCAGAAGAAACACACGGATACCTAATGATAAGATAGTTCTGATGTAAATAGACATTATTGTGACTCTATTTATTCCCTTGTGCTGTGGACATGCAGGTCTCATCGATGGCTATACGGGGGAACGGGCTGTGCTGGAGGAGCACTTACGCCAGAAGGAAGAGCTCCAGCAGAGCCTCGAACAAGACCTGCAGGTAGAGGAAATTATACTACTTCTCTAAAAATCTGCATTTAGGCTAAGATAGCAGATAGTATTGATCTGCAGGGGGGCAGCATTTAGCGTACAGCTTTACATTTGGGTATTCAGCACCCTTTGGGATGGGTTGGATCAGAGCTCAGCCTTAAGATGTTTGATTTAAGCATTGACATCATGTCAATGTTTCTCTTTGTTGTGCTTCAAAGCATATCTAGAAATGGATTGGCTATTTTATTTCAGCTGTTGTTCAGTTTTGACCTCCAGTTTCATGAGAGTTACGCCCTTTGTGCATGATTTATCACTTCCTGCACTTTGGGTTTAAGCCTCAGTGCCAGGTATATTTGACTTCATTAAAAGATAAGACTTGCAAAAATCTAGATTTTATATCAGTCAGTGGATGTATTTGCATGCAAGTTCAACGATAAACAAGCGAAATGTTCCTTACATGAACATCGGCACACCTGCTTAGCATTTAGCTAACAACTAAAATGCTTATGTTCTTCAAAAGAAGTCACTGCATTTTGGGGTTGTAATGGCAGCCAAGACTTGTCAAAGAAAAATGTGGAGGCTTGTCTCCAGGCTATGAGGGGAAAACAACATAATATAATAAATCTAACTGTCAGAGACTGAATTAAAGTGTTTTTGCAGGTAACAAGTAGCAGGCTGCATGAGCTGGAGCAGGAAAGGCTTCAGATGCAGGAGGAGCGCGAGCTGATGACACGGCAACAAGATGCAATGAAGGAGGGAGCCGGGCCACGAGAACTTTGTACGTATTGCCTCAATAATGGACTTTTTGAATTGATAGACTTCTAGCCAGCGACTTTAAGCAACTTAGGGAAATGAAATGTGCTCAATATAGTCTGGGTGTATGGATTTATGTGTCTGAGTTCTGTTTGTCTTTTGCCAGTGAAAAGTTTTTGTATTAGGTTTTATTTAAAGTTAAATCTCAGGCTTAATTCGTGGATATTGAGACAAGGTTAGAAGTTAATTACATTAAGTGATATAAATAGATCTGAGCATTAACCCAGAGTTGACTTTAGTTTCATGTAGGCGTTATTTCCATGATCTGTGTACAGTACACTGACTGTGTGCTCTTCTCAGATTTGCATGTACGCTGGTTTCTCAGAAAGAGTCACTTTCTTTGTTGCTTTTTGAAGGAGAGAAAATGGTACATACTCAGTGAATCAATATTAATGAACGCTTCAGACACAGGACCAAAAACTAAGGCTCAAAAAGTCCATAAAAAGTTTATTGTACTTTATTTTATGATTGCAAAGCTGAGGGAACTTTGACTTGGTCATATTTTCATTTATAGCTGCTTTAATCCTTGTAATGATCTATGTTTGATCTATGTTAAGCTTAAAGTTCCTTGAGTCCGCTAATTTAAACTGTATCACAGCTGTATTATCCAAAGGGCATTCCATGACCATAGTTTCTCCTAAAATGGTGAGTATGCAATATTTAACACCTTTCATTTCAGCCGTCCTTTCTTACAGGCCCTAGCACCTGCTGAGAAACCACCAGAAAGGCATCACCTTCCTAACTCAACCTTTTTCCATTCTTTTTCTTAAGACTTTTCCTGTTCATGACAAAAACAAAAGCATGCTAAATCCTTGTGCTTTCTCATCCTCCTGTAGGCCTAGTTGAAGCTGCAATGGTTGCAGCACCTGAAGCAGGTGTGTCCACTTTGAGCATGGCTCAGTCGTATCTACGTGTTCTCCTAATTGTCTCGCTGAGTGACAGTTTAGATCTCTTACCCCAATCCGGCAACTCACCATCAAAGCTTGGAAATTGCTTGTTATGAGCTCACAAACTTGCTCGGTGCATTCTCTAACCTCGGCTTCTGCTTTTAATTTTTCTTTTATTTGTCCCGGTTTGTCATTCTCAATGTCCTCAAGTCATTGTTGACACTCATTTAAGCATGATGAAACGAATCTTTAATGTAGTCATGACTTTCCAATCATGTGTCTTCTACTCTCCTTTAAATGCTTCCATGTTTTATTTTTTTCCTTTTTCTTATTCTATAGATGTTGATAGATCTGTTAATGCTGTGTTGACAGCCCTTTTTAAGTGCAATGGCTGTTCATGCCTTTCCCTTGCCTGTAAAAGCATATTGGGCATGGATTCAATGTCTTCACTGCCCATGTGTCTGATCTGTCATCTGCACTGTCGTCTGTTACTTTTGCACTAATCCAGCGGGGTCTGATCCTGGGGAAAGCGGCGAGGGTTGCTCACTGGTGGTAGCAGAGCATAAAGGAGCAGTGTGAGGGGGAGTCATGTCTGGCTGTTGGGTTCAATGTTGGAAAGTCGCCTGAGATATTAGAAGACTCTGACGTCGGCCATTTGCTCAGAGGATGTGTCGGAAAGGGGACCCGGGTGCATGAAGTTTAACGAAAGAAAGAAAATCTATTTTTGCTCTTAGTAGATTGTTGCAGATAAAAGCTAAAGTTGCATTCAATCTGATCAGATGGCAGACAGATTTCAGAGTCTTCAGTCAGATCTCAGCATCCTGTTCTAATAGACTAAATCCAACCTGATTAACGCTGGAAACCTTCAGCCGTCCAGCCTCAAAACCTGACCACCTCCCCATCCTTCATCACCCAGACCTGCTGGAGGAGACGGAGAAGCTGATGAAAGAGAAGGTGGAGGTCCAGCGGCAGGCGGAGAAAGAGAACACTGACCTCCTAAAGCAGGTGAAGCTGCTGGAGGCAATGCTGGAGGAACAGGTCAACAGGGTGATCGAGCTGGAGCAGGCTCAGACGACGGAGAGCGGAGACCTCCGACAGCAGGTCCACGCCCTGGAGAAACAGCTCGATAAGAACAGGAAGTTCCTCGATGTAAGTGCCCCAGAAACGCAGTGGAGCAGTGCACAAGAAAGCTTTATGTTACTTTATACACGACCATCTTCATTCTGGTGTTTCACAGCAGCATGAAACTGAAAACGATGTTATATTTCGTCATTAATTTCCACTTCCCGATAGAGCTGAGGTCCTTCAGATGGCATAATGATGTTAAAGGCTTAAACTCTGTGCAGTCATGTGCCATGTGTTCTGAAATCCCGATAAAGAAAGGGATTTATATCTTCATTTGTGTTTCAGTAGTCATTTATGATGCATGTTGCATAATCTTTATTGGGGTTTGATTTAATTATAAGGTTATTGATAAGCTTACGTTGTGAAAGCAGCTTATAAAGCAAGAGAGAAATAAAATTAAACTGTTCATTGCTTTTCTTTGTAGGACAAATTATCTTCTTTTTTTTATTCAAATTTCCAAATAGCAGCTGCCCCGGTGCAGTGTTGATAGCATTGCTTAAAGCATGATCTTATCAGCTGTCCTGTCGTCTGTGTGGAGCACCTGTCACCAAGTTATATCTACTATAAATCTGCATTCATTTAGCAAGTATTAACTCTCGATTTTCCTTTGTTGCGGCGTAATTTGGGTGAGCAGGAACAAGCTGTGGATCGAGAACACGAGAGGGACGTCTTCCAGCAGGAGATCCAGAAACTGGAGCAGCAGCTGAAGAGTCCACAGAAGCTTCAGATCGGCTCGGAGCAAAGAAACCGAGAGGTAAGAGGAGGAAACTGTGAAACTCCCCGTTACCGTGCAGGCCCTGAAAGGGAAGCTGTTGCCTTTCTGAGTGCTGCACTGTTGTAGCTGCAAACACTGGGCTCATAGTCAAAGCCGAACAACAGAAGTGGTAGAATTACCTGAGCTGCCCTGAAAATGATACCTCACAGCGTGAGAGTCACCTGTGAACGAGAGGTGAGGTTTGCACTTTGAAAGTTGCGTAAATGTTGGTTTCATTTGAAAAAATCGTGGCCACATGAAACTTTTCTGAGAAGACAGTGAATTGTAACTCTTTCAGTCTCATTTGTCAGACGTGCGTGGTCAGTTATACGGTGTCGTAGATAATTTGTTCCAGCCGTTGATGAGCTCGATTCAAACAGCTTTATGTAAAGTGAAACTAATTGTGATCCCCTCACAATTAGTTTCATTGCCATTCTTTTGAGCATCACTGGACATTTTCATCTCAATTATTCAGTTTCATCAGTCTTTGTTCCAGCCTCAGCAGGCAGTTGTTTTCAAATAAAAACTTCCAATCAGTTTCCTGTAATGTGGCTCGGCCAGCACCAAATGGCAGCCGAGCAAAGTTAGCTACTGTCTGGAAAACATGGTGGAGTGTTTATTAATTCTATGAGGACCAATTATTTCCATCCGGAATATTGGAAACCAAAGCATAATTATTGGGACACAAAATTCCTGAACATTTACTGTCAGAACATTGATTCCTTCCCTCAGCTGCTTAATTGCTGAATTGCTAGAGATTACTAGCCCCTTCTCTGCTGATTACATTTTTATTGCCCCCAAGTGGTCAGAAAAATGATCACGGCTGCTGTTATAATCATGTCAGTGGACAGTTAAACCGTTTTACAACATGATAGTTCTAACAGGATTTGATCTTTATCGGTAAAATGATCAGTTATACATCATTTCTGGTATTTCTTCCTGTTGCCCCTTCATTTTTCTTGAATATCTGACACTTCCTTGTTTTGCTGCCGCCTCACAATATTTTATTTGGATTGTCTGCAAACAACAGAAACACCACCTTGTTCCCATTTGTTTGATAAATGTTTTAATATTGCTTCATTAAAGCCACAGGTGGCTGTCTGATTTATACCTGTATTTAAAACTTATTGTGGGCATATTTGATTTAATCTCACAGTCAAACACCCTGATGTAGACTTCCATTTTGTCGCTAGTCTCCAGACACTCCTTAAGCATCTTCATCTCTAAGTGCTTTTTTTCCTCTGCTTCCCTCTCGCTTTGACTCCATCCTGTGATCCGTTGTGCCTCTGCCTTCTTTCTCCCATGGCTATTGCAGGTGGATGGAGTAATCTTTCAGGTACTGCTTCTAGCTTCCCGAGAGCATTTAGTAACCCTGCCCTCCTCTGTAGAAATAAAAGGCCCGTATGTTACTCGTATCCCCCTGTTTTTGCCTTCTATTCTCTTTGGTCTGCGTCTTGTTTCAGAAATCTTTCTCTGCACCATCCCTCGTCTGTCCTCTCTGGGTCACAGAAGAAAACATTGCGATTGACTGTTGAACACATTATAAGTCACTGTTAGAAAAATTACCCTCATAGAGTAAAACCTCTTTACTTTATTTGGTATACACTTGACCTATTTTCTACACGATGTCAAGTAAAAGTAGGTGAAGTAGTTCTAACATTGTAAGTGTCATACAGTGTCTGTCACTCAGACACCATCTTTCAATTTAAGACGGAGCTGTAAATAACTTCTGACCTCTTTTTGTTAATAAAGAAAGAAAAAATATAAGCTAATGGTTTATTTAGTTGCTGAAAGCCTGCTATAAAAGCCATCCTGTGGTCAGGTCATCTTGATTTTAAACAGAACAGATTTGAAAAGATGGGGTTTGTTTGCCTCACTACAGTTTTGGTTTGAATTAGTAGAAATCCTCATTTTAAATGGCATGCAGCCCTTTAAAAACACATGATAATGTATCATAATGTTTTGCTCATATCTAACTCTGCTGAGGAATTGTTTGGAACCTACGATGATAGCTTCCTTTAAATAAAAGATGTTCTTAGCTTTATAGCTACCTCTGTAACCCCCCCCTTCTTGTGGCGTTTCTTTCTCCTTTTCATTCATCTGATGATATTCTTCCATCTCACAGGTGGATCAGTTCAGTTGCCTGTCAGTTCCTTCTGATTTGTGGTTTCTTTCACCCTGATTGAGACCCCCCCCCCCCCCCCTGTACCTCTTTTCACACCCCCCCCCCTCCTTTCTCAGGTGGATCAGCTGACTCCCAGCTAGCTGCACATGTACCAGCTACGCTGTAGCCAGAAATGTCTGAGAGCATATTTCATTAAACGACCCACCCCCCTTTGTCTCCCCCACCCCCGCCCGCCTGTGGTTTCACTCTCCCTCTCCTCTCACTACCAGGTGGAGCAGCTGACCTCCCAGCTGAAGGAGAAGGCGGATTGGTGCAGTGAGCTGCTGCTCAGCTCCGAGCAGCTGCAGCGCGAGTTGAAGGAGCGCGACGAAGAGATTGACAAGCTGGCGAGCCGCATCCGCGATCTGGAACAGGCCCTGCTGGCCAGCGCTGACTCCCTGGAGAAGGTGAGGGGGGGGAGAGGGGGGAGAGGGCACAGAGGGAGATGAGTGTTGTGCTGGAGACAGAAACATAGATGGAAACGGCAGTCAGAACAATAGCTGGGGAGCATGGGAGAGAACGTGTGTGTGCGTGTGTGTGTGAGAGTGAGAGAGAGCATGTAGATGAGGTGACAGCTATGGGAGGAGGGCCGGTCTGAGAGGATGAACAATGTGTGGGTGGGTCTTGTTTAGTCCCCCCAGCAGTCTGCTCCTGCTGGTGACTGAGTTCTGTTAGCTTAGCACTGGGGGGGCATCTTTACAGAACTAATTCTGTAAAGATGCCCCCCAGTGTTCAGTGATGGTTGTGGGGAGTGGAACAAAAAAAGTTAGAGGTAGAAAATGCCTCTGGTTGGTGCAATTTGTTAACAAAGCCGTAGCACTGAAGACTCATTAGAGACCCATTTATAGGACAGACAGAAAGCCTACTGTTGTAGCTTTGAGACCCTGTGATAAGTTTGATTACAAGAGCTTTTTTTACCCCCTGTTGGCTTTTCTGCGCATGCCTTTAATAAATGCTGAGCTAAATAGATTCCTTCATGTGTGTTTTGCAGGTAGAACAAAAGAAGCAGCATGCATCCATCCCTGAGTCAAAACACTCCATTCTGGAGGCTCAGCTACAAACCGAGAGAGAAGCTCTGGAGCGGAAAGAGAAGGAGGTAGGCGGCTGCTTGGTTTGTGCTGTGAAACCGAAAACCTGTGTGGTGTATTCATAAGATCTTTATTAGGGGGCAGTTTACACCTCACCTCATTGTTAGGATGATTTCCTGAGACTGTATCAGCTCCTATATGCGAAGAGTAAAAACGTGTTGTCAGATTACTCTTCTGACAAGGAGAAATCTGTTAATTTAGATTTTCATTTTCAATAAATGTATTTATGAAGTATGACTCTCTAGAATTGGACTAACTGTTTGACATGTTAATACACGTGGCTGGCTATTGCATGGAGCAAAACTGTTTCCTGATATTTTCATATGTTGCACCTGATTTCTTGGTAGTTTTTTTCATTAGGTCAGAGTTAATAAACAGTGTATGACACAGGACATGTCTTCTGTTTTCTCATCCATGTCATGTCTCCTCTGAAGTCTTTGTACTGTTAATTTATCACCTCAGATTTGTAACCTGGAGGAGCAGCTGGAGCAGTTCAAAGAGGAGCTGGAGAACAAGAGCGAGGAGGTGCAGCAGCTTCACATGCAGCTGGAGATCCAGAGGAAGGAGATCAGCAGCCAGCAGCAGTACCTGGAAACAAGGGACAGCATGCTCCAGGTAAGCCTGCGTTCTTGTTCCTGAAAGCAGAAATTGTAGAAAAAAGAAAAACGGTCTTTTGAATTTTAGTTTATTTTTTAAATTGAATACTAAACTGCTGCTCATTGCTGATCGTTAAAAATAATTACATCTGACCAGAAAAATGGCGGCTCCAAAGAAATGTTTCCCTCTCAACCAAATGCCACAGAAATTTAAAATGGGCGATATATTTAAGAGAAATGTATTCAGTTGTTCTGTGCACAAAATTTTGAAAACCTTTTTTCTTTCTGAAAGAAGATCTATGTTATTTGTTTGTAATTTTGTCTTCATAGTATCAAGCTTTTTTCCCCCAATATTTTTGCTTCACCGTGGTCGACACGGCTGCGTTCTCAGTCTGAGTTTTCAGTTGTTTGCTGCGAGGCGGACACAGAGTGGACGCATGCGTGGCGTGTTCATTAATAGCCATACATTATAATTTCTGATTTTGAAGGTCATGGAGGAGAAGGACAGGGAAATAACACTTCTTAATGAACAGATCTCTAAGCTTCAACACATGGAAACTGCTTCTGATAACAAGGTAATGCAAAATGCATGTTCGAAATTGGAACTAAGTCTATTTCGAGCATGCATAGCTCCGTGGATGTGCATCACTGTGTCCTGGTTGCTCCTTTATTTGAGTTGGTTGCCTTTTGATTTTTGTTGGGTGTTTTTGAAATTTTTTTTGTTTTGTTTTGGTGAGTAAATCCACAGCATCATTTGTCTTGAGGTGATCATTTGTTCATAAGAGGTTGATTCTTAAACCTCGGGGTCCCTATGAACTGCTCACCCTTGGCAGAAGCTCAGATTTAAAAGTAAAGGGTGAAAAATTGGACGTTATCACAGGTCCCAAGTCTGAGCAGAGCAGGGACTCCGATGTTTAAACCGATGGTGGGTTGCACACACGTTCTCAAGTCCGTATTTCTAATCACGTATCGATTTATTTATTTTTTTATCCTTTAGGAAATTGACAAGAGGGACGAGCTGATCAAAGACCTGGAGTTGCAGGTAGAGTGCCTGCAGGGGGAACAAGAGCGCTTAAAGAGAAATAAAGAGGAAGAACTCGACCAACTGAATGCGGTGATAGAAAAGCTTCAACAGGAGCTCGCCAACATTGAGCAGAAACAGGCGGCAGAGGAAGACGAGGACACCAGGGGTGAGACAGAGAGCAGCACCTGGGGGCCGAGCACAGAGGAATACACTGAAATGAAGCAGAAGATGGAACTGTCCAACAAAGAGATTCAGATGCTAAAAGCTGAGCACAGTAAGCTTTTGCAGACATACCTGCACCTAAAAGAGAGTACAGAAGCTCTAGCTGAAGCAGAGAAGCTGGACAGCTCAGAGGGGGAGCTGGAGGAAGCCCTCAGGGAGACAACCGCCGGCGTTGTGGTGTTCCAGGCACAAGTACGAGCCCTGGAGCAGAGCGCAGCGTCCAGAGTGGAGGAGTTAAGTCTCCGTATCCAGGAGCTGGAGGACTTGGTCGGGGAGAAAGACTCGGAGATAAGCCGCTGTCAGCTCCTCGCGGAGCAAACTAAAAGCCATGCAGATGATCTCCAACGAAGGGTCACTAATCTGGAGGAAAATCTGAGGGAGAAAGTAGCTGCAGCATTGGTCAGCCAGGCCACACTGGAGGCCTTCCAGCAGCAGCAGCAGCAGCCCATGGGATCAAACCAGGAGCTGCAAAGACATATGGAGCCGCATGGTTATGACTTTGGCGACTTCGCTATCCCTCAGGTGGATTTCAGCAAAATGAGTCACGCAAAACAAGTGCCCACGGGAAGAGTGGTTCATCTAACGCAGAAGCTCCGGGACCTGGAGGTCGGACTCAGTGGCATGCAGAAAGACCAGGAGCTCCAGAAGCAGCTGCTGTCCAGCTCCGAAGAGGAGGTGCTGGAGTATGAGAGGAGGCTGGCTGTGCTGGTGGATCTGCTCAGTCAGATGAAGGCGAAGACACACCAGAAGGCACCATCATCAGTGGAGGTTAGTGCAGCCCAAAAAAAAAAACACCTACCAGACAAACATCCCTGTATTCTGTAAATATAATTTGAAGCTATTTTTATGCATATAGATTATATCCAACTGTTTTTAGTCCCACACCTGAAACTAGGTCGAGCAAATTGGGGTCTGTTTCGGGACTTTTAGAGGAGACTTGAAAACGGGGTGTTTCATATACCGCTGATGCTAAATGCTTTTTGCAGCCTTGTGCTACTCACTGTATTTGGGCTTCACCTGGCTATATTACACATGTTATTTATTGATTTGATATAAATGATGTGTAACAGCTTATGTTGGAGGTGTATATGTAGCTGGACATATAACACACATGTGATAAGAAGATAATGTGAGTTTAGATTTAACTGACTCAGGGTCACTGAAGAAATCTGCAGAATTTCCAATAGATGTAAAGCATTTATTCATAAAACAAATAAAGCCTGCTAAAAATTTTAATTAGAGCAAAGTATAAGAATGATGGAAAAGCTCCAGTTTATAAACTGATAGTACTCTTGAAGTGATGCACTGATAAACTATATTGGCCAAAATGGACTGGAAAATAACAAGCCAATTATTTTAGAGTTGGTATTGATCATTCTCAGTTTAATCCCAGGTCTCAAACCTATTTTTAACCAACAAAAAGCTTTCTGTGAAGACTTCTGTCTGACTGTTACAGCTCTGACACGTCTGATTGTTTTTTCCCATCAGGCATCGTCTGATGAGCAGCCGGCCGTGTCGGAGCTCCTTCAGGAGCTACAGGAGGTCAGAGATGAGGCCGCGGCCACCAAAGAGCAACTTACCAGCTACAAGGAGAGCTGCAGCAGACTGGAGGAGGAACTTAGAGTGGGTGTTGTTATCCGTGCCAGTATCACTCTTAGGATTGCGTTTCCAGTATTCTGTCAAAGCAACAAACCCTTTGTTTTGCTTTTTTTCTTTCCAGGAACAAACTTTAACAGTCGAGAGGCTCCAAGACCAGCTCAAAAAAGTAAGATTACATCCTCACAGTTAACAATTTCTCAATGAACAGCAGTTAGGTGTAATGTTTTGGCCTTGCTGCTGCAGGTATCATCAAGTGGCCATGAGGAGACAAAGGTGTCTGCGCTCGAAGAGGAACTGATGGAGGCTCAAAGTGAAGCAGCAGCCACCAAAGAGGAGCTGAACAGCTGCAAAGAAAGTTTGGAGAAACTTCAGGAGCTGCTGCAGGTGCACACCCAGATGCTACTTTGTTATTCTCTTTTCTATGGAGTTTTTTAAGGATAAGCAGCTTTAAGAATAACTTCGTATTTTTGTGAAAAGGCTTACTTAGTCATTTTCATGCTGGATAATTATCTGCTTGAAATATAAATATTAGACTATTATATAGCATAAAGAAAAAAATTCACAAGACTGATTTGAAAGTTACTTGGTATCTTTAACCAATCCATAAAATCAAACATCATGTTTAACCACGCTGGAGGAATCGCTTTTTTTAGATTAACTATACGAACAGTTTTTACCAGTGAACCACCAGTTTTTTTGTGGTTTATTTATTAACTGTTTCCTTTTTTAGGAACGGGAAATGACCATCGCCCAGCTGAAAACAGAACTTTTCCAAGTAGGTTGGAAATTTTTGTGGGCATTGGAACACGTCTGTTGTGATATTTGAATGTTTTTTTTTATTCTGAGATGACACCTGGTAGTATTGACTGATTTGTCTGATATCTTCTAGGTAAAAGCCGCAGAGGACGGAGCTGAAATCTCGGAGCTTCTCCAGGAACTCGAAGGCGTTAAAAGCAGTGCAGCTTCCACCAAAGAGGAGCTCAACAGCTATCAGGAGCAAAATGAGAAACTTCTAAAGGAACTCCAAGTCAGCGAAGCTTCTATTTCTAAACTCAAAGACGAACTGCAGGAGATGAGAAGGACTGTCGATACCACCAAAGAAGAACTCAACAGCTACAGGCAGGACAATGAGAAACTTCTCAAGGAACTTGAAACACGTGAACTCTCTGTTACAAAGCTCCAGGAGGAGCTCCAGGAGGTGCAAACAGCAATGATGAAGGCAGCAGAGTCTGGTCCTCCGTCACTCGCTCCATCACCTTCTCCCCAGCCTACTTCCTCTGCTTCCTCTTCGTCCACCACACAGCCCAAAAGGAAGGGAACCAAGCAGGCGACTGTGAAGGGAAGCGTTGCCAAAGATAAGCCCTCCGTCACCAAGAAAAACTCTGACCCCTCCAGCCAGTCCAAGTCTCACCGTTCTCGGCCGCACAGCAGCCTTGAGCAGCATCACGTGGCCGTGACAGACTCCTTCACACAAACCAAACCCCCCCAGACGCCCGATCTCAGTCCAGAAACCAAGTCTGCCGCCAAAGAGGAGATGGACGAAGTGATCGGAGAGTTCCGGGAGAAGATCGCACAGATGCAGGAGCTGCACGCGGCCGAAATCCTGGACATGGAGGCCCGGCACATTGCAGAGAGCGACGGCCTTCGCAGGGAAGCACAGGCACTGGAGGACGAGTGCAAAGCCTTGAAAGCCGTCATTGACAAACTGCGCTCCACTGAGGTGAGGCCAGCAAACGTTTGACTGGAACTGTTCAGCATCGGAACAGAATTATTACCACTGTCTCACGTGATCTCTTTAAGTGGTTTAGAAGTTTCTAGACACAATCAAACTTGGAGGCTTTAGTTTCCTTTAAAAAAAAACACAAAGTTTGATTTTAATGTCCTCCCGTCTAGGCTCTTACTTCAAGACAAGAACGCCCGACTCCACAGTTCAAAGATGGCTACACTAGTGGTAAGACACATCAACAAACCGGGGAATACAGCCAGTGTGAAGCTATTTCTGCAATCACTTCCAAATCTGCAATATTTCAATGCCAAATTATTCTATCAGCGCCGGGGCAGAATTTTCTGTTTCTTACAAATATAGATAATATTGCTAAGTTTTATCGCAAGTTTTTTTGTTTCGCCTAAAGAGTCCCTTTGTCATGGTGCAGACAGCAGCTCAGACTACAGCCAGAGGACTGGATATGACCAGCCGAGCCTGCAGCAGGAGTTCCGCACCACTCCAGAGGGAGCCAGGAGAGAAACTGATGACCCACTTCCCGACCGGATCAAGGTACAACTCTCAATTATACTTGTGAAACTTTGGTGATGGGAGGAAATAATGTTTTCGTGTTGTTGGATTTTCGATAAGATCCCTCCTGTTTCATCTGTTCTAAAAAAAAAAACGTTTGCTTCTTCAGACGTTGCTTCGTGAGGTGCACCAGGAGGGCATGCAGGTCCTCTCTCTGTCTGAGCTGCCCATAACTGAGAGCGAACCCGGCGGCCGGTTCCCCGACGAGGGCTGGATGAAGGAGAGAGACGCCCTGCTGGCAACCGTAGAGTCTCTGAAAGGGCTCATCACCCAGATGCAGACATACGGGCAAACCCAGATGTCGGGCGTCACAGACTGGCGCGCAGATCTGCTGGACGCCGTGCGACAGGTGTTCGTGAGGGAGAGGAGCGTGCTGAAGAGCGCCCTCTACAGCCAGCTGGACCTGCTGGACACCAGCGACGCCATCGTTCACCTCAATCAGCTGGAGCGCCGACTGGCTGAACAGGTCAAAAACGGCGGCTCAGTGTCCCAGATTAGGACTACTGTGTCGTATATTAAACAGTCCAGTGCTCTTGGTTGTGACGCAGTAACTCAGTTATTCGTTTGGTGATCCTGTCGCAGGACGCCCAGCACAGAGAGGCCATGGGCTCACTCCACACTGCAGAAAGGTCCAGCCTCATCTCTGAAATTCACCAGCTCCGTAGCCGGTTAGAACAACTTCAGCAAGGTAAAACGGCTTTAAAGACAAGTCTGCTCACCCTGGTTTTTAAAAAAACACGAATGCCTTTTTATGTTGCTTTGACTGGTACAAAGTATTTATGCTCATTTGTGGTTTTAACTGTTTCATTTTGGTTTCCTTTAGGCGCACAGCCTGGCCTCTCGTTGGCTGGTGAACGCGGTAAGAGGGAGCAGAGGGATCAGAGGGAGGGAGGTGGAGCTGGTGGAGCAGCAGAGCCCCACAGGCTGCTGGAGGAGGAGCTGAAGGGGGAACTGTCTCAGACTAAACTAGAGCTGGAGACAACGCTCAAGACCCATCACAAACACCTGAAAGAGCTGGACACGCTCAGGTTAGACATGAAACGCAAGATTGGTGAATTTGACTGACCAGAAGGGTTTGACGGGAAGTGAGTGAGACTGGGTCTGTGTTTGCTGGCCAGACTAAATCTTTCTGGTTAAACTCTATTAGCATGAAAAGCAGACACTGATCTCTGATTTTTCTGATGTTCTCAACCTGTCAACAGGGCAGAGATTTCCCAGAAAGCTGCAGAGGTGGACGCCCTAACTGAGCAGCTGATGGAGGAGAAGAAGAGAAGCAGAGATCTTCAGTGGGCAGTGGAAAAAGAGAGGTGTCAAACCGGGAGAAAGGAGGAGAGTAAACGAGAGGAGCTGGAGGTAAGGCCACTGAAACGTTTAACAAGGTTCAGTCACTGGATTACACATAAGATTTAGGATTTTAAGGATAAATGTCATTTTTCCCCTCCAGGACCTGCACCTGACCGTGGAGGAGCAGAAGAGCCGCATAGCCCAGCTGAGCCAGACCCTGGAGGAGGAGCGGCTGGCCACCTCCCAGCTCTCCCAGCAGGCCGAGCAGGAGCACCTCGGCCTCCACAGACGCCTCCAGGAGCTCCAGGTCCAGCTGGACACCGAGCAGGCTAAGGCTCGAGAGATGAGCGCGGCACTGGGGAGGGAGAGAGAGCTCCGGACGGGCGTCCCCTCCGACGAGGGGCGGGGCCACGTGGACGGGGCTGGACACGAGGATGAGAGCGGTCTGCTGGAGCGGCTGCAGAGGGAGCTGGATGACAAGCACGCACAGGTGGGATGCTGCTGCTTTCTGTACTGAAGGGTCCAAAGAAAATATTTTTAAAAATGTAATATCGCAAGAAACCTGAGGAGCCATGTCAGCCACATTCTTCTAAAAGAGTCTACTTTTGATTGGATGATTTTTTTTTTAAGTATAGTATAAGTAAAATAATATTTTTTGTATCTTTCATTTGTATATCTAAAAACAAGGCTTCCCTGAAAGGAAACCTGGAAAAGGAAATACTTAAGTGACTATTATCGCTGTTATCAGTCCTTTACTTAACTTTCCCTGACTTGGCTTTCCCTTCTTTGTCCTCTTCAGGTGGTGCGTCTCCTCAGTGAGGTGGAGGCCCAGAGGCTGGAGGTGGTTCGACGGGAAGAGGAGCAGACGCTGGCCAATCAGAGATCAAGACGAGAGCAGGAGGCGCTGCTGGAGGCCCGGGCTCAGCTGGAGAAGCTGCAGGCAGGAGCCTCCGTGGTCCAGGAGCAGCTGGAGAAGGAGGTGACGAGGAGGAGGACTCTGGAGGGAGAGAAGGAGAGACTGGAGGAGAGGCTGAAGCAGTTTGGAAAAGATGGAAGCAGTCATCCACAGCCTGACGAGCAGAATGTGAGTTCTGAAGACAAAACGCTCACTTTTTAGAGATTCTATCCAGCCTTTTAAAGTCTTGACTAACAAATTTATTTATTTATTGTCTTCCAAAAGCCGGCCGTGTGGCGTGGCTCCTCCAGTGACCGCACCAAAGACTGGGTCTTCCAGCAGAAGGGTGGAGACGGGGAGCCGGTGGGCTCTGGCCCGCCTCCCCTCGGGGCCCCCCCGGCAGGCCACAGCAGCGGGCCCCATCACGGCCCCTGGCGCACAGTGGACAACATCGTGGGCAAACTCTACCTTATTTCTTCAAAAATCCGCAGCATGGCCACCAAAACATCCGGCAGGTAATCGCAGGCCCCTTTACGCTTACCTTACTTTACTCGCCTAAACCCAGTAATGGTTTATTCACCATTACTGGGTTTTTAGGACTGCCAATCAAATAGAAAAAAAAACATAAAAAATATATATCATATCTATATCAACATGTGATAAATGTATTAATGATTAATTAATTGATTAATAATGTACTAATAATAATCATTAAATAATAATAATTTCTTAATTGTAAAACAATTGGTTAATAATTCATTAATAAATGAAAATTGTTCATCTCTAAATCCTTTACAGCCAGACTGCAGAGGTTGACTGTGAGGAGTTGTCATGGGTCCAGTCCAGTGTTGATGAGGTCATCACCATGCTGCAGCAGTCCCCAGGTCTCCCCTCCCTCCCAGAGGTCAGCTCATCTCTTTTTCCTGTCCCTGTCCTCATTGGATTGCATTGAGAAAATGAAATGAGTTCCCACCAGCTGCCCGTAAATCTGTCGGGCTCACTTGTGAGCGTGTGTTTCTCCCAGAGCGCGTCCCTGCTGGCGGGAGGCTCCTCCGGCTCCTCCCACACGCTGACCGAGCGGCTGCTGAGGCAGAACGCCGAGCTGACCGGCTTCGTCAGGCGCCTGACCGAAGAGAAGAACGATCTGAGGAACCACACGCTGCGATTGGAAGATGAGCTCAGACGTCATCGGCAGGCTGGCCCCGGATCAGGAGACAGCGTGAGGAAAACAAACGCACGTCGTCCGTTTTCTGTTTACGAGGACGCAGCGTTTGCCTGCTGACAGACTCGTGTTGTCCTGCAGTCCGGCTGGAGAGGCGGGTCCAAGGCCGACTCGGCAGGTCTGCTGCTCTCTCAGGAGCGGGAAGCTTGGAACCGAGAGCGGGTCCGGCTGGAGAAGGCTCTGCACCTGGCCCAGTCCCAGGTGGCCCGACTCAGGACTGAGATCAGGTCCGACACGCTTCGAGAGATAACCGGGCCGGAGGCAGACAATGCTGCTCTGAAGGTCAGCAAAAATCCCCTATTAAGAGCTGATCCAGTGTTTTGGATCGGTCTTTGGCCAAAATGACCCATCAAACCACCGTCTCTTCCCTCCAGAGGATGTATGGGAAGTACCTGAGGTCAGAGAGCTTTCGCAAAGCCCTCATCTACCAGAAGAAGTACCTGCTGCTACTGCTGGGCGGCTTCCAGGAGTGCGAGGAGGCCACGCTGTCCCTGCTGTCCAGGATGGGCGGCCGGCCTCTGCTCTCTGGCCTGGAGTCCCCCGGTCAGCGCCACCGGGGGCTGATGCGTTTCCGCTCGGCCGTGCGGGTCTCCATCGCCCTCTCCAGGTACCGCGCTACCACTCCGGGGTTTCTCCGTTTCACTTATCCTCGATTTGTAACCACGCCGACTTATTTCAGAATGCGTTTCCTGGTGAAGCGGTGGCACCGGGCGGCGGGGATGACCGCCACCACGTCCTGCGGCGCCGGCAAGAACGGAACAGGTCTGACGGGACACCGCCTCCGGCCCCCGCCGGCCGTCCGGGAGAGATTCCCGGACGGCTGACGCTTGCTGTGTTTCAGGTGTGGAGGCCCGGGACTCGCCCTTCCTTCAGCCCGGCGGCCTGGAGGCGTACCGGGACAGAGGGGCGGGCGGGGTGACCGGCGGCAGGGGGAGAAGTGGACGCGAATCCCCTCGATCGGGCGTCTCCTCCACGCCTCACAGGTAGAACTCTCACAAGCGCTATCTCCAACCGTGATGGAGATTTAGACTAATTGGTTCGGAGCCGAAGAGGGAAAACGCAGCGGGCTTTAAACCGCCGGTGCTTTTCCCGTGCAGGTTTCCCATGGCCGCAGAGCACGGGGCTCTCACCTGCTCCCACCTGCAGAGCTACGACCCCGACCGGGCGCTGACCGACTACATCTCCAGACTGGAGGCCCTGCAGAGGCGGCTGGGCAGCGTGACCTCAGGTACGGAGCTAACCGCCACGGCCCGGTTTAGATTGTGAGGGCTTCGGTCAGAGTGAGGAGAAGATCAGAGAAAAGAGGTGAAAGGAAAGAAGAGCTTCAGTGGACTGAATTGGTTAAGTATAGTCTGGATACTTTAAACAACACAATCAGGGTCCTGCAGACGTCTTTTCATAATGTGCCTCATTGCATCTTTAATGCAACAGTGTTTGCCAAGTTCAGTGTTTCTGTTTTTTCCACAGGTGCTTCTTCATACGCTCAATTGCACTTTGGCTTGAGAAGATAGATGCTGACATCTTACAATGGCTTGAAGAAACTGAGTTGCCTTTTCTCATGCTGAGCGCTCGGCTGTTTTTCTATCATTCTGGTGTGGGCTGTATCTCTCCATGTGGACCAAAAGACGTTTTTTTTTTATTATTCTAAGTGTACGACATGTTGTATTCAGGCTTTTTGTCGCCAGCACTTGAAAAACAGCTATGTTTGTAATTTAATCTGCCTCTTTGTTGTGGATAATCTACAATCATGTATATTTGTCTAATGCTAATTTAAAGACTTTGTGATTAATTTATGTTTGTGTTGAATGGGTGGAGCGTTATGTAAGGAATGTTTGGGTTTACTGTTAAGGAGGCTGCTACGGGATATTCTACACTACACTGTGTTTTGTTTAGGCCAGACAGACTACAGAGGACATTTGTAGAGAACGTATTTTTGTAAAGCTTAGGAGCTTTGAATTTTCGGGGTATTTTGTCAAAAACTGAAATAAAGAGGACTACATTATTTCAAAGAGGTTTGTGGTTTATTATTTCTGTTTTTCTTCTTTTCACTTTGTCTAAATGTTGTGATCCTTCCGGAGAAAAGAACTCTTTACAATGTCTGGATATTTTAAGTGGAACAGTAAACAGTTTGATCGGGGAATAAAGCCTTTGGACCGTTGGACGCACAGTTCTCTAAACCTGAATGCCTTTTAATTCTCCTTTTTGGAAATGTTCAAACAGATTCCCACTTCAGCCCTTTTTCTCAATAAGTGCCGTCACTTTAAAATATTTTATTTAATGGAAATGGACAAAAACATTAAGGCCATTCTTTGTTTTGTGTGTTTAAAAAAATACTCATGTTGAATATTTAAAGAGGGAACAGAGGCAACATGAGACTGGAAAAGAAAAGACAATCTAACTTTCATTTTGAGTAACTTTATTACATTTTTACAGTCTAGCTGCTATTCCTATATTCAGAAAGTCAAAGAGTCAAAGTTCATTCAAGGTTGGCAAACCGCCTTAAACCGGCCATGTCTGGAAGCTTTATTTCTTAAGGTTGCAAACCTCAAATTCAAAATTATTAGCTTCCTCTTTTTTGTTTTAACTTCTGATTTGCTTTGTATATTCCCGCATACCGACACACATAAAGGATAAGATGTTTACATCACAGATTTTTTTTTCCGTTTGTTATTATTGAAAAGCTAAAGCTTTCCCATAGAATAAAGTGGACCACCACATATGCGCTTTAGCTCTCATACTAACGTCCTTAGATGCACATCGTAGCATAAAAAGTTTTGCATCAAGTGCAAAAAGGTCATCTAAAGTATTTTGTTGTAATTTTGCTACATCAGAGTTCATGCTCACATGGAAATAGTTGTGTTTACATTTACAGGACGTCTTTACAGCTTGATACTCAGAGAAAAAGGAATCTGGGCGTCTGCAGAGGAAGATCTGGTGTGTGGGAGTCAAAAGCCTCAGCAGGTTGGTGGAGGGCAATCCCTAATGTTGATTTCAAGATTTTTAAAAAATCTTACAGATAATTACAGTCTTCTGTGAAACTATTGATAAAATTATGTCAGATTCAGTCTGACATGAGAAGAAAAGTGCATCTGATTCAAGTCCCAGAACTAAACACAGTCCCTTTGTTGTGCATCTCACTGCTTCCTCCTCTTGTATCTGATGACGGGGTTGTGCGGGGTGTGGATCATGGTGGTGTAGTTGATTGTGGGGAAGTATCCGTCCACCAGGTCAAATTCGTACAGGCGCAGCATGGTGGACCAGATGGTTTTGATCTGCACGTAGGCGAAGTTTTCTCCGATGCAGCGGTGGCGGCCTGAGGGCGGAGCAAAGAGCCGGTCAGATCCCGCGGATTAACGGCCGGCCGCACACACACACACACGGAGACCGTTTTAACCTACCGGCGCCGAAGGGGACGTAGGCGAACTTCTCCCCGGCGGCGGGGTTCTCGTGGAGGTAGCGGTCGGGCTGGAACTCCATCCTCTCGGCCCAGGTGTCGTGCAGGCGGTGGTTGACCGTCGGGGAGACGCAGACCTGGTGGCCCACGGGGATCGTGTAGCCCGCTGCCGTCTGACCGCACACGCTCAGAGGTCAGGGAAATGGGGGCCGTGTGGTCGGAACAAAGGCCGGCGAGCACTGAACCGAACTCACCTGAGGCGTGCGGGCCATTCTCATCATGGTCATGATGGGGGGGCGGAGCCGCAGGGTCTCCTTCAGGCAGCGCTCCAACAGGCTCAGGTCCTTCAGCTGGAGGGGAAGAATGAGACTCACTATTTGTTTTACATTTTCATACCATTTCACCCCTTTTGGCAAAAAGCTTTTCTTGCTCTGTTTGAAAAAAACTTGACCCTGTTTTACAAAATATGTCTTTTGTTGATATGTTTTTCCTTTCTGAAATTGAGGTTTTCCAAATTTATTCAGGGTTTTTGTTTTGCTTGTGTTTGTCCATCAATGTGGAATGTCTGTGTTATGTCTATGGGACAACCCCACTTTTTCTCAACTGATGTCAGATCCGAGGCTCTGACCTGGTCGAAGTCGAGGGGGGGCAGGTCCTCCCCGCACACGGCCCTCTGCTCGGCGTAGCAGCGCTCCTGCAGAGCCTTGTCTCTGGCCAGGAAGAAGCCCATCCAGGCGCTGGTGGTGGACGACGTGTGCTGGCCGGCCAGGAGGAGGCCGATCAGCATACCCGCGATCTCCTCATCGCTCAGCGGCCGGCCGTCTCTGAGGAGGGGGGACATGTTGAGCTTCAAAAGGGCCGGCGATGGCGTCCGCGCTGGACGGATGTTGGTTTACGGTCGCGGCTTACTTGTAGGTGGCGTCGATGAGGGTCTGCAAAATGTCGTCCACTTTCTCCCCAGAAACCCTGCGTTTCTGAATCACCTTGAAGAAAATGTTTTTGATCTCTATGTGCGCTTTGTCCCTCTTCCTAAAAGCAAAAAAGGGATAAAGAGTAGTGCGTTTTTTAGCTGAGCTGATTGTTGTAGCCGTCAGGTGCGGCGGAACCCACCTGAAGCTGGGTAAGGGCAGCCAGGTGGGCAGGAGCCAGGCGGCGTGGCTGAAGCCGCCGTCCAGGTCGGCGTAGAGCTGGGCCACGCGCTCGTTCAGCATGCTGCGGATCTCCTTCCCGTGAAGACAGGTGCTGGCTGTCAGGATGATCAGCTCCGACAGAGCCTCGAACAGGTCTGACAGAGGAAACGATGAACATATGAGTCACGGTGCGTTTTTATGCTACAATATGGCGTTTGAATTTTGTTTGACGTTTGAACCTGTTGAAAAACAGCTGATTAACTCAGTCTAAAATAGGTAAATGATGCCAGTTGCTAATGATAATCTCATCACGAGGGTTGGGAAACGGCTTACTTCTCTCCCCACTGTCTCCCCATCTCTGAAAGTACTCGATGGTTTCCGCCTCAATCAGCTCAACGTGCTCCCTGAAATGAGCGATGTTCAGCCCCGTCTTCAGCATCTTCTTCTGTTCCAGGAAGATCTGCGGAAGGGAAAAGGGCAGGGACTGGGTCAGCTTTTTCCCCGCGGAGAGATGGCGGGGATGGACGAGGCCGGGGCGCTCTGCGGGGGGGACACTCACGGGGTTGGGCACGTCGTAGGCCACCCCTCTGCCGAACACCGGAGTGGTCAGCTTGGAGTAGACGTCCTCGGCGTTCAGGTCCTCGTTCTTGCTGTTGAACATCAGGGTGGCCGCCTCGCTGCCCAGCAGGTAGGTGAAGGTCTTCCCCACCATGGTGAAGCTGAACACGGGCCCGTACTGCAGCAGAGCGGAGACACGGGACAAAAACAAATAATCTTATCACTTTTGCTTTTATCACATCAATTCAGAGCTTTTAAACAGATAGAATAGAATAATCTTTAAGTAGAAACAACTAATAATGCATATTCAAAAGAGTAATTCTGTCTTATGTTTTAGAAGATCTAATTTTTCATTTAACATGTCCATGCATGAAAGAAACGTTTTCATTTTTTTTTTTAAAGATCCTTTGATTGCAGAGCAGTTCAATCCAGCTTGTTTTGTTCTACCTGAACGTTAAAAAAAAAAACGTTGTCCACATAGCTTGACATAGCTGCAGGTTGATTAACTAAATACTTACTTTTTCATATGCATCCTCTAGAAATTCAATGGGGCTTTTTCCAAATGCAATGGCATGACCAAGGAAGGGAATGCTGGAGGGGATGTAAGGCGGATGCTTCTGTAGAAGAGACACAGGAATTAACAGGAATGAACATCGATAGCTTCAAAGAGAACTTTACAACGTGAAAAATTAAGGTAAATTACCTCATCTTTCTCAGCTGAGTGTCTGAGCAGCTGTTTGGAGACATATCCGACTGTGAGGGTGAAGACTGATGCTGCCAGCACCAGAGATGTCAGGTTGTCGGACATTTTCCCCACCGTGTCCCCCAGAATGTTGGAGCTCATCTGGTAAAAGTGCGCAGACATTTTAACGAACAGCTCGCGCAACAGTCGGAGGGTTTGAGGAGGACGCCCGCCGGTCCACCGTCCTGCTGAGGTCTAGTGGTGGACCGTTTGTGGAGGTCTCTACCTGTCAACACAGGACCTGCCCCCGCCTGACCAACGGTAGCTTCTGATTGGCTATCGTCGGCACGTCAGTCAAGTAGAACCGACTGTAATTGGTTAGCGCCACCTGAAGCGATGTCTTGCTATATGATGTCAGCCCAACAAGGCCGTCGATATCGATTTACTTTTCATTAACTTTTTTTTTTTTTTTAGATAACATTTTCCTATAGACGACCACGTGCTTAATTTACAGCTCTTAAACTATGTTTTTAAAATATCCTTCAATTTTTCCGTTAATTTCTGCTGACCCAGAAGCTAGCGAAATATGCCTTTTTATTTTTTTTTTCAAAACTATTACTGAGTGTTAAGGCACTTAGCATACAGTCGGACATGTACATGTGATAAATTATTGAAGTTTTTGCATCTGCAAGATAAATAAAATCAATAAAACTAAATAAAAATATGCAAAACATGAAAATTATCATTACAATTCGAAGTCAGTGCTAAATTACAGGAAAAACACAAAGGCAGTATTTTCATGGGATTTTAGTCCCATCGCAGCTTCCCACAAATAGTGGAAGTGAATGTATTCCACACTTATCAAGAAATTAATATCTGGGCCTACTTTCAAAGTGTGCATTATTTTAAAGTGTTGTAGGAGTTTACTATTACTAAAAGTAAGATGGTCAAAGAAGGATGCTTTCTCTCCTCTATGTTGAATGGGTCAAAACTTTCTTATCTGCTGTATGTTTTTAAGTGAAAATGTCTCAATTCTAACAAAAACTTCTACTGTGGAACTGGGATTGTGGTGAAACATATGGTAATTTGTTGTCCACCAATCTGCTGTGGAACACTCCCCCAGATGACCTCTGTGGCCAATCCAGTAGGAGTGATCAGAGCAACCCTTTATTTTCCCCCTAATTCTTACACCTACAGTATATTAATCTAAGTGCTCCCCACCATCAGTTAGAATTGATGAGGCCTCTTGGATGAGAGGAGAAACGTCTTCTAGAAAACTTCACGTCCAGTTGCCTAATTGAACTTTCCAAGCTTGACCATGACCCGGATGACAGAGAATCTTCACAAATAAGTAATGTAGCAATGTTCCTGTTAATCTCACAGAAGGTTTTCTGTTTTTCCGTTTTTGGATAATGTTACTGTGTGAAACCACTCCAAGTCTACAGGCTTTATTGTAAGTTTTTTTGTAAGCTCACGAGCTGAATGAAAGCAGGATGCTCAAACATCATTCGGTTTATTAAAACAAACATTAAATAACAAACATATTTACACCGAACATGCACAAAGTTTAGTCATGTCAGATATCAAAATGAGGCATCTGTGGAGTGACTGACTTTCCATCCAGAATTAAGACGGACAGATAATGGTCAGCAACGGGAAACTAAACCAGGCCTTTAGCAGATGTGGTTTGGTTGTGTTTTTCAGCCATAGGCATATTTATCTGTAACAGCTTTATCATTTGGAGTCATGTGTCCACTGAGTTTCATTAAGAGCTTCACAATAAGGCCAGCCTGGAAGGAAACAAAAGTGGATTAATATTAGTCTGCTGTGAACGATTTTCAAACTTTTGCTAAAATCTCTAAGATTTTATAAAGATTTTAAAGGCACTTGAACTGACTTGACTAAGGAGCAGTTACCTGTTTTGTGTGCACTATAAAGTTCATTTTGTTGTCACCGCTGTGTATTTGGAAGTACTGGTCAGCGTGTCCGAGCTGCCACATGAACGTGCCGTATTCCAGACTGATAAGAAGGACCTGAAGATACCGTGTGTTTATTTCACAACCCAAAAAAAACGGCTTTGCAACACAAACATTCATCGTTATTCTCAGGTGGCGATACCTTGGTCTCCATGTTCATGAGGTGAAGCCCCTTGGTGTTGACCCCGACATAAACGCGGATGACTTTGTGGTTGCTGGCGCTGGCCTTTGTGTACACCTGACCGGTGAAGAAAGCTGCTCCGTAGGTCGGGATGTCCCAGCAGTTCTTCAGGAAGAGTCTCTGAAGATGGTGCATCTCTTTGCTCACACCTTCACTGGTGCTCAGGGCCTGTTGTGGAGGGAGGGGCAGGTAAGCTTAAGTCAGCTCAGGATGCAAACTGATGTTACTGAGAGATGTTCATTAAAAACAGAAATAATGAGCCTACTTTGTATTCGTGAAGAATCCTGTTGGTCCAATGGTATGCTTTGCTTTTTACCTTCAATATCGGTACAATTGATTTCAGGTTTTCCTCACTGGAGAAATACAAGTAAAATGATATCTTTTTCTCATTCTACCAAAAATGTCATTCATTTTACTTAAGTCTGATCATTTAACACGTGTGTAAATGTGATTAAAAGTCTTACTTGAGGAAGCCTTGCTTGTGCTTTTTGCTCTCATAGTTGCCATAGATGATCTGCAGGAGGAGGCTAGCAAGTGTGATCAGTTTGCTGTCTGGAGCAGGAAAGAAGCCCTTCAGGAGGCAGTGCCGAGCCTCGTCGAATAAGATGAGGATGGCCAGCGGATCCTCCACCTGCCGCAGGTCAGAGAGGGTCAGCATTGTTTTCAGGCAAACTGCTCATCTCTTTACAAACATCAAAGCTGAAAAAAAAAAAAAGAAAGACAACTTTTTCATTCTAAAGTACCTTTTTCTCTATTTCCAGAGGCAGTCGGACATCCCTGCGTAGGAAGAGCTGAGGTGTCTCTCTTTGAGGATCCAGCACCGTCAGGTCCGTCACGATCTCAGTCCAGATCCGAAGGTGCTGCAGGGGTTTGTGGTACGGCTTCAGCTGCAGGTCTGACACACAAAGCGCACACAAATATGAACAAGATCTGGAAAAAATGTGTTACCCATAAAAAGGCAAAACAGCTGCGTGTCCCCAGAAGCTGACAGGGCAGCTCAAAGGGTGCCCAAAGAGTTTAGCGTGTCCACTCACGCAGGTTCTCCGAGCAGATCCAGATGGTGAAGTACTGTTGGGTTTCCTGGGAGAGCCGCATGCCCTCCATTATCTGCTGCACAGTCGTGTTGTTGCCATGTTTCAGCTCCACAGAGCGATAGGAACCGTCCATGCGGTAAATGCGCACCTTTTCATACTGTGGAACACAAGTGAGTTAAAAGTCCCACCCAACGCTATACTCCAGGAAACAACACCATCTAGTGACCAACAACATGACTTTGCTTAGCGTTACCCTTCATTGTCTTTCGTCTCTTTTATGATCACACCTTTTATTTTATAAAGGCCAAGGTGTGTGACTCACCGGCTTGCTGCTGGCTTGCTGTAGAAGTTTCATCGTCTCCTCCCATTCATTCTGTTTGTTTTCCTCACACACCTGGAGAGGTGATCTCTTCTGCTGATCCTCAATGTGCTATGGTAAGAAGAGCAGATAAAGGAATCTGTTAAGTTATCAATTGCCACTTCAACAGCACGCTTTGGTTTGGATTCTACGTTTATAGACTAGAAATTCATAGACTACTCCCCAGTCGTGGTTCTTACCCGGTCGATCTCCGGGTGCTGCAGCAGGAGCTGAACGATCTCCGCATGCCCTCCTCTGGCAGCAAAGTGCAACGGGGAGCTCAGCTGGCCATTCAGCAGATTTGGATTACAGTTTCCCTTCTCAAGCAACCGCTTTGTTGCCTCGACTTTGCCGTGCCTGTATTCAAGCACGTCATCATCAAGCTTGTCTAATACCATTCAATCGGAATTAGGAACAGAGATGAGCGTCAAACTCACCAACAGGCATAGTGTATGGGAGCCCAGTGATCACTGTCCAGCTGTTTGACCGAAAAACCACTGTCCAGAAGCTTAGAGAGCAGCTCTGTGTCTCCCTCACAGGCGCTGCGATGGAGGGGGAAGTCCTCCACCCACTGATGCTCTCTATGGAGAGAAGAGTTTAGGCTGAGAAGATGTAGTTTTAAGGCGAGTAAGTAAAAACTGTGCAAAGATCAGAAGCTGTGCTCCTCAGAATGAGGCCTCACTTGTCTTCTGCAACGCAGTTAGATCCATGTTGCCATTTCTCCCTCTTTGGTATTTGGATTTTGGAATAGTCTGGTGCTCCAAGCCCAAAGTACGGGTTGATTATAACTTTATCCACCTGTTGACAAATTAAAAAAGGGAGGCGATATGATAAAAACTCTGGATTATTTTTATACATGTCCTTTATTGGATAAATACATACATTTTTTTAATCCTTCAGCATGAAAATAAAGATGTCTTACTCGGTTGGTGTACTGCAGATCGGAGCCGTAGAGTGGATTCAGGATGCACATGTCCGCCTTCTCCAGAGATTTCATCTTACTCTTAATCTCCAAAGCAGTGTAGCCCATGTGTAGACCCTCATCACACAGTTTCCCCTCGCTGTTGTAAGCTGGGTTGCTCACGTTAGTTTTCACCCGCTCTACGGGAGCCGGCCTGAACAGAGCGGGAATGGCATGCGGCACGGTGTGCTGCTCTGCCAACCATCTGAAAAGAGGTGAAAGAGACACAGCTGAAACCTACTCCACGTTAATCCTTATTTCAGCATTCACTGAGACGCAGAGCGAATATCCTCACTTGTCTAAGGCCAGGAGCATCTTGGCTGTGACGGAGCAGAAGTGAGGGCTAGTTTCACTGCACACACGCATGATGTCCTGGAAGCAGGAAAAGCTGGGGCTCCCAGGGTGGTGGATGGGTTTGCTGTTGTCTGTTTAAAGCGAGTCAGTGATTAACTGCATTCTCAATCAAAAAAGTGAATCTTAGAAAAATCATTGACGTTCAAATGAACAAAGCCAGAAAGTCTGTCTACCTTTTACACCGACTGGCACAACATAGAGAGAGACCTCTTTCCCTTCGTTGTCAATATCAAGAGCAAATTTCTTCATGTGCACCACACGCTTTCCTGCAAACCAAAGCAATTCAGATAAATCAGTTAGAAGAGGTCGAAGACGTCTTTGTGTTGGTGCCAACAAACGTCGCTGCCTCACCGCTGAAGCCTTGGTTGTTGGAGATAGGTTTCATAATTTCGTCAACATAATCCAATATGGATTTGGATTTGTCTCCTGCTCTCAGCTTTGTCGTCAGAAGGACTTTCTTTCTCTTCTTCTCTTTCCCCTCTATAGGCACTTCTTTCAGCAGAACCTTTGCAGGCAGCAAAGACACTATGAATGAGTTATGCTGCCTACATTGAGTGGTGTACACTGCTCTGTTCAGATGTAGGCATTTTCAAATCTCACATTTTTCTCAGTGTACTATTTGTCTTGGCTAAGAAAACATATAACAGATTTTCAGAATACCTCATAGGCTTTAGCTCTGTATTCCTTCGAGCTCAGGCTGACTTGATGCTTTGGACGAATGACTGCAACAAACACATCTTCAAGGCTGTCCTCGTTGCCCATTGTGCCCACTTTAGTTTAGACACAACCAAACATCCAACACAGGGGCCAAATGCTGTGGAGAGGCATGCCTGAAACAACAGATCCCATCATCAGTTTCGCAAATAATCCAGTGCCTAATCATTCTTTATCAAATAATTTGCGCTAAAAAGAAACCATAAATTAAACTTGAGAATAATGGATTCATTCATTCATAATAATTCATTATCAGACAAATCAGAGAGAAAGACAGTGTCATTGCTGCCTTGATCAAGCAAGTGTTTTGACAGCATGAGAATGTATATTATGGAATACAAATGTGTGTCTAAAGAGTAATGAGTAAGTGTTAATTTTCCTGACAAAAAAAAACACATGAATAGCAGCTATTTAATTTTTAGAATCAGGGCAAAAAGCTAATTAAAAGCAACTACTTAATTCCATATTCACTATTTGCAGAGTAATTCTTAAACGTCAACCCACCTGTGGTATTCCATATCATAAAACCCATGTAGCTGATAGTAACACTTTTATAAGGTTTGCTGTTACCGTTCCATATTTTTAAATGTATCCCTTCATGTGTGATACAGTAACATAGTACAGTAATTATCTTTAGCAACACTCGGTGCAAAAACCAGCTTGAGTTCAAAGGAAGTTCACGCCCCGGAAATTAGACTCTTGTTAACTTAAAACTGTTCTTATGTAAAGTTTCAAGTGCTCTGTACTTTATCGCACTCGAAACAGTGGCCCATCTATCACGCTCTAAAGCTTTATCTTGTCAATAATTTGAAAAAAGTCAACTTTTTGTCTGAATCATCAGAAGTAGCCGGGATGCTACACTCAACCACATCCCCGCTTTTCCTCACGATGAGCCGCTGAAACTTACCGAATGCGCCGGGACTTTTTCCGTAAAAGCGCCAAGCCCAGTGTCGGCTCTCGAATAGCCTTTACTGTTTTTGATAAAGCAGCCCAGAGCAAAGTGCTGGCTCAGGCTAGCTTCCGCGGCAGTTTTTTAGGTTAAAGCGGTAGCGGGCCTTTAAGACGAGGCAGGGCTGCAGAGACAAACAGAGGAGTCACGTTACGTTTCATTGCCGCGGCTTCAGTCGGACAACAGAGGACTCTGGTGGTGAGGTGGACTCAGCACAAAGTACTGTCCCGCTGCAGTTCATATCTTGAATCAACAAAAATCCGCCGACAACGCAGAATTAGTAAACTAAGAGTTTAAAGCATTTCGTAATTCGAACATGTCGGTTTTTGGGTAATAAAAACATATACCATTTTTGTTAAATAGCCAAACAAAAGGCGTCACTCGGAAAACATTGCTGTAGTGGTAGGAACGACCCAGTTTGAAATAATATTCACATATTATCAAATCATTTTTCTCGACCATTTTAGGTTCAAATTTAATGAAAATACTAATACAAGTAGCAATGTTTGAGCTGAAGTCAGTTTAGCACAGTTGCTAGGCAACCAATGGATGTTTGGGGAAGTTTTTCCTCCAACCGTTGGACTTGGTTTCAGTCTTCATGTAGAGAGCTTATAGTTAATTATAATAGAGCATACAGATGTTTAAAACAACTCAGCAAAATGTAATGAATATGTACCTTAGAATATAAAGATGTTCTGTGATGTTTATCAACACAGATTATTTTATAGACAAGTTAATTTTGCATTTCATTTCTAAGGTATGGTGGCACTATCATTTTCCGTTTTTGTTTCAGTCTGTTTTGACATTTGAAGAGCAGGAACCGACCTTGTAATGGAGCTGGATACTTGGGAAATTAGTAAGATCAGGGTCACATGAAAATTCTTCAAGCCTAAAGTCTCCGGGAACCAGGACCTTTCGGTTTGGAGTTTGCATGTTCTCTCTGGATACTCCAGCTTCCTCCCACCATACAAAAAACTGCATGTTAGTTTTTTTGGGCATTCCAAATTGCTGTTAGGTGTGAGTGGTTGTTCGTCTTTGTGTGTCTATATATTTGACCCTGTGGTGGACTGCCCCTCGCCCATTGACTACTGGGATAGGTTCCAGTCCCCCCACGACCACATTATGGAATAAGCAGTTACGAAAATGGATGGATGGATAGACAATTCAGAAAATTAATGGATGGAAGTTTCACTGTATAGCAAATTAGTTTACATAAAAACAAATAAAAAACAACAACTTACTCAGATAATAATTTATTTTTTTAAAGATATTCTTTAAGATATTCCTCTTCAGCATTTATTGGTGTGACAAAAAGCAACAGGAAGCCATAGTGCTCACTTTGAAAATATCATACATTGTCAAAACAAAAACTAGATTGCATCGACATGAACAACAGCCTCAAGTTAGGTACACACTTGTAGCGTCACTTTGGTTTTTGTATTTGTTTTAAATCATGACATGACTTATATTTTTCTCTGTGTTCAGGATGATTCGTCTTTGCATTGGCTGAGCACCTCCTGCATCTTGTCCTGGATGTCTCCCACCCTCTTGGCCCACTTCTCCCGCACCTCATCCTCGTCGTCCTCTGTAACAGCCGTGTAGCCCATCAGGGCGATGAGGCCCATGTGGAACAGGTGGGCGATGTGGGAGCAGTGGTGCTCCATGGTTTTACGATCGCCATCGCAGTTGTCCAGGTAGACTTTGAGGAGAGGTCTCCCGAACAGCGCGTTTGTCCCCATCACACCGCGGTAGTACACATCCAGGCTAATGTCAGACTTGTCTCTCTCATAAATCTTCTCAAAGGTAGTCATGTACTGCTGGGTTTTGCCTGGATCTTTCTTAACCTGTGCCACCATGTTGTTGAAGGCATTGTACTGGTGTTTGATGAACTCCTCGTATTTGCCAAAAGTTTCATTCACCTCGTCAATGCGGATTTTCCTCAGACAGAGTTGGTTTTTCTTGGAGATGCTTTCCAGTTTGGTGTGGATTTCCTGGAAGTCCTTATCTAAAGCGTGGCCTTCGTCATCCATCAACCCCTTGCGAGCCACTCCAACCAGGGAGGAAACAACACCGAATATGGGGTCAATGGAGGAGGCGAAGGACGAAACCTTCTCCACGCAGCACAGCACTTTAGCTGCCGTTTTCTTGATTTGTCCAGCCTCAGCCATCTCTTTTATTTGTCTTCTGTCAAGATCCACACCAAGTGAGTCAGGAGGCTGCAGAGACAGAATTAAGTAATGCTCTTAAAAGCTGAACGCATCCTGTGCCTGGCGGCTTCAGCGTTAAAACAGAAAGCTTTGAATATCCTCTCATCTTAATTCATCCAAGATGTCATATTTAAACTTGACTGCACTGTGAAAAACAGATGTCTCCTTAAAATTCTGCCATTCATACAGTGTTGTCACACTGTACTCTGATTTATGTTTTTTTTAATCAAAGGATGTTTCCCTCAGTATTTTGTTTAAGCTGGCATGATGGAAATTTGACATTTTATCTTAAAATGATCTTCCTTAAAAAAATATATATTTTTTTTCTGATTTATGATGTATGAAATTATCATTTGATCATTTCATACATCATAAATGAGAAAAAAATCCTTACTGAGGTGGAATCTTCTTCATAGTTGTGACATTAATCATTCCCTCACAATGTTGCTGGGGTGGAAAAATAACTAGAGTAGGTGTGTCTTAATTAAAATCAGTACATGGTAACCTAAGGAGTGTAAACAAACAAAAGGTTACTTTTAATCATGTTAAGCATCTGACACAATAACTGGAAACTGCTTTCTTGGGGATTTTTAACTTGAACTAGGGATGTGTAGCTGGTAGTTTTTTTAGCTTGTTCCTCTCATTTCCTGATTCCCTGCTGCCCAAAACATGAGCCATCCTCCCATGTTCCTGTCTGTTCTAGCTTCCAGCTTCCAGACACTGATTAAGCATCCTTCAGATCCAAGATTATAAACCACAGAGGCAACCAATGTTTACTCACCAGAGATAAAACTGCTGTTGTCCCTCCGTCTACGGCAGCTGTTTGACTTCCCTTTCCACCATTTTCCACCCTTCTAAAATAAGGACAGCCTCTCCTACCAAATAAGGAGAAAACACCAGGAAGTGAGTTATGTGTGCTTTGTGCTGATTGGTTATGGGCCGTCCTTCAGCTGCACTGTGAATGGAGCTCCATCCACAGGAAACAAACAAAGGCAGAGGTGCCAATTGTGTTCATATGATTGTCACCCAAATCTTCATAACCAGCATGAATAACCAGATACTGGTCATTCTCCCCTAAGAGAAATGAAAGTGATAACTGGATGAACCGGAAAAAAAGTCACTGCCACAAACTTGAATATTCAGTCTAAAACAACTCAGAGTTTCTGTGCGTGACGGGTTGGTGCAGTTTCAGTTTAAGCTTCCTGTCAAGTATCTCTGCATAATATTAGCGTCGACCTAAGATATAGAATACTTTCTCATGAAACTGAGAAACATTGCCCGGAGTTCATAATTGTATTAATTGTGTTCCCACAAAATGATCAAACAGTGAAAAATATGGCATCTGTGAGCAAGTAAAAGCTTTTACTGAAAGCTTTTACTTTTTTTCTTTGGGATGGTATTTGTGTGTGTCTTTATTGTGGTTGCCGTGAAATGAGTTGACTTGTTTAGTCTTGATCAATCACAACCGCTGACCATATTGTCATTTATTCTGTGTCTTAGATCTGCATGACTTTCTACCCCTGTCTGAAATATCCAATATCCATCCGTCTGTCAGCCTTTGCTTCACTTCTTCCATCTCCTGCATTGTCAGTCCTGTCAGCCATGGTCATGGCACTACAAGGTGAGTTCATGTACACGTACACAATGTGTTCTGTGCACGAAAAACTTTAGAAATAGTTGAACTTAGTGTGTGAGCACATAGGGGCTTTGTTCTTTACTGCCATCAGGTGGCCTTGTTAAGAATAAATTATCATTCCTGCCCTGGGTTGTTTATTTTAAGTGTTCACATCTGCGTTTCAATAAATGATAGGTTTTGTAAAAAGATAAAAGATAGATCTTTTTTTTAAAAACAAGATTTGCAAATATAGATATTAGAGATATAGATCTAGAATAAATCTAGATTTATTTATTCTTTAAAGAAAATCCTCAATTTGGATTTGATGGCAACACCACATCTCAAATGAATGTCAGACATGGGCAGTCTACAAAAACACAAACAGCCAGCAACATCTTCCTAAAAACAAGGCTAACTGGCAACAGGAACACTCATTTAAAATAGCCTGAGGCAAAGTAGAAAACTGTTCTGTGGTCAGATGGATCAAAATGTGAAACTCGGTTTGTAAATTATGGACACCATATAAGCAGTTGCCTTTATCTCTGATGGTATGGGGCTTCATTAGAGCTCACAGACCTGGAAAGTTTCTATTCTTGAGAGGCACCATCAGTCTGAACAGGCTTGACAGGCAAAAAGAACATTTGGAGCAATATATGCCCACATCCAGAGAATTTGTTTTCATAATTCAGGAAGCCATTGCTAAGCTTTGGGCTTCATCGATTACAGCAGCATTATGTTGTGGTAGAAGAGTCTGAGAGCTAGAATGCCCAGGCATCATGTCGTGTAAAATACAATGAAAAAGTCAGAACAGTTGAGCAAAATTCCTCTCCCAAACATCTAACAAGTGATCTTTCTGTCCCCAGACGTTTACAGAATGTAATTAAAAGAAACGGCTACACAGTTTCAAAATGGCCACTGTGTACCATCATCATATGAGTTTGAACAATTTTTCATGAAATAAAAGATTCCCAACTTTCATGATTCATCAGTTTTTTTATGTGGACAGATGTCATTTGACATATACTTTTCTTATTACAAATTAATATCCTTATGACTTATAAGTTCAGCTTTCTTTAAGTCGACATGATTACATCTTCAACACTGGATTTTTGGATCCCCACATTATGCAGCTAAGAAGGCTTCTGTTATGTGCCACGCTGCTCACACCATATCACACAGCTGCCCTGCGTGGCATATGGCCTAAAAGGCTACGGCGCTCCAGGAACTGGTGGATCAGGATCCAGAACAGTCCAACTGGTGATGCAGCAATGTAAGGTAGGAGGAGTCAAACATGGCACAGCCAAAAAACAGCCCCCTGCAATCACTGTCAAAGGGCAGCAATAGTCAACAGCAGAAATCCTATGACAATCCACAGAGACCCTTTATAGATTTGATCTTAAACTAAATTTGTGTTAGGATGTGTTGAACAAACCCTATTTGACTTTAAATTTTTTGAGGCTGAGTCATGTTTTCTGACCTTCTTGTTAGTTCTATGTCAGCTTTCTCTTGTAGAGAAACTTGAAAAATTTGAGAACTAAATACTCATCTTTTGGAGAGTATTCTTTTTTTTTTTTGTTAGCTTTGTTTGTGTCTTACCTTGGCCTTCTGCCAGTGTATTCCAGTCTGTGTATTATGTATATATTTTCTGCATGATATAGTCTGAAGTTGCAGCTGACCAAACATGTCATAACTGGACAAGGCTGTTGTGTAATGTTTTGCTTCCTGGGTAGAGATACGACTTGGAAAACATCTGCAGAATACACACACTTTCACACACATTTTGGTGGACTATCTTTGCTAAGGATATCACGCTGACGGCGTCCTATGAGAGGACAAACTGTTCTGAAATGTATCATTCTGTATGATTCTTTTATCTAAACGCATGCTTCTTATATATATTTTGCTTTAATATTTTGATAGTGGATGATATTTTTAAAATCTGCTTCAACAACACGTATAATCTTACTTTGAGTTATTCGATGAAGTGTGCATACGTAAAATGCGATGTAATGTCTGAAGATAAAACAAATATCAAAGCTAGAAAAGAAAAAAAGGTTGTATCTGATCAGCCTAATGGGGGTCATTATGGGGTGTCAAACGTTTGTAGCACTTGTTGCTCTGCATAATTTGTAACGTCCTTGAAGTGTTTGGTTTTCAGAGGGTACAGTACAATTGATCATATAATTGATTACATAATTAGATGTGAGCCTGAAAATAGAGAGAAACTGGAGCACAGAGACCAACTCGCAGAGCAGCAGCATGATTTTATGGCTCTGCTGTTTGGTGGCATTTGCAAGAGAAAAAAGTGTCTTAGGAATATAAAAGATATCACTCTTGTTTTAAAATCAGAAGAATGAAGCTAAACATCATCCATTTACCCTCAGTCAACATATATAAGCTTGTATTATTATTACTTTATATGTGATTTGTTTTATGTTATTTTTTACATAATTTTGTTGGTGTTATGTCATTTCTGTTCATCTGTCCAGCCCTCACATATTGATAGAATTTGTGTTCTCTTTTTATGTGTAGATATTTAAACAGTTTTGTTCCATCTGTACTTTATCTAAATGTAAGATGTAACAATCCTACAAGAAACTGTTTTGAAGACATTGTGTATTATTTATCTTTACTATCTATTGAGTGTTATCATAGTTAGTTTTCTTTTTTTTCCCTTATCAAAACTAGTTCACTTGATCGTGAGGTATGTTGTTTCTTGCAGAGCATGTTCAGAATTTTCTTTTCGTGCCATGATTCACATTTTCATGTGGTTATCGCCTTTTCTACTGAGTGATAAGAAACTCTATGGGAACAGTCAGCTGTTCGTGTTTGCAAATGCCCATTTAAATTGCTATCTGAACTATATTGATAAGATTGACACACAAAGTCATAGCGAGGAATTCTCATCACGAACTTGAAGAAATGTCAAGATATTAGAGTACACCTCTCGTGTGCGTTTGTAACGCTGCGTCCCCACCCCTGCGCTCAGCTCCTCCTCTGTGGTTTTACCCGCAATAATATCCCAGGTTGACTCTGTGGCTGTCAGTTTTTCCTACGCTCCACTCTGCCCTCTCACTCTGTGCACCATCCCCAGGCACCGGGCCGGCCAGAGGACAAACACCCCCAGGTTTCAGGTACGAACTGAAGCGAACAGAACAGCACATCAGCAGGTTTGACACAGCAGTGCGTAGTGGTTTGGTTCAGTTTTGGGATTAGAAGGCTTTACCCCTGCCATTGAATTGGCTTACAGAGGTGGGCTGAGGCTGATCTCAGCCCAGAACTGCATAGTTTTCACAGTTTGTTTGGTCTGACTGATGCACTATCCATGAAGAAAACATGCCTCACTATTTTTCTGAAGCAAACTAACAATTGAATTTAAAATGTTCTGGCTTTCTAGTACTACTGAGCTAAATATTAATTTCATGTGCAGGCATGCATGAATGTCCTTTACTTTTTTTCAAAACTTAAGCTAATATTGAATTGGTGTGGGGTTTTTTCCAAGTCAAAGCTTAAAACTTGACAACCGTCACAGCTGTAGTTTACTGGGTTTCATCTTGTGTGTCGCCTTAATGAATCTCAATGACTAACTAATTAAATAACTACTGGCTTTGTAAGTCATACTTATCTATGTTGATTTAAAATCATTTTCTTTTCAGGATTGGATAAATAGGCTTGCAGAGCTACATCAGACAAGATCCAGTCAAAATGCCGAAGTTAATCACAAAGTTGACTGTCCTGCTTGGGTGAGTGCATTCATATGAAACACATAGAACATTAAAGCCAGACAAGTACAGATTGCAAGCTTTAACTCTTGTCATTTCAATGCTTTAAAAAGGAAATGAAAATTTTTCAGAAACCGCTGCAAAAGCCACTAATTAAAGATTGTATTTTTTGTTTTTGATTGTATTTCTTATATGTGACATGGGTTCAACATGTCTTTATTTACATTTTAAAGGACATTTTGTTAAAACTCGTTTATTAAACATTTTGATTTGATTCCCAGCAGTAGAGCACATTGCTACAGCTATCCTCCTGATACAGCTTTACTCATTTTCCACTTTACAGAATTGGAACGGCTCTTGAACCTCAAGTGTTGTCTGTGTCCCAGACGTTGTTAACCATGTTGTTGATATTGGATGTATTTTAGGCTCATCAGACTTTCACTTTTTCAAATAATTTTCGTCTTAATTATGCTATACAGGTCCTGATTTTAACACTTGTTCTTAACTTGGACACACACGTGTATTCCTTTGTACTTTTTAAAGATCAAATGATTATTCTTAAAAGCTAACCATTTGAAAATAGGTAAGGCTGCAACATTGTGTAGTATGGGAAACATATTAACATATTAAAGACCGACTTACACTCTTTATTAACTGTGACCTTTTTTTTATTTTATAGAATCGTTCATTTCAGTTGTGGTAAAATTCAGAGGCCTGACTTTGATGACACATCTGAGCCTGAGTTCTACAACCCAACCTGGATGGCCAGCATCCCTGATCATCAGCCACTGTCTGCAGTGTCCATTCCTGGGACCCACAACACCATGGCTGTGTACGGCGGCATATATGCCGAGTGCCAGACCTGGACACTGGCAGATCAGCTCCGGGCTGGTATTCGCTACCTAGACGTCCGAGTGCGTCACGTGGACGGGAACCTCACCATCCACCACGGGGTGTCCTACCAGAAATCGCACTTTGGCCACGTTTTGGAGGGTGTGGAGAATTTCCTGCAAGAGCATCCCTCTGAGACGGTGCTGATGCGCCTAAAAGAAGAATTCAGCGAGACAAACAACATCTATGGCGCCGTAGTTAACTACATCGAAAACTTTGCCCGCTGGGACATGCTGTGGCACAGCCGACTGGTGCCGACCATGGGGGAGGCCCGAGGGAAACTCATCATCCTGCAAGACTTCCACGGACCAGACCTGGGGATGCGCTATGGTTCCCTGGACATCGCTGATGACTGGAAGGTGTGAGATGATAATATTGATTCTTCTGAAATGTTAAAAATATTGAGCTTTTTTTTAAAAATCAAACAAAAAGCTTCTGCAAATGCATATAAAGTAAAAAGGAATGGTTAGTGGAGGATGGATTAGTGAGTTAAATGACCTCCACCTAAACATCCATTCTCCGCAGTCCTGTACCAGAATTTCCCTAAAGTAAACAGGGCTCTTCAATATTTTACTGGCAAAATACTCCCTTCAAACATTAAGGTGCAGTGTTCACATCCATTTGTTCATTATTTAGGAAAAGTCTCTTTGAATTACACCAACTAAGCAAAATATGTGCACGCAATAACCAGGTCATAAACATCTTTGGGGGTTTATATTGTATCTCTTTCTTTTATCATACCAAAAAATGACAAAAGCATGTAACTTGATTTAAGACGAAACATTTCTGTTTTGTAGCATTGATTGGCCGTCATCTTCTGAATGAATACGATTATGTTCCAAAATTATCTCTCCACATACTTTTATGGTAAATGATTACGTATTTGTTGTTCCCTGCAGGTACCATCGGTTTTTCATCTCGACGATAAATGGCGGAGTGTCTATGAACACCTTGAGGCAACAACTGTTGGGAACAGGCAACAAATATTTCTCACCTACAGCAGTGGAGCTGGTGTGCTTGCTCCCCCAAGGGTAGTTGCGCAAAAAATCAACCACTTGCTGTACAACTATCTTCTTGCCGAGACGGACCACAACCAGCGTTTTGGAATCATATGCATGGACTTCCCTGCTGCTCCCACAATTAAAAAGATCATTGGCTTTCAGTTAAAAGATGAGAAACAAAGAAAACAATTATTTAACTTTCCTCCCAAAAAGTTTAATTTGAAAGACCGACTGTCATCCATCCTAACGGGTAAAAGAGTAAACTGATGGTGTATCTGTAAGTGGCTCAACATCAAGATAAATTATATGAACATAATTTTGAACAGAGCTCCGGGCAACAATGATCAGATTTTGTTACGTGGGGACAGAAAGCCTACACTTTTGTATCCTGCCCCAGAAGACAGTCTACACACACCCTCTCACATGTTTTATCAGTATCATGACAGGCATGTAACGTTATGGGGTTTTACTTAAAGGTTCTTTCAACAGTCCAACTATTTCATGATTAAACCACAAATCACACATCACAGTTTCATCTGGCCTTTTGTCTGTTGTCAAAATCTTTTGTTAATCTTTAAACAAAGGCACCACATGATTAAATCGAAGAATCTCTGTATATGTCTGTTTGTATTTTTTCATAACAACTATTCAACAGCATTTTATAGCTAAACTGGATTAAAAAGGTGATATGACCTCATGGAACAATAATGGAACCAATTTATACCCGTCACTGTGTACTGATAGTGATAGATTGTAAGTTTAGTAAAGCTTGGAAAAAGTTTATATTTTTAGGATTTAACACAGTGGTGCCTTGAAGATTTGAGAGAACAATTTACTAGAAGGTAGAAATAAGACAAAATTCAGCACATCATATACCAAAGGTCATCTTCTGGATCAGTACATCAGAAATGTTCACCTCTCTGTCATTGTTGCTGAGGTCTTTAGAAAAACATTTTGAAATATATCTCATTTTTGGCATGTGGTGGTGCTAGAGCCTCTTTATCCATGTCCTGTTTTCAAGGAAATGACAGCATTACAGTTTAAACCACCCTTAAAGTTTCTCCTTTCAGAGAATATAAAAACAGAAACAGAAAGAATAAGCTAAAAAACTTATCAAGCATCATGTTAAAACATTCAGAGTAGGGTCTTGCCTTTTTATAATTGAGTGCGAGAGGGATTTCATGGCAATATGTAAACACATATATAGTCAAATCTAATCCCTCTGAATTCTCTGGTTTCTTGCCACTGTCAAAAAATATGAATGTTAGATTAACTTGAGACTCTAAATTGCCTCTGGAGTGACTGTGAGTCTAGAATCGGTTAAATAGGTGGAAATTTCAATGGAAGTCCAGACAAACCATCAGCAGTGCATCCAGTATTAGTGGTATAGAACTCTTCAGAAAGTTTTAGAAGACAAGAGTGGAAGCACTGTTTATTTGCAGCCACACTGATGAGAGCTGATAGTACTTTTTCCTGTGTGTAACCTTTATTGCACATCATCTTTCCAGTGGAGAATTGCAGCATAATCTTATTAAGATATCCTATTACATTAAACGAAGTGTGACATTCTGCATGCAAAGAATTCAACAGATAAATCAACCTCTGCGGCATGCATAGTGTAAGCATCAATGATAAAATCTGATTTTATTATCATTTCCTCAAAGCGAGAGTTGCAAAACAGTTGCCGAAATGCTTGTAATGATGTGTCTTCACATCCTGCCAAAGCAGCACACGATGCTAACCAGGTTGATTGAACACATCGACTTATGAACCAGCCTCTACTCAGCGCTTCGCTCAAAAAAGAAAAAAGGATTATAAAGTCTCCTCTTGCAGCAGGACAGGTACAGTAGAGCACATTGATACAGCTCTCCTAATGTTAATAACTTCTTGTTACCTTCATACAGTCTTAATAATTCAACCCCCTCTCTGCAGATGGATTTCAGACCTCAGGGTGCCGTGCTGATTGCAACACTTGGTTAGTTACCTTTTCTACTTTGTACCAATTTATCTGTGTTAAGGCCAATGTAGACCCTCTGTTTTTTTCTCCTTGTAGTTGTGGTGAACTTCATTTGGTGGATGGTAATGATTGCCGCCATCGGAGTGGGTTGGTTCACTTTCGTGCTACAAACATCACTGTTCCAGTATTTCACGAACCTAGCAAAATGTGAATCTGTACTATATTATTCATGGCTGTGTCTTCTGCATCACAGGAGCCACACATCTGAACAACTGTCCTGTGCAGCCAAACATCCCCATTTACCTGATAGTGATGGGAGCAACAAGCATCCTCTCTTTGTCGGTCACTTATAACATCAGCAAAAACAAGGAAAGTGCCATCAACATCTTGTTGACGGCCTGCATGACAGTCCTGCACATCTTTAGCTTTTCCTGGTTGATAGCAGGTGAGAGAAAAAAGATTTGTCAGTATTTTCTGAGGTTTAGATCTAATCAGTTGAGTTTCTTGTGCTGCTCAGCAGTTAATGGTTTTTAGTGGGTCACAAGTAATCTTTAGCACTTTTAGGGCTTTTTTAGATGATTGCTTCTGTGCACAAAAATGCTTGATTTAGACTAAAACCGCATGTTTTAAATTATTTTCAACTCTGATATTGCTCACCTTTTTACTGCACTCTCACCAGCAGATGGTCAGGTATTTAAACATTCTCTACCTGTATAAAAAGCACAAGATTACAGTTGGGATCAATGTACATGGTTAGGTCTTAATGTTGAAAAATGCACAGCTCCAGAAATCTAGATGTTTATGGTTTAAACATGTTTCTATTTATGTGTGACTATTCCCATCCCATCAGATTTTTCACCAAAAACTATTTTAGCAAGTTAACATGATAAATGTCTGTCTTTTTAGGTACCTGCTGGGTTTATAACATCTATCCTCCTAATTACTCTGGAACAGATAATTACTGCCACATGATCACCTACCAGTTTGCCTTTGTTGTCACCACATTGCTGTGGGTCGCAATGACCATTGTGTTTATCTGCGGATGTTGCTTTGGTTTACTCACATGCTGTACAACTATGGTGGTAAGACGCAACTTGATACCCAGTCGTCGCTCCTTTTACGGTGCAACCAGTGATTTAGGAGAGCAAGCTACAGGTGATGTATGAACTGAATATCGATTTATATCTTCAAAGTGTTAAGAAATGCATTCTTTAGCTTTTTAACAGCAGTGATGCTCATCCTGGGTTTAGTCAAACACAAGGTTTAAAATGGTAGGTGCAACCATAACACATCCATAATGTGTGTCTAGATGTTTTTTCCTGCAGTTTTCTTGTAGATGCTTTTCTTTTAGATTGCTTCATGTGTACAAATAGCAGTATAATATTAGTTGTACAGCACCTGCAGTCCATTCTCATTCAACGTTAGTCATTGCCTGCAGGCTGGTGCGGACTAGTCAAGTGTCAGAGTTGCTGAGGCGTCACATCCCTTTTATGCCACTGCATTGTCATATCACACGCTTCCTGTTTACATCAGTTAACATTTTGAGTTAAAATAAGATTGCATGATAGATAATCTAGTGTATGGATATGGGCAATAAATTGTTCATTATATGGCAGTCTCTTATATTGAGACTGCCTTTGTATCTTGCAATTGTACCATGATGTTTGAAAATAAAGCTTTTTTTTATTTAATATTCACTTCAAATATTTGATAAGTTTAGCATAGTACATAGATATAGGTTTTTCCACCCCCCCTAAAAGGGAACTAAAGATAGGCTGATAAGATTATAAACCTCTCACTTGCATAACTTGTAGCTATCAGTACATGGATCATTGATTGTGTAAACATTTAAGTTTAAGGTTAAAAAGAGTGACCAATTTTTTTTTTGATATTTTAAGTGTATCATTTTTTATGTAAACAATCTGTCGAAATATTATGCAACTATTTGATTTATGGGGTGAATATGAATAAACAGGACAGAAATAGAATATAATTTTGGTTTTAACCAGGCTATTTAATCTGTTTTATTTTCTCTACTGAACAAGAAGTTGGTAAAGGCATAGATAAATAAAAATTAGACACTGTTTATGTTTTATCAAAGTATTTTGGTTGACTTTCGTGGGCAAGTCATTGACTCCAAAGGATTAATTATTTTTCAAAAGTTCAAGCCAATATATATCATATAGCAACGAAAGCCACGCAATATGTGTTTTTTAAATAAATGTATTAAAATATTTTTTTAAAGCCTTTCACATCTGTCGATGATTAAAAAAAATTGAAACAATAAAAATGTCATAATATAAACAAGTTAACAATATTGTCGAAAGCTAGGTCATTTTCTTCAGGCATTGGTCGAGACTACTGTAGTGCTTTTTTCGGGGGTCCTCTTCCGCCACTCAACGGACCATTTTGGCTAGCAGGCATGTTGTAATATCGATGTGCTGGTCGTATATTCACCGTTGGTTGCTGAATAAAGTGGTGACTTGCGGAGCCGAATAAAAGGGTGTTGTGGACCTCCGAGTGAGCTACTGAACGCCGCTGTTTACCGCGTTGAGCCGAGCATGTGGAGCTCCTGCCGCCGTGTCCTTCAGGACCTGCTCCGCCAGCCTGCTGTCAGGAGTTTGTCTCTGACTCCTGCTCAGGTCAGTGTCCGTGCACTCTGTAGATACTTACAAACCCATTTAAATAATCATTTAGATAATAACGTATCAGAAAAACCCATATACGGAAGGGCGTTTCCATTTGAGCAGGGTTTGTTGATTAAAACAAACCCTATGCCAAAGGTTTAGCTTCATCTTTACATAGGGGTTTATGTGTTATTAACAGGTTTTGTTTAAATGTGATTAGTATTTTGACCCTTTATTGTTCTCAGACAGCTGTATAAACTAATGGCAATGTGTGCTGGAACTCCCTTAACCAGTTTTTAATAAAACTTAACAGAAATTAAGATGGCATCTTCCATGGCATTTTTTGAGACCAACAAAAGTATTAGGATGCATAAATTAAGTTAAATATGTTGCATTTCCCTTTCTAACAACATCCATGCTATGCTTTGGTTAACATCAATATTATATATACACTTTGGTCAAATGTCAGTGTCTAGTTTCAAGAAGTAACTAAAACGAGACTTTTCACACATTGAATGAATCGCTGGATGTTTCCACAGCACACAGTTGTGGTGGAGCGATGGTGGCAGGTTCCCCTCTCCAAAGTGGGCAGTCCACCGAGGCTGAACCCCCGGAGACACAGAGTCTACAAGCTGGTGGAAGACACTAAACATGCTCCCAAAACCAATATGGAGCTCATCCTGACTCAGACTGTACCAAGTGAGTGTCTAAAGCACTTTGATGAATTTGAAGTTTGAAGTCGCGTCATTTGTAAATCCATTCTTTGCACTTTACGCCATCCAAATAACAGAACTTGGAGGACGAGGAGACACTGTGTTTGTGAAAAGGTCTGTTGGACGAAATAAGTTGCTGGCCGAAGGCCTGGCGGTCTATCCATCACCAGAGAACAAACAGATGTTTTCTGAGGAGCTGAGAGTGGGTATTAAATATGAACACTCATGTTTCTCTTCCATGGTTTTGATTTGGTTTGCTTTGCTGCTAATCATTGTTATCTTGGTTGATGTACAGCTTCTACGAGAGGGGAGGCCAGAGGACCGAATCCAAACCCGAACTGGACAGATGGTAATTATGTTTCCTCGCCACTTGGATCCTGATTTACGGAAATCTGTTTAAAAAGGGACTATAGCGATGTGTTAAACTAGTGGTTTTCTGGTACCAGATGATTGAAAGACAGTGTTTTCTGGGGTTTTCACAGACGCTGGATTTCCTGAAACGCTCAAAGCTGAGTATAAACAAAATGCCGCCTGATGATTTTCAGCTCACTAAAGAAGTTGTGTGCCGGCAGTTTCTCAAGAAGGTGCGTTTGACTGTATCCTCGTAATCCTCATTTCCCAGGAAGAATTTAACTGTGTTTTTGCAACAAGACTATTGCTGAGGACCCTGTTTTTAACCTTTCTTTAGCTGGGAGTTGTTGTGCCACTTCATGCCCTGAACCTGCCATTTGAGCCAATAAAGGACTTGGGCGACTACTGGTGTGAAGTTACAGTAAGACTTTTTCTTTTTGTAGATGTTGTTCTTTAACTATGTTGTGAAGTTCTGTGCTGCCTCTTTGTTGTAAATCTGAAGCAGTTCAGATCGACTCCATGACTACTTAGAATATTTATAATCATTTTTAAATACTCGTACAGAATGGCAGCTGCATTTGTTTAAGTGTTTTGAACAACTACCTTTGCGTTCCTGCACTATTGCAGCATTTCAATTTGCGTGTACTGACTGCTTTTTCAATCAAATCCAATAGTGTTTAAGCATAAAAAACCTGCATACTGCTTATGTTTTTCCTACTGTGCTCTTCTAGATTAATGGATTGGACACAGTTCGGGTTCCCATGTCACTTTTGCCGTATGAAGACCCTTCTGCCACACACCAGAAGCAGCTGAAGGCCCAAAGAAGGCTGCAGGCAGCTGCCAACGTTTCAGAAGAGGCTGATGAGGAGGACGCTGCTTTGAGGGCAGCTTCCGAAATGGAAGCTGGTGAAGAGTCTGTGGGCGAAACTTCAGCCTCAGCAGGACCCTCCGCTGCTGGGGAAACCACAGCAAGCACACAAACTGAGCAAAACACAACATCTCCTCCAAGTCAAAGCCCAGATAAAAGTTAATGGACTCCAAAAAATGTGTTTGAAGAACTCTACTGGTTGTGTTTTTTTAGTAACACACTCAGCAGCTGCTGTTTGCTGAAGAAGGCAACAAACAGGATGGTTTGTTAACCAACGCAATGCAGTTGCTTTTGGGGTTGTTGATGTACCATTGAAATAATGATATGATCCATGAAAAATACACACTTCATGTTGTCCCTGTGTCTGTATGGGTTCTCTCTAGGGGGCTCCGGCTTCCTTCCACCAAACAGAAGCATGCATGTTAGGTTAATTGGGCATGCATTTTGAAATAGTTTCTGTTAGCAGTTCACGAGAGCATAAAATAGAAAAATATGAACTTTTGTGAATAATCTAGGAATTGTTAAACTGGTTTATTGTTTCAGGTTTATCAGTACATTATTTTTAATCAATCTACAAAAAAAAGAAGAAAGAATTGCAATGAAAATTATTCGGCTACAATATGAAAACAATCCAACTGCAGATACACTAAAGTTAGATCAGAGATTTACAGCCAGCAGTAGTTAAGAAAAAAAACAGAAAACATGGATAACTGCAACATCACATTGGCAACTGACTCAGGAAGACAGAGATGGAATTTAGATAAGAACAAAAGATTTGATCAAAATGTCACCGTAGAAATTCTGTTGGCTTCATAGTTCATCAGTCATCAGAATACGCTGGTGTTTTTCTGTAGTGAGGAATGGATGCCAGATGTACAAATTCATGTCTATACCAAGTATTACATAGTATAGTTGCTTGTTATTATCATTCATAAGCCATAAGAGGCATGGGGCTGATTTTAAGCAAAAGGTGTCCTGGCTGGAGTTATTATCCAATATTTTTGTTTCAAAAAGCAACGCACAAATATTACATATATTTCATCCAGTTAAAACAGGCCCCATGCAGTTATGATGAAGTTTGGAATATTGAGTTTCCAACTTTAACAGTACATCTGCTGGGCCTTGTGGAAAACGGAAGCTTTTCGGTAATCTCTTTTTCAGAGTTTTCAATCAAATGAAGCTGAGTTAAAGGTATGAGAAGTGGAACACCGCAGGACCAAATGCTTCATGATTGTCACGCAATCAATGACTGATGACCAACAGCCGTTAAGAGCCATGGATGCAGGATGGAAAATGGAAAAAAAAAAAGAAAACTTGTTTATTGATTTCTAACTGCACAACACACATATTTAAGGTAAACGATTGCATTTAATGTACCCATTCTGAATTTGGAGGGCGAGGATCTAATCGAACGAGTCCTTACTACATGACACCTGCTGAGGTCAAAGTCGTTTCTTTTCAACATCTCCAGGATGTGTGACAGTGTGTTAATGCCGACACAAACCGAGCAGATTATCTGAACAAAATGTAAAATGAATGTCTACTCAAAACACTCCCATTTCTGTCTGCGAAGCCGCCTGCATTTGGAGGTCTTTGTAAGATCACAGGTATGAAATATTGCATCTAGAAACGACACAGCGCTGCAGTGGAGCACTAGGAGTGAGCTGTCTTTGCGTTGTATTTGCAGGATGGGAAAGTCATTCTGCATCAGGAAAAGGAAGCTGAAGCTCAAACCGTGAGTCGTCTTTTTTATATATATATTTGTAGTATTAACCCTAAAGACATCAAGTAATAAAACAGACACATCTGATGGAAGAAGTGGAGCACAAAGGAAATGCAGTGTAACAACTTCCTGTCACTCCCAGAAAATAACATATCCCCCTGAAATGAGCCTCCACAAGATGGATGTAGCTGCTTAAACTACATTTCCTATTTAATGGTAAACCCAGGTGATTGTGTGGTCTCCAATGCAGTTGGACAGAAAACCATTTATGTTCAGGTTCAAGTTTAGTTCTCTGGTGATTTAGTCTCCTGCTGGATTACGGGCGGGGGGAAAAAAACACAAAAAAATCAAAATAAGATCTTAATATTTAGAAAAACAGATTAGCAACAATTTAATGAGCATCAGCAACATTATTTTTTGTTTCATTACAAAGTTGCTGATTTATCAAAAATATTTGACATGCCAGCTTTTTTATAACAAATTCAACCACTGACTGATTTCCAGAAAACCAAATGTTTTTACAGAGTGATTTTTGAAGCACAGACAGGAAGTCACAGCTCAGAATACACCATAAACAGAATACTTACACATTTAAAGGGAAAAACATTTAGAATGGCAACGTTAACATGTCTGCCACTTGTGCTGCCTTAAATTCTCTGGATACAGTGTTTATATGACTGCAGGAGTAGTAGCCAGGGCTGGATCGCAGACATCAGATTAACAGCTCCAAAAACAACTGACCAAAGGAACCACTGAATAGTTCAGCTGGAGGGCAGGCGGAGATAAAGATAAGATAAGGTTTGTATACTTGTTGCTCCTAAACACAGCATTTCCTTTTAAGTGTGTTTGAAAATCCCTACAATAATTTCAGATATGGTGCTCCTATGTCCCACCAGAATCCACAGTTATGGCATTCAAAATCCATATTTGGCCTGGGTCTGCCGACGGGTTAGCTTGTTTTCTGCCCAGCTGTTCTTCAGCTCCAGTTCACGTTCTTTTGCCTGAAACCACAGAGTGAGATAATTTCCAACAGTTCACAAATGTGTGGGTTTCTTTTAATCATAAAAGGTTTAAACATTACAGATGGTCAAATCTTGTAACCCTGACACGATTTGTTCACATCTACCCTAGACTGTCCAAATACAGTGTCTTAAAGCTCTGTGTGGGTAAAAATTCTCCCCTTTGGGAATTCTACACTGGCACCAGTGAAATAGTCAAAAGCAGTTTTCTTTTTTAAAGGAATCAATGTTAGTTTAGCTCAATTTTCTTCACTTAATTTCAAACTGCTTGGTACCCAACTTCAGGTTGTAACGAACGTCTAATCAACGTTGGTTTAATCCACACTAACATATGTGAGCAGGAAACATGGAAACATGTCTTTGGTGATACTATGGTCTACAGCTTTTCCTGATCAAAAACCTTCGGAAAAAAACAGGAACCCTTTGAAACTTTGATTACATTACTCACATGTGGAAGCGTAATATGAGTCCAGTGTTTGGATGGACACTCACCTGGTGAATGAGATATGTTATCTGATGCTTTCGCCTCTGTTGCCCTGTAGGCTGTTCTCCTCTCCTCTGCAGGAAGGTAGAAAAAGTTAGTGGAATGCATCGCACTGATGTTAACCACTTGTCCTAATCAAAATCCCATTTCCCTTGTTTCAATCCAAACGACAGAGAGAGAGAGAGAGAGAGAGAGAATTGTCACCTTGCTAAAAGACTGGCGGGTCTGCTTTTCTTCAGTCATGTTCTTGGTCATCCATTGCTGATTCCCACTCAGCTGGTCGTCCCCTTTGATCTCAAGAAACTTCACCTCCTCCTTTCCTCGATTTCTTTTCCCCTGCAGTCGCATGAACTGAGGAAACAAACAGAAAACAACGGCTCTGAAAACCATGCACCGCTGCCTGAGGAGTCTTTATTGAGCACAGGCTTAAGTGTAATAAAGCCTAATGGAAGCAAACTTAAAATGCATGGGTTGAAATGACAATAAAAGAGAAATATGAGGAGAAGTAGGCTCCCTTCTTACCCCTTCATCATCGAACATGGCAGATTGGCCAGGCTCCTCTGCCTCTCCGACTCCATGGTTAGGATCTTGGTAATATGGCTCATTATAGTATCCCTGTTTGAAAAAATAAAGTACCCGTGACATGATGGAATTATTAATGTTTTAGCAAAAATTAAAATATCTTCCACATGTGTAGTGAAACATTTTCACTTTGGGCTTTTCTTAAATACTCGGTTTAATAACATTTGCTAAAGTCAATACAGTTGGTCTACTCTGGTTTTGGAAGTTTTTGAAAATCAGCGATACCTCAGGGAAAGCCTCCGGGCCTGCCACGGGTTGATATTGCTGATATCCTTCACCCCATGCACCTGCTCCATCTTGGTTTGCCCCAAAATCCAGAGGGGCGTCTGACTGTCCTGGCTCATCAGGTGCTGCAGTCGGTAGGTGTTCAGCCAGAGCTCCTGGTTCAGGATCAAGACTAGGGATGACATCAGGGAGAGGCTGTGGGCTCTCTACGAAGGAAAAGTAGTTCTGTGGGGTTATTTCCTCTTCGTTGTCCTGGTCGTCGATGGCTATTTGTCTAGCCACCTGCAGTGCTGCTGACTTCGCTGCAGCCTTGATAGCAGAGGGAGATGCACTAGAGCCAATCAGACCCTGAGCAGGAGCTCCAGGTTTAGGTCCTTTAGGTTCCTGCCGCTTTGTAAGTGTATGAGGAATTAAAGGTCTGTCTTTCTCCTTCACTGTCAGGTTTTTGGGTTGAGGCAGAATGGAGGACAGGCCCGAACCTGAACCCTGGGGAGAACACGGCATAGGTGTTAAGAAAAAGTCTCAAAGTCAGAGAATGGCAGCACATTGTGATGGGATGTCAAGCTATTATCTGCCATATATTCCTTTGTTTCTTACATTTTTTAGCCATAGAGAAACACATTTAATATATATTCAATAAATTAGAAAAAATAACCCCTCATTATATATTGATGTCACATTCAGTGAAAACTGTCTTACTTGAGCTTGTTGTTTCTTCTTCACAGGCTCATCATCATCTGAATCTGACTGTTTATAAGAGATGAACAGGTTATAGATTACAATCTCATATCACATTAACAATACACACAGTAAAATGTCCACTTGACTCAGTACTTACATCCGGTCTCTGGACCTGCGGCACACTTATCTTCACAGGCTCTGTTCGTTTCCTTGGTTTAGGAAGACTGGATAACAAGTCTGCTTTTGATGGCTGAGAATCTAGGTCATCTCTTGAGGTGATGTTCCCTACTGAAGAGTTTGTCCTCTTCTGACTACCTGACCCCGCGCTCCCTCCAGCAGACCCACCTGTTTTAGGAGCAGGGAGGCGAGAGAAGAGCCCTCCACTTGGTTTGCTCACTGCTGAGGCAGAGGTTTCTTCTGAGTCACTGTCATCACTACTGCCATAGGCCACCAAAGACATGTTTGCTGATGTTACAGAAGAACAATGATTTGCAGAAACGGGTGGACATGGATGACCACTTCTCCGAGAGTTAGGGACAATGGGTCGAACTCAGACCGAGTTTTCGATTAGCCGACTTCCGTTAAAAGGAGGACAGTTTTAAACTCACTCTCGTCTCAGCAACAGACAGCGGCGGTTTCTGGAGGAAAAAGCTCGAGTGAGCTGATTAACTAGCCAACGTTAGCAAGGCCGCCACTGGAAACGTTATCAGAATACTGAGTGTCTTTACACACGTTAAATACGTCTCAGACTAGTGTTCTATACAAAACAGCATCGACTGCATTCTCTAACTCATGCTGCGACACTTCCACGTGTTGTTTTGCCAAAAGATTGAGCTTTGCTAGTCCCTGGGTTCCATCAAAACATTTGTCTCCTTAATGAGCGAGAAGACAACTGCGCAGCTTTCTGCGCAGCCCTTTTCTTCTTCTTCTATTCGAAATAAGTAGATATTATTGCCACCTAGTGGACAAATTCCGTTTTCATTGACTGGAAGAGCCTAGTCTTCTTCTCCTAGTCTTCGGAACCATTCAGTGGATTTTGGCTTACAGACCTTTGTGTAACAATCCTTAGACCCTCACCATTCATCATGACCGTGACACATCAGTGCCCTTAGTATTTCTCAACCGAGAAATAACAGAAAAAGAGCTAGTGTAAACATTTTTTTTTAAAGCCCAAAGATGGTTCATCTCGACATGTTTAATGGGTAAGTCGATTAATGAGGGTTAATGATCCTCAAAGACATGTAATTCAAGAATTTAAAATCATTCTTACTTAAAAAACAACAACAACACAATAGTATGGAAGGAAAACGTTAATACGGGATAGCTAGTTTAATTTTTCTGAGATTAATTAAAATGATTTATTCATTATATCTTTAGATATTCAACATGCAATCTATGTACAAGCAGCATGTTACCGTGCCAGCTGCTCTATGTGAAGCTTGTTTGAACGTCTGGGGATAATTTAAAGTTAACAAGAACACTGGATATGCAAGAAAAAAGGAAACATAAAATCAATCATAAAGTGAATTATTGAAAACTTTCATAACAAAAAAGATGAATGGAAACAAACCTTTTTAGGGTTGTATGTTGTGAAGTACAGGTATAAAACCAAAATATCTGGGTAAAAGAAGCGCAGGTGCAGTAACAGTAAAGGGCTTTTTGTATATGTGTTTGCTTTGCTCAATTAGATTTTGAGAACAATAAAAACACCACTCGCAACTTAGAGTTTAATACCATTATTTAATTCCAATGTGAAAAATGGACCGTACGTCGGTTGCTAAATTTGGTCAGTAGGGGGCGCTGCTTTTACAGCCCCGGATAGCTACTGGGGGGCGCGTCTGCAGAAGGGAAGCGGGTTTCAATTTCAAACCCAAATAGTCCAAGGGACGAGTCGGTAGATTGTGGGAGATTGTTTTGGACTTAATCCACCGCGCTTGGTCGCATGAATCATATTTAGATCCAGACTGTTTATTTATTCGTTCCTGTGGCTAAAGTGCACTGCTCTGCATTCACGAAAAAGTAACCCGCAGCGCCTTCGCTCCAGTTTTTTTTTTTACGTCTGGTCCATTGGTCATTGGGTCGACGCTTGGCTTGTTTGTCGCTGGAGGTGACCACAGCGGATACCGCCACTGAACTGAAATCAGCATTGCGTTTTAATCACACGCCTCTGTGAGATAGCAAGCGATTTCTAGCAGAAGCATGCCGAGGTCCAACAGGCAAAAGGAATACAAGCCTGGAGATCTGGTGTTCGCCAAAATGAAGGGCTATCCACACTGGCCTGCGAGGGTAAGCTCCCGCCGTCACGTATCTCGTCGAAAGCTTTCAACATGGTCTCTGGTGTGTGTTTGTTTGGCTGCTCTGCTCCTTTCAGTGCTCCACCTGAGAGGCCTAACAGTTGTTAGCTACCATGAGTTAGCTTAGCTGCGTTAGGTTAGCTTACGTTGCCAAGCATCCGCACAGAGCTACCCAATTCTAGACTGTTGCACATTTCTTTAGGGTGATTAATCTACTCAGAAGCCTCCTATCAACTCACTGGGCCCATTTGGCCTCGGTATTGTCGCTAGCTGCTCTTCACTCCTCTGCGTGTGCCGCTTTCATGTCCCTGGGGGCCTGTTAGGCTAACGCCAACTTTATGCTATCCGTAACCGTTAAAGATAGCGGTGGAGCAACAGAACGTTGGCGAAAAACTAACGGTCACGTCGCCTGCAGCGATAACGGCTTGACCTGGGGCTGGAGTTAGCAGACGGTTAAAGTTGAGCTGTACGACCACTGAAATGGGACCCATTCAGGGTATAAACTAGAGTAAATAGTCTAAACTAGACAAGTGTGAGTATGTTTTACGTGATAGCCCCTTGTGTGGCATGCTTTGGGGTTCTGTAAACATGCCTGCCAGCCCGCACTTGTTGCTACAATGTTCCTGCTCGTAACGTTGACTTAACTTCCATTACGTTAACTCTTGGTGTAGAAACACTGGTGCTATAACGAGATGTTTACTTTGTGTAAAAAAAAAAAAAAAGTGTAGCCCGACCATTACCGTCGAAAGGTCCTATATTTAGTGGGTTTTTATCTGTATTATGACGGTTATGAACCACTAAACACAAATGAAGAAACAACTTGCCAATAGCGAGTTAGTCATTGCCCACTGGTTCAAAGGTAAATGGAGTAATACCAGACACACCTGGCCTGTCCACATAAAAGAAGAAAAAGAAACACTGGATTGAAGCATCCGATTTTCTTTGTGATGTGGAGTTCATTCAAACGACTGTCGACCATGCAAATGCTCAACCTTGATGTGTTCAAGGAAAGTACCAAATTACTGCGTGATAACCCAAAAGTGGGACTGATCTGCACCTTTTCCCTCCCTTTTCTAAGTCTTATCAGCCACATGTGAACAGGCTGCAGGCCCTGCCCCAACTACCGGCTCACAGTGGCCCTAGCTGCAAATGCTAAAATGCAGTCTGGCAGAACCGACCTTTTTTTTATCAGACTACAACAGTAGCTTGCCTTCCTCAGAAACTTGCCAATGCTGGCAGAGAGGCATGCCCCAACAAAGCACTGACATGTTCAACACGCTGCTCCCATGAGGTTTAATAATGGTTTTACTGAATATTTACTGTAAGCTATGGAAAATACATTTTCAAATGTAGTCCCATTAGTTTGCATGGCTCTGTATACAGAAAAACTCAGTTTAGCATTGGGGTTGCTTTTGTTAAAATCGTTAATTACTTGACTTATTTTCAATGTGAAAACTGATGTAACTGTTGTTCATCAATTGGACAAAAAGGTTGGTTATTGATATTGCTTTAAAGTGTACTGGTTTTTAATTTGTGTGCATGTGATTTTGAGAACATGGCTCTGGTTTTGCAGATTGATGAGTTACCTGAAGGAGCCGTGAAGTCGCCATCTAACAAGTACCAAGTGTTCTTTTTTGGGACTCATGAAACGTAAGTGTTTTGCATTTCTTAAGACCTGCATGGTCATGTCAGAAAATTGACAAAGCATTTTAAAAATGGGAAATGTGCAAGTATTTGGTGGATAACTAACATTTGCAGTTGGGTCAGATTTGAATTGAAGTATAGCTTTTCCATGTCATCGGCTGACAATTACCTGTAATAGAATTTTTGGTAACTGTGTCATTTGGCTGTGACCATTTCCGCCTCTGTTTTGTCCCCAATTCTTTAGACAAAATAAAAAATCAACTACTCCATTTAATCACAGAAACCTTCTTAGTTCAAGTTAAGTGTAAAGGCACTTTAAAAAATGGTTTTAAGAGTCAGTGTTGTGTGCACAGTTGAATTAAAAGAAAGCACAATTTAATACGTAATACAGGGCATTTCTCGGAGCCAAGGATTTGTTCCCGTATGATGAATGCAAGGAGAAGTTTGGAAAAGCCAACAAGAGGAAAGGCTTTGCTGAGGGGCTCTGGGAGATCGAGAACAATCCCACTGTCACACATGAAGGCTATGAGGTGGGTGGACTTTAACAAAAGAGGATGGCAGCACACAATGTTGACTATTAGTTAATTTTTTCAGGTTATTTTATTTCTTTATTTATTTGCATTTAGGCTATTTTATGCTTGAATCACATATAAAACATGGATCTGCCCTCCTGAGTCTGGTGCCATGAACCTGTATTCTCCCTAACAGCCAGCAGGGGGCAGGTTATCTGCAGTTTGAGTTTCATCGCATCCTATCCAGACAGTCAGTAGATTTATTAGAAATGTGTTTCGATTTATTTTTGTTTAAGTTTCAAGATGCAACTTTTTTCAGTAAGTTATGATGTTGGTTTTTTAGAATTAGGCTGTAGCCACCAATCGATAGTCTCAGGCCGAAGAATGGGAAGCTCTGAACTGATATCATTTCAAGCAGCAAGTGTGAAAGTGCTGTTGATGCAGTTTATAGTTTATCTTTTGCCCACACAGATTAATTGATCTGCAGAGTCCTAAACTTTGTTTCCTTGCCTTTCACTAATACATTTCTGCCTTTAGTCATCAAAGAAGGACAACTCGTCACAAGGAGCCGGGGACACAGGCAGCTCAGAGAAAGCAGAGGCTGAGGGCAGCAGTGACGAGGATGAAGGGACACTGGTCATCGACGAGAAGAACGAGAAGGGAGCAACTAAACGAAAAGCAGAGGAGTCCACAGATGTGAGTTTCAGTCTGTCGGGCTGCCAGAGCACACAGTCTCCCAGATGCTGTCGTAGCCATTTTTTAAGTTTTTTTTTTTTTATGCTTGGCTACACGTTTTACTTTTGATAGGCATCTCCCAAGCGGCCAAAGGATACAGAGGCAGAAGGTGACAGCAACAAATCAAACACAGAGGCAGTGATTAATGATGTGGCTGGACCCAAGGCAACAGCCCCCTCCTCGCAGAGCGAAGCCAAACCAGAGGCCCAGGATAATGCTGCCGTAGAGGGCCAGCTAACAGAAGATAAGGTAGGACATGTTCATCGATGATGCTCAAATCAAACATATCAGATCTTATTCAGGGGCTGAAAGACCAGTGTTGGACATCAGCATAGGGAATAGATAGGTGACAAAGCAGCAAAGCTGAAAAGCCCCCAACAATAGTTACCTTGGACAGTATCCATTATTAAACTTTTAATGTGCATTGAAATCATTGTATTCTTTGGATGATGTGTGTTCCAACTGAGTAAAGCCAAAGTACCAACAACAGCACAACCAAGATCAGATCACAGCTTATATTGTTACCCACAAGGCAAGTGACAGAGTGATGTACAGAGCCCTGAGTAGTGTGCTCAGAGCTTTACTGTGACTACAGCACCACACATTTTAGCATGAAAACGAATGAAGCAATGGACAGCTTTCAATTTAATAATTTTGAGTACGGTTTTTATGATGCCTCCATTATTCCATCCAAGCTGTACATTAAAATGATTTCTTTAATTGTTCTTTCCCATTTCCCTGCAGCCTGTGACAGACAGTGCTTAACATCGACTCAGAAGAAAAGCTAGAACCTTCAATGCTTCTCTCTGGAATTCAAGCATCAACATAATTACCCACAGATGCAGATTTCCGCTGTTTAATTATTAGGAGAACTTAGAAGAAGAAAAAAAAACTACACGTTTGTATTTAGAAACAAACAAACCAACATTTGCCATTTTTGGGATATCATATATCCCAGAAACGAACCATTTGCTAATCTGACTTCCAACAATTGAACTGAGCACTTTCAGGCTCACGTGTAAATGGGATTTTGGTGTATATATATTTTTTATTTCTAAGTGCAATTACATAATTACAAAGACTGAATGCTAGGTGTCAAAACATTTTTCAGTTAGAGGGAATAAATAAACTGAATACTATATAAAAATAATAGAACATTTAAATTGAAATTTGACAGATTCTTCCATTTGATGGTTTTAAAACATAAATATTGTACAGAGAAAAAACATTTTCACCCATGCTCTCAACAGTAGTTCATAAATTAACTTCCACCCTAGTTGGTATCACCTAGCTTCACCTCACTTAGTCCATTATTCAGTCAGCTGATGTGTGACGAGTTGTACATTGCCTTTTCTTGTTTGTTTTTTTTCCTCCATTTTCATTATCTTCAATTGTAGGTTTCTTCTGACATTTTTATGCAACACTGGTTTTGTTGCTTCGTGTGTTTGCTTCATTCAAAATGCTTGATTCAGTAATTTCCCTGCACGACATGGGTTGACTTCTAAGCTTTTCAACGTACTGAGTATAAAAACCCCATCTTAAAGGACTGTTGCACCTGTTACTTTGCAGTTTCTCTCGCAGGAAACTGCCCCCTAAGTCTTCAGAGAAACGATGAACATAGTCGACAGCAGAAAGACATTCCCGAAGGTTTTCTCAGCTTGGTCTTGAAGCAGTGGTGATTCCTGGCTAAATCTCTCAAAACCATCACCTCAGCTCTTGTTTGTTGCCGTTATTTCACATTTAGCTCTCAGTAGTGCCGCCGTAGCTTTAGACTGAAGACGTTTTTTGTCAAGAACACTTAGAAATGTGTTGTATGAGATGTTTCTTTTTCAGCTCAGAAATGTATCACTGAAATTATTCATGCTAACATGATTTGCACAGTGTAATTTTTTAAAAAGAAATTGAAGAAAAATCTGTGTCCGTTAAAAGATTGAATCATCTGTAAAATGGCTTTAATTATTTTTGGTTTTCCCAACCTTGTTAACTGGAATTTGAGTCTGTTTTACTACAGTGGTCTTATTGTTTGACTGTGAAACAAAGTTGTGGATATCATTGTTCTCTCATTGCTTTGGTGTTCTTTCATGTATGTGGCAGTGTTATCAAGTCGTTAAAGTAAGGGAAAGCTCATCTCTCCGGAAAAAAAAATTATTAAAAAAATGTAAAAACCAAGTGTGATAAGATGGCTCACCTCAGAAAATGTTTAAAGCGCCACTTGAAATCTGAAGTTTATTCCAAGTGTTTAATTTAGTATTCCAGTGTAATTTTTGGTTTAGCTCTCTGTTCCTTTTGGACGCTGTCATTCATCTTAATCTGCTGCTTAGTTTACCATTGTAGTTGCCAGTCGATTTAATAAACATGTTGATTACAAAAAGAGAAAAAACTTGTCTGTTTTATATATTCAGGAAACTGCATGTTTGATGTTGGTTATTAATCATTTTAATCATGTTCTTTTTTTCAGGAAAAACTAAAGTCTTTAGAGACTTAAAGAATGGCTGAAATTGTTTATCTACATTTTCTGTTTTTTGGGGGGACTAAATGAGGAACCTTATGTGCCCCTGTAGTTTGTCACAAAAACAAGCTTCCTGCACAGTCTGCACAAATTTATATGAATTAGGTTCCATATTAAAAAAAAATACAATTTCTAAAATCCAAATGATGTTTTCAATTCAAAAGACATGTATTATTGTATTAAATATTATGCAGTGATCTAAAGCTCATGCAAAATGAGACCATAACAGCTAATGAAAAAAAACTGTAGAGGCTTGTATAAGATTTCTCTGTACAAAAACTACACTTGGAAGATTTTTATTTCAATAGTAATTGATGGTATATCAAACTAAACTAGTGTCAAATAAACTTTAGTTCATGGCAGATAAATTGATAATTATGACTGCATGGCATTGAACTGATCTTGATGAGAGTTGGTTTAAGTTTAAATGCTTAGTGTTGTATTTTACCATCGTAGTAGTCTCTACAGCTATTGTAACACACTGTAATGACTTTCACTTTTCCACTTCAGAATGCATTTTTCTCCAGGGTCCAAATTGTCACTATGTCCTTCGTTCACACCAGCAGTCTGCTCTGAATATACAGATATCTAAAGCCACAGAAACATGAAGGTCATGTCGCCCCTCAGAGGCTGACATCTTATACAAATATCGATGTCATCTGTAACTGCAAACTGCATGCAGCTCTTCCCCTCCCGTCCAGCGGGGGGCGCCACTCCTGGGTTAGGTGCTCAATCCTGCTACATGTGACATTGGCATCAACAGAGGGTAAGCTCCATAAGATCTGTCTACAGGCACAAGCTAGTTTTTTTTTCTGTACCAAAAAGTTGACTGTTTGAAAGGCACGTAGCAGTTACATTGTAGACGTTTACGTCTTTACAAGACAATAGTGTTTATGAATTCATTGTTGTGGTAAATGCTAGCTTGATATAAGCTAACATTAGCCTAGCTTGTGTTGCGGTTTGTGTCAGGACTGCTGTGGTACCTTCAACAGCTTTGCCACCTCTTTTGGTCTCTGCAGCACAATGAGGCTGACAGCTCTCCTGTCGATGGCAGCCCGGGTTGTGGTGCCTAAAGACTACCGCTACGGCACTAACAGACCGTGGACCGCGGCTGCTAAAAGGCTGAACCCACCTGGGAAGAAGAGGAGAAAGGTGTTCGTGGAGCCTGTGGAGCCGGAGGACTGGCCTGTGCTCAGAGGAGATACGGTGAGAAATGACTCCACAGGGTTCAAGTCTACACAAATTGTAAATGACTAAGTTATTTTCCCCCACTCATTGCTTTCTTACAAAGGTTTACATAAGTGTTAGGACTTCTTGTCCCCTTAAAGAGAAGATACGAGATGTAAACACAAACAGGAGGTCACAGCTTGCCTCTGCTGAAGGTTTTTTTTTTTATTAGACAATTTGGAAAAGAAAAGAAATGAAAGTCTAACATATTCTTACTGCTTTCACAGAGGTGACTTGGAATCCAGGATTTTCTCTTTGTGTTTGATACATTTGATTTCTACATTTCAGTAAAAATCTTTTACTCTACAATCTTCTGAAAAACCACAAATGTGATAAGTTGTCTCACATTTCTAGTCTTATCCTGCACTAATGCGTTTTGCATTTGATAGGGGGAAAAGAATAGAACATCACACATTTTTAACTGTTTTTGGAGTGCTCGCTCATCATTTGGGTTGCATGGTTGCCTGTATGCTATTGTAAGTTTTTATCACACGATAAAACATGTCCATACATTTTGTGGACAAATACAACCTCACATCCAGACTGAGATACTTTAAGGTTTGGGGATTTTTCCCCCCGGCATAAGTTAGAGGAACATCTGGAGATTAGGGAGCACAGTTTCTGGTTGATGTAATTTTAGACTTTTTATTTGGAAGTATAGCCTCTAGTTGATGGTAATATTCAGTTGCTACACTCCTGGTCACACAAACATGTTGAATTTTAGGCCACTTTGAGGTCATCATTTAAAGCACTGTCATTTGTGCCCAAGTGACTGTTGGAGACACTTTGAGAAGTGCTCAAATCCACAAATTAGAGGATCAGTAGGAGCAGTAGTATAACAATAAATGTTGTTCTCATTTGTTGACATTTATTTAAGAAACAATTACCGTATGTGCTTTTTGTTTTATTCTCAGGTTGAGATTCTTGCGGGAAAGGACAAAGGAAAGCAAGGAAAAATTATTCAAGTCTTCAGACGAAGGAACTGGGTTATTCTGGAAGGACTAAACACAGTAAGGGAGTGATTTCTTTTTTCACTTTGTTTGTGGACTTATTTATTTTATATATACTTAATTTCCGAGTTGTTTTTCTTAACTTATGTAACAAGAATAATTTAAAAAACATGTTGACGTTTAGATTTTTTTCATTTACTGTTTGACATAAGTCTGCTTAAAATGGACTTAAAAGGGAGGGAAACATGGTGCATTTACAAGTTACTCTCCACCAGATGGAACTAGATCTCTTAGTGCAGCACAGAAGTATTTTTCAGCCTTTATGGATCGACAGCTGTGAGAACTGTTTCTATCATATCTTAGCACCACAGGTATGTAGGAAAAGCCCCAGATTACCGTGGGACCTACATTGCCAGTGAGGCTCCTTTGCTGCTGCGCAATGTGGCACTCATCGACCCGTCGGACAGGTAGAGTACACCTGTGGAGATCAAGTTAAAAAAAAAATTCAACTATGCCGCATTGTAGCTTTAAGTAACAGCTCAGCAGTTTTTTAGTGTAACAAACCAAATTTTTTGACATGTGGTCCTCTTCTGCTGTTCCGATCTCCGTCCTCCAGGAAGCCCACTGAGATCACGTGGAAGTACACAGAGGAGGGTGAGAGAGTTCGAGTTTCACTCCGGACGGGTCGAATCATCCCAAAACCTGTCGTGGAGCGGCGGGATGGCATTGTACCGCAGCAGTGGAAAGGTGAGCAGGTTCATGCTTTGACTGGTGGAGGAGTTATTTCAGGAAGCACGTGGAGCACATGCAAACAAACTGCTGAAGACTTTTTTCCTTCTTCTGCAGAGTTTGATGCTAAAAAAAGGTTTCTTAGGGGGCAAGAAATACTGGTTTTGAGCTCAGATGTTTATTTGATGAAAAAAAAAAGTTACAATTTGACTTGCTCAATGAATAATTTTAAATTCAAACCTCACTGATTTTCACAATTTTACTGTACAGATGGGCCTAAAGATACCAGTCCAGAAGACACACTAGAAAAGACCTATGTTCCATCTCTGAAGACCCTGGAAGAGGAAGTCATGGAGAAACTTGGTATCCAGGAGAACAGGAGGCACAGGAGGTCTTATTGGTACTGATCACAGACAGTCGGGCTCCCATTGGGCTGTCCGATCATCACAGGGACCCTGAACATATCAGCTTCTGGTGGGAGTTGCAGATAAAGTTACATACAAAACTATCTGAAGATGCCAGGATGATGAATGGACTTTAAGATATTGTTGCAATATACAAAAAAGACTCACCATTATAAATGGGCAATATACATCATAAATGTATTGCACTTGTCTTTCTTTAAAACATTGTGAATAAATGTCAAACTGTAATTTCCATTCATTTTACAATGGAGAAATACAAGCCATAAGGGCCCGGTAATAGAGACCACTCGACTGTTGTTCAGCAGATGAAAGTTTCACCGAGGGTTTTTTATTTAAATTTATTTTAGCGTTTTTTTTTTCACACTCAGAGTTGATCCTTGGGGCAATTTAGAGAATCAATTTAACCTAACATCCTTTTCCACACAGAAAGGTCCCGATTCCCCCGGGAACTCAGGCTGGGAGGTGAAATCACTTGTTAAAGTACTTAAAGAAATGTCAGTTTCATCTTCAGCCAAATTCATGCTGATTTTGCTCAATTACATCTCACATTTTGTCTGACCTCAGAGTCAGACAGCTTACGGAGCATTAATCCAACAACCGGCACTGTTGCTGGCTTGGGAAGAGCAGCAGTTACTGCTGGTTCACACAGGGCTTCCTACAGTGAGTCTGCGTGAGGGAAAAAAAGTGACACAGGTCTGGTATTGGCCGAATTTCTAATGGAAATGGTTTCAGCTTGTTCAGAGCGTTCATAAAGCAGAAAAAAAGACAGCGTTATTTTAACAAAGTCCAGACATGCAGCGCTCCAAAACGCAAAGCATTTTAGACAAATGAGTCTGTCTTTCCAAAGTGTCTGGGAAACCATGTGGAGACGGCAGTGGTTTGGGAGGGGGCTCCACAGCCTGGAGAGTTTCAACAAAGGCCTCTCTCACCTCGTTTGACTCTTTGCTGGCTGGCAGCGCTGCTCGTACCTGCGCTGTGTGAAAGTCTGTCAGGTCTCAAGTATGACCTCACCCGCTAATTTGTCATCCTCTATGGAAAACTAAAAGCCGACCGACGTTATTAAACCCACGGCTATACATACTTTTGTATCATTTTGTGGGCGAAATTATGAACGATGCATTTCCAGCGTATTTTAAACACACCCCTCCTTCCTCGATGTACAGAACTCTGAGACAGCCTCTGATAATAAGTTACCGTGTCAACATGTTCATAAGATACACATGTATAATTGGTCAGATCAGCCATCATCACCACAGCTGAGAATTTCCATTTTCAGTCAGGATGATTGAGGAGTGCATTTTACCAGGTCATTATTCCCTTAATTTAGACAGTGATCCATATACCGATGCAGTCTGAAATTCCCTAGAATCACAAAGCTGTTTCAGGAAAGCGCCCCAGGACTCGGCTGTACTGTGCTTAAGAGTATGACACAACATTCTGATGAATATAGAATCATTCTGGTGCTTCTACCATGACCATTTTGCTTCCTCTTTTTGGTCCTGACACCCACAGCTGAATGACTTTATCATTAGAAGTGCTACACAGAGCAAACCATAAACAGGGAAAATCCCCAAGAAAAGTGATGCATTTTTACAATTCTACATCATCAATTTCAAGGAAACAATCTGATCTTTAGCATAATTGGAAACATCCATCTATTTTCTGAACCAGTTATTCCCAAATGGGGTCACTGTGGAACTGGAGCCTAACCCAGTATTCAATGGGCGAGAGGCCGTCAGTCGCAGGGCTACACAGAGACACACAACCACTCACTCCTAAAGGCAATTAGGAATGGTTAATCAGCATAACATGCAGTTTTTTGGGCAGAGGGAGAAGGCCGGAGAACCCAGAGAGAACCCACGCAGACACAGGGACAACATGCAAACTCCACACAGAAAGGTCCTGGTTCCCCCGAGGACTCGGACCCAGAACCCTCTCGCTGTGAGGCGATGGTGCCAACCACCACACCACCGTGGCGCCCATTGGAAACCTCACGTGGGTTTTTCCCACCTGAGTAATGATCCATTTCAGATGTACAGGTTGCTTTGGATTGGAGTTGTGCCCTCTGGCTAGCACAACACAACAGTTTACTCATTGGTTCAGCTGTGTCATAAAATCTGATTACTTTTACTGTATTTTTCCGGCTACGGTCCTGCATACAGTAGGAAAGTGGAGTTTTACTGCAAGCTTTTGGACTTTTACACATTTTGAATATGGTCCTAAACTGAATTGGGGGTTTTTTTCTCCACTTTTTCCCACCGTTGTTGTAAATATCCAGCTTTATTTATATCAATGAAATATCCAGTCAAATTTAAAATGAACTTCAGCTCTACACTTATGTGGGATGTGTGAGCAAAGCAGCCTGTGAGGTGCATGAAGTCTCTTTTTCCTTGCTGGTTAACCATACATATTGATTTACAGAGAAACCAGCTCAACCTTTTTGCCAGGTCTCCAGCTGGTGAAGCAACTAGCCTGGCTTTCAGGCAGCGATCCAAAAAGAAGATCATATAAATGCATGAAAATTTCACGGTGGCTCTCTATACCCTCATTTTTGGTTAGTGCAGTAACATCATGCAGAAAGCATGCCAAGTTTGGCCAGTAAGCGGATGAGCGCCACATTTTTCCCAAACTCGTCCCTCCTGGACCCGTTTGTCGCTGCCACTCTGCATCCAAGAAGAAATAAGAGCGGCCAGTCAGCGGAAACCTGGTTTTGAGGTTTTGCTTTTATGGGAGGAAAAATTATTCCAAGGCTGGTCGTCTCCTCTGTCGTTGTACTGCTTTTAGTCTGGGATTGCAGCAAGGTGAATTGTAATGGTGGTGAGGTAGAGCCGATGCAATTAATTTGTCTTAGCTTTTTCCATTCAGAGGCATATGAACAGATTTATGGGAGCCTTAAGTTTGAATGAGTCTTAAGAGCACCAATCTTGTAATTTCTACCGTGTGGTGAGTTGACAGCAGTTCTGGTAACCCAGCGAAATGAAACCACTGACATGACTCAATCAGAATTAGGAATACGTAAAAATAAACTGCAGGCTGTGCTGTATTTCAGCTGAGTCATTTTCACGCAGCGACCACATGCATTAATGATTCCCTCCTGGTGGTGCAGGCTGCACCCAGAAGCATTAACTTAACCAGCAAAAGCTGTTTATAAAACAAGGGAAATTAAGTTAAATGACCAATAAGTGCTTCAAATCACTCTCTCTGTGCGTAACGAAGTGTTCAAAAGTTGCTCAAGCAGTATGAATGGTATCTGATTTTAGAAAGAGAGATTTGTGACAACTCTCACATCTCCAGAACATCTGAAGACAGTTTAAAACCAAATTTGAGCACCGCTTTTGACTCTTTGATGATCTGAGCCAGTCTACAATGTAATGATAGTGTCTGATTATAGGCTGCCTGTTTGAAGGCTGTTGGAAAATGTAACTTTAGCTTGTATGCAGGTCTGAGGCATGGCCTGCATGCACGTTTAACTGTGTTTGGTCTAATTTAGTCGACTCCAACTGGATTCCTGTATATGACCTCAATATGTTGTGCTCGGGAAAATAAAATGACTTTCTTCTTGGGCTTTTATTCCCTCACTCAGACTTAATTTGCAGCTCTTACGTTCAGGTCGACTGATTCATTTAAACAAGGATTCTGGGTTCAAAGAAAAGGAAGAGGCTAAATACGTAGGTTAGTGTTTTTTGTAGATTTTATTCATATTGTCTACATTAAAAAAAAGACTCTAGTCAAAAACATATTTCTGTCCAGTATTTGAATATATCTTTCAGTTTAGACTCTCACTTTTGGTCATGATTTCACAGAGGTCTTCTTTGCAATATTTTGTTGTTAAAGAATGGAAAACTGATCCATAGATATTTAACAGAAGACATCTAATTCAAACACATTGCTCTTAAATCATCTCACTAAAGCTTATTTTGTGATCAAACCATTCTATTAAGTGTTAGTGGGATTCATTTAAACCAAATGTATCACATTAGTGTTAGAGAACCCTCAAAAGGCATACATCAATGTGATACATCATCGTAAAAGGAATTGGAAGTTATCCAAAACATCTTATAGTACAATATTGTTCTCTGAAGGCAGTCTGTCCAGGCTGTAATCCTCTTCTCGCCCAATGACAGCGGAGATAGACTCCACCCCCTCCTCTTCCCCCAAATTTAAATAAGCATCTATTGACAATATAAGGATGTATTTCTGAAGAAAATACTGTGGTACATCTTAGTTTATAAATCTAACCACAGTCACACAATCCCCTCTCCTTTGCTCAGCAAGTCAGCAAAGAGTTCACGAGTACTGGTGAAAAAGGCCTGTCAGGATGTCCTCTACAAATAAAAGAGCCTCTGGCTCAGCAAAAATCAAGCTCTGAAAGGCACACATTGCTTATGCTTCATCTAGTTTCAAAATTTGTCAGAATAGGGTTAGTTTTTTCATTTAGGCAGGAATAGTAAGATATCAAGTAAATCCTTTTCATCTGAAGTTTAAGCGAGGTCAACAGCAAATATTTGATTCAGACTTATTTGGGTCACAAGAATTTGGAATTCATGTGATGATTTTTACTTAAGAAAAAATCATGAGTGAAAACTGAATTAGTTTCTGTTCTGTTATTTCTTTGGCCACCAAAATAGTTTCAATTACCAATTTTTAGGCTTTCCTTCCTCAGATACTCACAATTTCCCATGTGCAAGCAGAATTTAACAGAATTTAACAGAATTTAAAATTTGCTATATTACAACAGAGCTAGATCATGTTTGAGCCACTTTTAATGGGAGAACATTTCCTTTTGTCATACTCTGCTTGGCTGTACGGTAACTCTTGTCCCAGAATCTCCATGGTAACTAGTGCCTCTGGGGTGACTGGCTGATGGGAGGTCTCGTTGTGCTATCTCTTTTCCTGGGACATCTCAAACAGATAACAGTATCTATATTTCTTTATATGTTTCAAGTTTCCCTCATTCATCGGCCATTGTGATGGAGACAAACGTCAGTAGAGAGAGAGATGCCATGCTGCTTCCTGTACGTGAGCCAATCTGGGTCACTGTGACTGTTGCTTGGCTCTGAATTCGCCCCGCTGATCCCCATCTGCTCTTTGAGCTTCGACAGTCCCTTCCGAGACGGTTGTGCTGTTACCTGGTCGTGAGATTCCTCAGGCCGGCTGAGCTGACAGCAGCTGCTGAGTCATGGGATGTCCACTACAAAGCGCCATTCACGCTGTCTGCAGAGAGCCCCGCCACACACTCTCCTCACATTTTGTGTGCATGTGTTGCACACACGATAAACAGATGAAAGGCGTTCCGGCACAAACTCAAGAGAAATCTCTGAGCGTCCACAGACCTGCCAGGTTTATTTGTGCAGGACATTTCACGTACAAGAAAATTCAAAGTGCTTTATAAAGAGTTTTACAGCAGAAAAGAAAGATAAAGAAAATAAAGAAAAATAGATTCAACAAACTAAAACGATCATTGATTAAACAGATCAAAAGTGAAGCGTGCATATAAGATAGGACCTTTCTGTGTGGAGTTTGCATGTTCCGTCTTTGTGTGTTCTCACCAGGTTCTCCAGCTTCCCCCCACTGTCCAAAAACCTGCATGTTAGGTTGATTGGACATTCCAAATTACCCTTAGGCAATTTGTCCTTGTGTGTCTCTGTGTGGCCCTGTGGTGGACTGTCCAGGATGTACCCTGCCTCTTGCCCATTGACTACTGCGGTGAGCTCCAGTCTTCCCGTGACCCCATTAGGGAAGATATCCCTAATATAATGGATGGATGGATTTAAAAAAAGAGATCTATCTCTTGGATGGATGGATATATACTGTTTATAGGGAATAAGTGGTTATGAAAATGGTTGGATGTTTCAGTGTGTTATTGTTATCAGGTGGCTGTGGCTTATATACATGTACAGAATGTTTTGGGTGCTAAAGGCTGACTAATCTTTTTCTGTTTGCGTAAAACAGAGATGTGGGAAGCTACTTCCATATCGGGCCCGGGCTTATCCTGGAAAGAGCCACGGGTACACGCAGTACTGCTGCCTGGACCCAACACGCATCAGTTTGTGTGTAACTACTGATACTTTATCTGGCTGCAACTCTGTCCTCATCTGGTCACTGAAGTCCTAAATTACATCTGGAGTTTGTGTTGGGGGAGGAGGGGCAGGAGAATGGGATGGGAGGTCTGTGGGTGCCCAGTGGTGGGTCAGTGAAGTCCAGAACAGGAGGAGACGGGGAGGATGACCCCGATGAAGGGTCCTCATTCCAGTCTTTTAGTTCAGGAGGAGTCTGAGAGAGCTCCCAGATGACGTCCCCTGAAGGTGCAGGAGGGGGCGGGGTCATCTCTGTCTCAGGGTTATTGATGGCGATATATCGTATCCCTATCCTTATCCTCTGGTTTTTGCTTCAATCTGTCCTTGTGCAACGGAGCGGAATAGGAACTCAAAACAAAGAAAAGATTAGCCTTACTCCAGATCTACAGAGGAAGAGGCAATCTGCATTTGCATAATTTTGTACAATAAACTGTCCAAAATAGGGATACTTTATCAGCTCATGTACCCAAAAGGGCTAAGAACTGGATTTGGAGGCCCTTAAAGGTACAAGTATGTTTCCTAATAGAAAAATGACAGATGTTCGACGGCAGGACATTTAAGGGCATAACTCCAGTGACAAGTCCTGGGCCCCTAAAAGTTTTTTTTAAACATTCTGAGAGTGTATGCAATGACCACAGTCTGAGCTTTCAATCATTAAAGTCACACTGAGCTGAGTCTTGACCCTGGAGAACATGTCAATGGTCAATTTACACACCATGGGAATTAATTGATGTATCACGTACCATAACCAGAATACCTATGTGGTTCATTGTTGAGGGGCATTACCATGGCAACACACTATAAGGCACTGCCAGTTTAGGAACTGTGATTGTTCCTTGCACAGTTTTTTAATGTAATCTGTACATTGCTTTTAGATTCACGTTTTGTTCACAGTACAGAGTAATAGTCTTAAGTCATGCCTAACTTCTCTATATATCATCACGGTAATTGTACCTTATATATCTCTATATATATATATATATATGTATATAAGTGGAAAAAAAAGTTCCAATGAGCTTAAAAGTCAATATTTGGGATGAGCACCTTTATTCATCTGCATAGTCTGAACCCTCTTGGACGGGCTTTCTTGAAATCTCTTGTAAGATTGATGACAGAACAGAAACATGGAGCATAGGTTTTGGTTTGCTAACGGAACCGGTGGGGTCCTGGTCCTCCTGGACTGCTGCAGGCTCTCACCTGCATCAGCATCAGCATCAGCAGCAACTGATGCGCTGACTCAACTTATCCCGGGTCATCCAAAACGACGTTTGGGGTATTTGTCGCCCCCCCCCCTGCACTAAACAAACATGTAGGTCATTTCCTGACTGCGTGCTTCCACTTCACAGCCGATGTCGTTGCTCTCCTCCCTCCCATGTTCCTCCGGACAAGCGTGCGTCACCTCCATCCTGATTGTCGAATGAAAAAAAAGAGAAGGAAAAAGTGGGCTGTTCAGGATTTTTTTTTTTTCAGTGGCGTTACTCTCTCTCCTAACTCCGTCCTTTCATTCTGAGCCTGTGAGCCTGCGGGTAGGACAGCAGCCCCAGCTCCCCTCTACCTGTGCACAGCATCCACGGCCGCCTTCCCCTCTCAGGACAGTCGCACTGCAGCACCCACAGAGAAGTAAGAAGTCCGACCTGCCTCTGCTGAGATGTTGCTGGAAAGAGCCAGGTAGGATGATGAGATTAAAAAAAAACAAAAACAAAAAAAAACGTAGTTCTAAACTTTCTTAGAAATCATGCCTTTTAGGTTTTGCTATGGTGATACGTCATTCGTGCTTCCAGTGCGCGTTAAAAATGTTTGTTGCGGGTTTCCTCACATACCACAGTGTGTGTATCTATATCTTTAGTCTGCAATTCTGGGATGATTTTGCTCTCATTTGCATGAGGACTAAATAAAACTGCTTTGAAATAAGCCCAATCACGTCCCAGTGATTGTTTAAAATGTGGTTTTGCTGAAATGTTTAAAAATCCTTTTCTTTATAGAATTTGACATGCTGTAGCATGGTGGAAGATGATTTTTTTTCTCCTTGAGTGCTTATTTAGACTTATTACTTTCTGTGGTCTACCTTTGGGCTCAGTTGAATTTCAGTAATGGAGTAAAAAAAAAAAGAAGACAGAGGTCATATTTAGCTATGAAGAATCCCTGTTTTCTGTACAGTGTTCCAATGGCTATCTGGTCTGAGTTTAACTAATGAACCAAGATAAACAAATGGCTGGTTTGGCTTTCTTTTTCCTTTTTTATAAAAAGGAAAATCCTCTGAACTAATGACTCATTACAATAAATCCAAGAAAACCTGCATATAAGGAGAGACAGGTATGAAGTCATTGACGCTCCATCAGGTTCTCTTTACACTTTAAATGTTCTCATGTTTGTATGGACATTTGCAGAATTGGACTTTTTGTCATTTGGCCTCCTTTCCTTTTAGTGGGCAAGGGCTCAGCCTGTCCTTTCTTTCTTTCTTTTTTTCTTCTTTTTCTTTTTTAAAGGTCTGATCAGCGGACTGACAACTGATGGTTGCCCTTCACTGCTATTATGAATACTAGTACTTACACTTTATTAGCTCCCTATTTGAGTAAAGGCTCACCTTATCTAATTCATTTCAGCCTCCTTGTCTTCTTACTCTTCTGTATATCTGCTTGTGACCCAAAATAGTTTTCAACAAAAGATTTTGAAAAACGTTTCAAGTCCTAGAATGCACCCAGAGGAGTGAACATCAAGGAGTGAGAAGGCTTGTTTGTTGCACTATGTATAGATATGTCAGTATATCCTTTGCAGAAGTTTTATCTTATTCTATTTGTAGTCTTTGGCACCCATGGAGTCGAAAGTGGGCATGGCACACTAATCTTACACTTTGAATTGAATGGCAAGTACAAATCTGCTGTTTCACAGATGAATTAAATTCTTATCTGACAGGAACAATGATGTTAGATGGTGGGCTGCAACCAAATGGTGGTTAGATGAGGCTCGTGTGTCACATCATACTTAATTCATGTCTGCTCGGAAGGGCGTTCTGAAGAAAGCTCCTCTCATTTGGTTGTGCGTCTTTCCTCACATCTACTGCTCGCCGACCGCAGGTGGGAGGGGCCAATGCACCAAAAGATGAGGTAACTTTAGAAACCGGATGTGAGCATATTAGGGAATGGAAGTTCATTAACTGATACACTCATTTAAACTACCGTATAAGAGAAGGTAAATCTAACCAAAAGACTGGAGATGAAAATGTAAAAACACACACATCCAATAAATTAAATCAGCCAGGATCTGCCTATTCTACACAGCAATAAACATACAACGGACCAAAGACTCCTCATTTGATGGAATTGTTGCTCTGAGCTGAAAAAGTGATGAATTTCAGGAAGCAGGGCCCACCTGAACCCACCCAGAGTCACATGTCAAATTAGGAGTTCCATGAAAATGCTTCTTGTGGGTAATAAGTTGGCCATGCCAGCTGTGGTTCTTCTATGGATTTATTGAGTCGTGTCTGGTATAAAGTGGTTGTTTAAAAAATTCCCAGACTCACAGGGTGGTGAATTACATGGTCAGTGGTTTTTTTCCAAAGTAGCCATCTTTGTGGGAGACTGACTGTTGGTTTTCGAAGAGTTTGGAGGTATTACGCTTAATGGTGCAGGAAGCCAGAGGTGTGGTGTTGAGTGAATAGTCTGATGTAGGTCAAATTTGGTCTGCCGTGTACTTTATACTCGTTGCAACCTACAATGGCAGTTTAAACTTTTCACAAGTCAACTCACCTGGCTAAAATCTCAGCATTGTGACCATCGCCACAAAAAAACCTAAGTTAATCAGTTGTTTTAGTTTCAGTTATGAAAATGTTTTTTTCTATGCTTGTTGCAAGATTGTCCGCAGAAACAGACTTTTACGATATGTTTGGAAGTGTATAGAAGCAGGAGGGTATGTTCTTATTGATAAAATGCTTGATATCTCGTCTGTCCATGTGAACATTTGGTCTCTAATTGGCTTCAGTTTATCATTTGAATTTAAAAACCTTAGAAAATGCTATCCTTTATGGACTCTGAGTACTGCACAGGCCACCTACAAGAGTAAAGTGTCAAGTTTTATGCACTCAATGGGAGCATTGCCAGGATTCTAAGCATCCTTTTGAATATATTTTGACTGCTTGTGCTAATTTCTTTTGATTGTGAGGTTATCAGCGCTGCCTTTAACCCGATTTGTTCGAATATCGTGACTACATGGTGCTAGTCTGGAGCTGATCCGTGTGTGCTGGAGGAGGACACTCATTAATGCACTGGTTGCACTTTGTAAGCCTCTAAATGCAGTGGGTGGCATTGATTTCAGCTTGACTTGTCTTTATTATCACTGCCATTAAACAAAACGAACTGCAAGGCGCCTGGTGATGGTTAGGCCCATGACCTCATAAAAAATGTGATCTAAAGATTGCACAAAATGCACAGCAGCAGTCAGGATTTTCTCTTCTGTCACTGATCTGAATACACAAACTGATATTGAAGCACAACAATAAGACCCTTTGAATTAGAGTGCAGCGTCCTAATATGGCTGGTTCTTTTGTACAAAGACTACTCCAGAATGGTTCTTGGTGGTTGAAAACTCCCTTTTCCAACCATGAAAAGAGCGAAAGAAAGAAAAGAGAAAAAGCAACCAAGTGTGCCAGTGGCCTGTCCTTTAATTTTCCCTGAAACCTTTTATATGGGAGTCAGAATGAAGTGAAAGCACAGTGTGCAGCTGTCCTTTTGGCCCTGCTACTCACTATTTGTGAGATGTTTTCTTGTCAAGAATACTAATAGTGATACCCTGTGGAATCACCCAGCTGGCATGGAAACAGACAACAATTATACTGCCATAAAAGAAGGTCATTTAATTTGTTGCAACTTAGTGAGCTGCGTTTCTGTTGAGTCCACTCAAATGATGGGTTTGAGATACTGATTCAGATAAGGTCAGCTTTATTATAACGTGTTCAAAATGATCTCACCCAGAAGCTCCGATTTGGTAGAAGGTTCTCTGTTTCTGACGTCCCCCATTAATAGGGGCACCTTCTTTTTTCATTTTTCTTTTTGAGCCACATGATTGAATTACATAATATGGGGACCTTTTATGCACATACCTCAAAGGCCTTGTTTGCTTGCCTTTGTCAGCTCATATGGAGTGCGGTCAGTCTGCAGTATGAGCTAATTTAAGCTTAAAGTTTAATTTAAACAACAAGAAACAACCAAACTAACATATATTCTAACATTAATGCTCTACACAGACAAAACTAAATAAACCAACAGTGAAAAAAAGTATCATGTGAACTCGACATGGCAAAGCAAGAATAAGACATGAGGGGAAACTAGAGTCAAATTCACAGACTGTATTTAAGGAATGGACACGGCAACAGTGATGGGGCAATTGTTTTTTAAGCTTCCGGTTTCACATAGTGTTTCAGTGGAAGTTGAATGATTATATTCCAAAATAATATGTGTTATACCGCATAAGTATAGGAGATGTTATCAAATGTGAATAAGAGAGAAGCTTTTTAGAAACATGGTAGCTGCTTCACAATCAAGAAACATACAATCACATTCAACTCTTTTCCATCCTGACAAGTATTTTGGTTCACAATCACTGTTTTTCTTTTATAATAAATGAAAATCAAATTTTAGCTTCCTCGTAGCCTGACACGACCATCATCAGAGAGGTTGTGTGAGGTCACTGTGTACACTCTGGCATGCGTGCTGGGTTAATAACAGGGCCGGCCCAGTGACGGCTAGCTGGCAGGCTGAGACACTGTTATTAGCTCATGGAGGTGATGAATGGCCTGTGGTCGGGAGCCGGTGCCACCAGCATCCCTTTGGAAACCAGAGTAGTCGGTCCTTTCTACCGTATGCACATGGTCACACATACTCTTTTTCTTACTCAGAATATTGTGGGGCTTCCAAGATTGATACATAGATACTGCATCAAAGTACTGTTAAAACACAAGATTCTTTTAACATAAAAGATGTTGATAAGGCTCGCTGAGCAGCAATTTGAGGCTGTGACATGCATGTGTTTTATGTTTATACACTCATTTACTGTGAGATATACTATAAACACCATGCACTCAATCCTGCTGGCAATTAAGACTTTCCAATTAACCTTTTGAAATGTGAGAGGATACAAGAGTATGTGGACAGTACATATGTGGTCAAGGAGGAACGTGGAAAAGCCATTATGTAACTGATAGCCAACAACATTAGCCGTGCAAAAAAACAAAATAAGAATTTATTAAAATCTAAAATGATATTGATAATTATTCATTTTCTCTAATGTGGTCACAAGCCCGTGTCACCAGCTTTTGATTAATCTTTTAAAAGAGTTTTAGGAAGAGGTTTACAGGAAGTCTCTGAGGCTATTGGTATGTTGTCATTGTGTAGAGTATACGCCAAAAGGCAGAAGAGTTTAAAACCATAATGATGAGGTAATGAGTCAGAAAAACAAAATCCAGTAATATATATATATATATATAATAGAATTAAGGAGGAATATATATATATATATATATATATATATATACTGTATATATTCCTCATTAATTCTATTGGATTGAATTATGATGGATACAATGCTGAAAAATACAATTGTAAAATCTTCTGTCCATTTCCTTCAGCAGCTTAATGCTGTTAAGAGTTAGGATGGGGTGGTGGAGGTAGTGGCACAGGTAATAACACACTGTAAATTAAGTCATTTTTGCCTTAGGCATGTATTCTTAAACCATCATTGGAATCTGGCAACATGGCAATTTCTCTGCCAAATTATTTGTCAATAGTTATAGTTGTGCAATGCGGTACCATAAGTCAAAATAATGTAACGCCAGCATCAGCATCAGCCCCCAGGTTTTCCAGGGCAGTTTCAAATGGGGGAATGTGTTTAGCAAAGGTCACCGAACATCAAGTCCCATCGGAAGCACATACTTTTAAGGTACACACACTTCAATGGTATTACTCTGATTTTGTATGCTGGACATGGCACAATAGCAGTTGTTCACTATTGTTATCTTAGAACTTATCATATTGAAACTATGTGTAAGAAACAAAACAATCAATACATCAGCCATATGGCCAAATCACAAACATCAGAATGACTGATGTGGTGAAGGTAACACAAATGTGTTCAATCTTTTACCTTTAAGAGTAAATTAATTGATTTTGTGAGATAAGTAGAGCATATTTTAGCTGAACCAACACAATGGTTCCATGTGGGAAATTGGAAAGGTGATCATGTTATTTTTTCAGTCCACATATTGGTGGTAACCATCACTGTCTTGATAATGTGTCATTTTGTCTAAATATGTTTCTTTTTTTTATCTCAACAGATTTGTTAAGATACTTCCAATTTTTTGTGCAGTTTGTCATCTCACGGTGACGTTTCCCACCCGAAATCGACACGCATATGGTAAGCATGCTTATGTCTACATATTCTTGTCAAATTCCAAATCTTATCTGACCAAATACACATTATCTTGAAAAAATCTTTGGAAAAGCTTACCGTAAGTAGCCACTGCTTTGTTAACGGTCTGATTTTTTTTCCCCTTTTTCCTCAGATGATGCTCGACAGCTCCAAGTGAACATTTCCCTCTCAGGTGCAATTTTTGGCTCGCTGGGCAGCTCCATCTCCATACCTTGCTTGGCGTCGCTATCCTCCAAACTCTCTCCTGGCTCTTCCCCCCCTGTGGTACCGCGGATAAAATGGACAGTGGTGTCTGGTGGGGTAGAAAAAGAGATCCTTGTAGCACGGGGTGAGAGACTAAGGGTCAAAAAAGCGTACCAAGACCGTGCAGCAATGCTCAACTATACCTCCTCTCCTGATGACCTGTCCCTTTGGCTGGGAGATTTGCGCCACAGTGATTCAGGTCACTATCGCTGTGAGGTGCAGCAGGGCCTGGAGGATGCCAGTGACCTCATTGAGGTCAAAGTCAGAGGTAACTTGAAGAATATCCAATATAAAAAGAACCGTTTTTCCCCACAATGAATTTATGTGTCTGGTCTATACCTCAAATCTTTCGCGAATAATGCACAGAATTCTCAACTTACTGATGTCATACTTTGGTTACCAGTTTTGGGGCAAAAATAGATTGATAACATGAGTATATGTTTTTATAATAGAGGTCAAATTTAACTTTGCCTGAATCAGGATGGTAAAGGCTAGATTCTCTTTATACAAATTTTATAACCTCAATGAAAACTTAGTAATTTCATAAGACTATTACTGTACATTAAAAATAATACTTGAGCAACTTATCCACAAAGTTTGGTTTAAAATTGTTGTTATATTTTTGTACACATGTTAGAAAGATACATTTCTGCCCATAGCTTTGTTGGTATTATACAGTTATTTGGCATAGTGCAGTTTTTTTTTTCAGGGTGTGTGAATTTGTCCATCTTCACGTGTGTTCAGGTGTTGTGTTCCACTACAGAGATGCTTTCGACCGGTATGACCTTACCTTCCAGCAGGCTAAAGAGGCTTGTAAGGCCATGGATGCACAAATTGCAACTCCCGATCAGCTGCTGGCAGCCTTTAATGACGGATTTGAGCAGTGTGATGCGGGCTGGTTGTCAGACCAGTCTGTGAGGTATTTTCTCGCCTTTCTTTTTTATCAGTCATGTTCTCGTGACAAAAAAATTCTCAAATGCTTGTGGCAAAGATTACACATGATCATGATTACATCCTAAATTTACTGTTGTTATAAATACTGAGCTACTCTGAACTTATTGTCTTGTGAAAATGATTATTTATTTTGTTTTTGCAGGTACCCAATCCACACGCCTCGTGAACCTTGTTATGGTGACATGATTGAAAAACCAGGAGTGAGAAACTATGGGACAATGGATCCGGAAAAATTGTTCGATGTTTATTGCTATGCGGAACAAATGAATGGTATTAGTTATAACACTATTACAATGTCTCAGACTAAATTAGGCAAATGTGATAGTACTGTTTGCTTTACTTATCTACATGTTTAAGACAATCTTAATTTATCATGTTATGTTTTATGATATGCACTTAAAAATGTTGTATTGCCATGTTCTTTATTGATTAGCAATAAAGCAGACATATCTGTGATAAGTTGCCGACAAGCTTTAAATGCATCAACACTCTTGTTTTTAATATGTACTTTCTAATTTGCTTATCCATTTCTTTGCAGGAGAAGTGTTCCATGACACTGTCCCTCAGCGTTTGTCATTTGATGAAGCGCAGGATTACTGCATTTCTCTAGGGGCAAAGCTTGCTACACCAGGACAGTTGTACACAGCATGGAGTGAAGGACTGGACTATTGCAGTCCTGGCTGGCTTTCTGATGGCAGTGTTCGATACCCTATCATAACCCCTAGACAGCATTGTGGTGGCTTTCAGCCCGGTGTCAAAACGGTGTATCGTTTCACTAACCAGACTGGTTTTCCAGAGCCTTCCAGCCTTTATGATGTTTATTGTTTCAAAGGTGTGAGTCTTGCTCCTTAAAAATTAGCATACTATCGTAAATATCAACACATTTATATTGTGATATAATATAAATGTAGATATATTATCTCTTTTTGGGAAAAAAAAAAAAAAAGAATTCAAATGTATAAATCAAATAATAACTGTAAATTTAGGAAAGTTATGACCGTGTTTTGATAAATGAAATGGCTATCTTTGAAGCTCTGAATTTTTTTTTTGAATAACATAACTCTCCTCAACAGGAAAATCTGATGAATTCCAAGTCAGTGAAGTAACCACAGAAGCTGGGGACACTGAACAAAATGTTGTTATTTTAATGGAAACAGATCAAGAACTTAAACTGAATCAACAAGCAGAACAGGTGGAACGGGAGGCCCAAAGTGTTCTTATATCATTGCCCTTTATTTCTAGTATTTATACTGGAAAAACCTCAGACACCACAGACCCAACTGTTATATCAGACATAACAGACTCCCCCTCCAGCACATCTGCGGTGGACCTCCTTCATCGGCTTGAGAAAACTTCAACAATTAGCAGCTTTCAGCAGCCAGTGGTAGTGACCCATGCCATCAGCAGCACAGACAGCTACAATCCACAAAACAATTCATCCTATTTGCCCGCCGTTTACAATGAGACTGATCAGAACCAGAACCAGAGCCTCAGTTTTCAGTCTGAGTTTGAAAGAACCACATACTCACCTCACACACAGAACATAGTGCAGGAGGTAAATCTTGAGGAGACCACACCAGGAACTGAGAAGTTGAAGCATCCCCAAGACTTGCATGAGTTCAACTTAACTGTTGACCGAGCAGTGACCAATGACAGCGAAGTCAGCAGCGACCATACTCAAGAAGAAGGTTTCTGGGAGGCAACCACCCTGACTGTTAACCCCATGCTTCAGGGTAGGTATGAGGATGCAGAGGTAGAAGATCCTGTGCAAATGATGACCACGACTCACACCTCACAAGAAGAAGGACTACTTCCCACACAAGCAGCCCAAACTAATGAATCAGCCACTGAGACACTGACCTCTCTGTGGACAAACATGGATGGGTCTGCAGAGAATTCTGAAGGTATGTCAAACAGTGTTTTCCAACGGATGGCTGACATAACTAAGTTAGTCCTAACTTAAAATACCATTTGTCAAAAGTTATTGATCAATGGCACCTTCATGGTGTGGTGTCATAATTAGAAATATCACTATAGATGCAACATTGTACTTTCTTTAAAATCAAGCTAACCGGGAGCGCTTCACATTATTATTTAAGCAAATGTATCAAAATTCCAAATATGTTGTACCCTTTTTCAGAAAAGGACACTGAAGTAGAGGGAGTCACCTTCCTTCCCTCATCGCTTTCTTCCACTGGTAGCTTCACCACTCACCCACCTCCTTCTGCTTTGCCGACCAGTGCTCCCACTGAACCAGATTCTGCGGCTTCAGACCACATCTTTCTGTCTGGGTCAATGGACAGAATGGGCTTGCATATATTCTCTACAGTACCACAGCTCTGGGAGTCTTCCATTTCCAGACAAGAAGGGAGTTCAAGCTTAGAAACTGAAGATATCCCAAGCATGGAAAGTCAGGACAAACAACTTCAGGCAACTACGTCTGTTGACCAGCAAGTTTCTGAAGTAAGTTTAGCTATCACTGAGTCTCCTGAGGGTTTGAACACCTCTGATACACCAACCAAAGTGACCATAGCACACCATCAAACATCAGGTTATAGGGTATATTTGGATACTGTGACTGGCTCTTATGAAGAAGCAAGTGGATTTGAACCTGTGACAGTTAGTTCCACCCTAAAAGAAAGCATTAAGAATCAGCCATCAGCACCAACCACTGAAAGGGAGTTTCCAGTTTCCCCAGACAATGAAAGGGATTCCAAAGTATTGGTTTCCCTTTTACTTTATGAAACAACTGAAGTTGCCACAGTTAATGATCTGGATGAAGGAGCTAATGCTTCAACGACCTTTGAAGATGAAATTAAAGTTGCCCCAACAGTTGCTCATGTTAAAGAAACCAAAGTCTTTCCTTCCATTTTGCATAAAGAACAAACTACTACTGCTGTAACTTCTGAAGGAGAGGCCAAAGTTCCTTCAGCTTTCGATTATAAAGAAGAAGCTAACGGTGTTACACCCTTTGTCCTTGAAGGAGAAAATAAAGTTGTCTCAACTATTGATTATGGAGAGGAAGCCACCGGGGCTACATTCTTTGTACTCGAAGGAGAAGATAAAGTTACCCCAACCATTGATTATGAAGAGGAAGTCAATAGTGTTACAACCATTGTCGTGGAAGGAGAAGATAAAGTTGCTCCAACCCTTGAGGACTTTAGCATTTCTCCTCTCAATTCACAAACATCTAAGTGGGCTCTACTGACCACCACAACTGAACCCCAGCTGTCTGTCAGTGATGTTGAGTTCAGACAAAAATTCTCCTCCACAACGGCCTCAGAGTCCTCTGTGACAACAAAGCCCATTACTGGAACTACCAAGACGACATCAGCCCCAATTACTACCACACACGGGTCCAGACACAACCTTAGCCCAGCCACCACAACAAAAGAAGTGTTCCTCGAAACTGCTGAGCCACAGAAGGAGACCCATCTCATACCACCCGTGGATCATGGTCTCATTGATGTTGAGATTAGCCTTACCAAGCTGCCAACCCTGCTTATCTTGCCCAATGAGGGGGCAGCTGTAGGCGATGCAGGGAACTCTTCAGGTAATGTTAAAGCCACTTTCATCAGCCTAACAGTCCTCTTCCTACTCGACGCAATGATGTACTAAAAATCCTGGTCTGTTTTCTGACCGACTTGCCTCTGCTCCATTTTCTGTAAAATCCTTCCCTTGCTTTTCAAGCAACTCCCCTTGTTTGTTTCACCTGTTGCCTCGATCAACCCACTCACTATTCTGACTCCTCCTGCTTCACCTTCAAACACTCCTCACTGCTCTCCCCGTGACTCCCCACTTTGCCCTCCAAGATACTCACACTGGGACAGTTACCCTGCGGCATTTGTCAGCAGTCCAGTCTTGTTGTGCATGATGTTTTCACCTCCCCCGTCCAAAGATTGACTTCTGTGAAGTACTGTTAGGTTCTATTGAATGTTTTAGTGTTTCCTTTACATTGTTTGCCTGTGAAAAGAATAATTATAAGCTTGCTGTACAATATTTCAGGATATTGATTTCATTTGCAAACAATCAGCACAAAAAACACTAATGCTGCAGCCGTTTTCCTCAGGCTGTCAAAGGTCACAGCGTCTCCTGTGTGAATGTGGAAGCTATACGAAAAGGGATTTGAACTTTTCTGAGAATGTACCAGTGATTATGTTGAATGTAATAGCAGTTAACATTTCATCTCTACGAAGTAGTTTTTTTTCCTGCTCCGCTGTGAAAGCACAGATTATAACTGCAAGCACATAAAATATCCATTACAATATTGTTCTGAGTGGTAGCACTTAGCAGCATGTTTCAAAATGACCATAGCACATTAGTATTTCATACCAAAGTCAGAATCTGTTGTTTATTCCTGACTGTTTAGAGTTTGTATTGTGTTTTTAGGTGATAAAGAAAACTAAACTATACTGTTTCTTGTCTCAACAGTAGTCAATGAGTTTATCATGACAAGCTACATTTGCACATACAATCATTCGTAAAATTTGTACACCTGAAGACATTGATGCATCGTTTGAAAGCTAATGTCTTCTAAGAAAACGGAATGCAACAAAACAATTATGCAAACAAATGATAGATAACTTAATTAAACCATTCTATCTTGCACTTCATCATTGTGAGTCTTCAATGAAAAATATTTATTTTCCTAATGTCACTCTGCTGAAAATTTGCTTACATTTAGTTGATATCATTGTGTCAGTAAAAGAAATTCCCACCATTTAGAATTCTTACGCATAAATTAAAGAGCTTCACAACCTGGGAAAGGTTCTTAAAATACACATGGTGGTTTGACATATGGGATATTTATTTTATTTTATTTCAGCATTTTTTTTACACATATACTGTGGATGCCATCATAAAAAGTAGTTTCTTTTAGACTATATATATATGCACTTTCCTCTTGTGTTGTTTGTATTTTTATTTGAAGAACACTAGTCTTTATATTTGACTCTTCATTTTGATAAAATCCTGAAGACTCGGCACCTCATAGGGCAGAGAAGCAGGGAAACACAAGGTGAGCCAACATTTATTCAGTAATTCAAATACGTGACCTCAGAATGTGATGATTCATTTGACAGAAAGAAAACCATGAAACCCTCTCACCAGAAATAGAGAGAGCAGTAGTGAGCAGGGACTGCTTCTTTTGTCAATGATGTTGTGGCAATTCGTAGTTCTGCACTATGCTAATGTGACTGAATTTCAACATTTCAGCACACAAACCACAAATTAAACCTAGGAAGATGTTTTTCATCAATTTTACCAAATGCATTTGATTTGGGGCTAACTGCAGTACAGAGGTTTGACTAAAGACTTAAATTGCGTGACAGAGTGCCTGCTTAGGTCGATGCTTGTAGGGCCTGCTTTTACAAGTCTGTGGCGCCCCAAACTATTTGTATGCATGTCTGCATGCATGTATAATTTGGCCATTTGTAGTTAACTTTCAAGACCTTCAGCCCTCCATGTTGATGAGTCCATGATGCAAGTGCTAGAGGCACTGGTCAGAAAAAAAAGAAGATGCTACTTTGTTATTTAATTAGTTACTTAATTCTAGCCTCTCCTGGGTACGTTTATATTTCAGATTTTGGGCATCTTTCCATGCACCAGTCAGTAGTTAAGTTAAAAAATGTAAATAAAACAAAAATGTAGGTTTTAGAAAAACACACATGTTAGAGTGGAGTTCGAGCCTTGAAGGCCACTCTTGCAGTGTTTCCAAAAGACAGTTGTACGTTCTGCAGTACTGAACAACAAGTTTACTCCGAGACCATATGATCTTCATCTGGCTCATAAAAAGTAGCAATTACCTTTCATGTCCACACTGAACAGCAGAAACATTTCTGAAAGGGAGCATAATGACAAACGAGACCTAGTTCTTGTTTACACGGTGTCAAAAAAAGCAAACACACCAAATCCACTAGTAAAATGTTTAATTCAAGCTTGGATCCACATGCCTTCATTTGCTCTGCTATTTTACAAATTTAAAAAAATCCAAACAAAACTCCAACCATTCTTTATTTTAGTTAGGGCTTTAAGCAAGTCATCTGTAATCTTGACTTTACCAAGGCCAAGACATACTTCTTTTATACACATTGAATGATCCAATTTCATTTCCAAACACATCTGTCTGCCAGTGCACATTTTGTGGAAAATTACATTGACATTTTGCAAGGCTTTTATGAAATGTGAGGGACAGTTTTCGAGCCCATTGAAAGGTGTTTTCACCAGCAAGCAGCAGCAGAAAATTCGTTCCAACTCCAGCAGCTTTTCTTCCCACTGCTAATTATCAGACTAAATTATTTCTCACTTAATAACAGGAGATCACATCACAGCCTGTATGCTAAACCAGAGACTGTTTTCTGAAATACATTCAAAGTATTCTCAAAACAGAAAATACTGAAAAAACTGTCTTGTTCACACTGCACAAACTATTATTCTTCACTGTGCCTGCCTATGATGTTTTGATTCCACCTTACAACAATTATTTGAGAAATTGTTTCTGACTGGGAAATATAACAATAGAAAGAAGGGAAGAAGAAGACAGAAGAGGACCTAAGGGCTTTGCTGAAGTTTGTCCAATCTTGAATCCCTTTACTCTGTTTTGATTCTTTAATTCTCTGGGTCTTGCAATACATTAACAAGCTATATAACATTAAATCAGCAAACACACAATTTACTGACATGATCCTAAACTAAATCTACCTTCACGTGATGATTTCTGCTGCCCCGAACACTAATAGTCATTCTAAAAGATTCTTTTAATGTATCAACTGTGCACTCATGAAATACGTTTGATCGCACCAATGGATTCAGTTGTAATCTGTAGTGGTCCCTCGGTGTGTTTCAGATGCCTGTGACGAAGACCAGTGTCTCAATGGTGGCACCTGCTTTGAATCAAATAAACAGGTTAAATGTCTCTGTTTGCCAACATATGGAGGAGACTTCTGTGAAAATGGTAAGCTCTGTCGCCTTTTACATGACTTCTTTCTTGCCCGTAAAACAAGTTTAAAACTTTTGCCACAAGTAAACAAATTGATGGGACTGAAACTGGCCAGTGGAGTCTCTTCAGCTGTCACATTTTAGGAAAAATAATCAGTATGCAGTGAACAGGAAAGGGTACACACAACTGTTTGGCAAAAAAGGACCATTTCAGAACTCTGGGTGATTGTCCTGTCTCCTCCATTGTGTTGATTTTAGACCTGGAGCAATGTGAACCAGGCTGGGACAAATTTCAAGGTTTTTGCTATCGTCACTTCGGCCAACGTCTGACCTGGGCGGCTGCAGAGCAGCACTGTCGCATGATGGGAGCTCACCTGGCGTCCATCATGTCCCCTGAAGAGCAGGCATTCATCAACGGTTAAATTTCAAGCCGATACATTAACATGGTTTGTATCTGGTTTCATAGAAATGTGTGATATTTGTTAATTGAACGGTGTTGTTCTTCCCACTAGACAACTACAAAGAGTATCAGTGGACAGGTCTTAATGATAAGGCCCTTGAGGATGATTTTGTCTGGTCTGATGGAAACCCGTTGGTGAGGAACGTTTCATTTTTAACTCCTAGGTACCTGATTTTTCATGACTTTAGAAACGTGTACAGAACATATATCATCTGCCCATGTTAACAGATGTATGAGAACTGGTACAAAGGGCAGCCAGATAGCTACTTTCAGTCAGGAGAGGACTGTGTGGTGATGGTGTGGCATGATGATGGGCGCTGGAGTGATGTTCCCTGCAACTATCACCTCTCATACACCTGCAAAAAAGGCACCGGTGAGTTTCATTAAAAAGGTCTTGCACACATCAGTCACACTGCCCTGTAATGGTGTATATTTAATTCCCTCTTTGGATTGTTTTGAGTTATTTCATCGTCATGTCCCAACTCTTTCAACAGCCTCTTGTGGCCCCCCACCAAAAGTACGAAATGCTTCCCCATTTGGTAAAGTTCGACAGCGTTATGGCATCAATGCAATTGTGCGATATCGCTGCGCAGAAGGTTTCCGGCAAAAACTAAAACCTCTGATAAGGTGTCTGTCAGGAGGCCGCTGGGAGAGACCAGAAGTTTTGTGCGTCCATGGTAAGATAAGCTGTTTTGGTCAAGAAAAACCCTCTTTAAATTTACTTTAACAATCAATCATCTACTGTTACTTGATGTGTCATTTGATAACATTTAGCTGTAAGAAATGAAAGACTGAAACTGTGTTTTCTTCCAAGGCTCTAAAGGCAAAGCGCTTTCAGTGACAGAGAGCAACTTTGCAGCGGCTGAAAATGAATTTGAATCCACGACAGAGGCACCTCAATACTGGGACATCAAGTTTTAAAAGACAGTTTTTATATTCATGCTTTGCAAAAAATGTTTAATGTAAAATGACTAGATGTAAAGAATCTGAAAACAAGTAGGACAAAATGAGCCACTCAAAGTCAAGCTTCCTTTCAGGCAATAACAATAAACCTGAATGAAAAGGCACAGTCACACATACTGTAGATATTTTTTTACAGTGATCATTCTGTGACCAGATGAACTCTTTGACCTTCAAACATTAAATCCATGAAATTTGAATCACATCTTTAAACAGTCTTTTACAAAGGTTTTCTGATAAGAGTTTTCCAACAAAATGGTGCTAAAGGTTTTTAGACACTTTAATTACCGTAAGTTTTTTTTCATCTTATTGCTTTATGTTCCTGCTTTGTAAAACAAGAAAATACTCCAAAGTAAACCTTAAACAACCAATAAGTGCTGTATATATATAATGGTTTTCATACCTGAGATCTTTGGTCCCATTTTTCTGAAAGAAATCTTTAAATGTCAAACAGACGCTGTTTTGTTCGTTGGCTTTATGTTGTAATAAAGTTTTGTAGAACAGAACAAAGAATAAATCATTCACCTAATACCCCTGAAATCGTATGCAGGCTTACTTTTGTGGATTATTGTGCAGAACAGTAAGTTTAATAAGAGTGGTAATTTAACTGATCTCTCCTCCTTCCACTGTATTATGTAATTTTCCTCCAACTACAATGAAACCTTTACTGCTTCTTTACAAGTGATCCATGATTATAAGAATCACAGAGAAAAATTAACCAAAGCGCTTCAACATGAGGTAACCAATTTGAATATACACATGTTGCTTGCTCAAGCCTGTCCAGAATGCTGAATGGGAATTTTGAATAAATAAAAATCAAAGAAAAAAAATTGCATTTTTTCTTCCCTTGTAACTATTTTACTGATTAAAATACATAGTTATTATCTGAAGAAAATGTGTCTTTAAATATTGTGAAATAACCAGCAGAGGTGGGATCCAGCTTTTGTTGTTTCAATAAAAGCATTGAATGTGTAAAGGGTGAAAATATTGTGATTTTTAATTAGGAATTCGTATTTTTTGTGTTGTTTTCATTGATTTGTTGACATATAAACCCTGTTTTCAGTTGTGGATCTTTCCATCACCAAAAAATATATAAAATATATAATGTTTCATTAAATATATGGACCAGATGGTGACACTCATAAATGTGAGGCTTATGTCTAACCTCCATGTGTTAAATAGCATGAGCACCAGATGGTCCTGTGTTAAATCGTTTGTAAAAGACCAAGTAATTTCAAAATATATAGCAGGTGCTTGGATGGAGCATATGTTAACCAGTGACCTGACCAAACATGACTTGTGAAGCTACACAAACACAGCTAATCAATGTACTTTAGCTACTATGGTTGACTTAATTGTACTTCAACTGCCAGCATATGCCTGTTTGATGTATACTTTTACTTTGTGTTGTGGTTCCATACAGACACATTCCAGATGCAGGTTTGTAAATAGAATTGGAATAAAGTGGTTTACCTATCATTTATATTTATCCTAATATTCAGTTTTTAAGCATAACTATATTAGGCACCTGTTTGCTTCATAAGCTCTATTTTAGAGTGAACAACTGGCTATGTGCTCAACGAATATTTCTAACTTTCAAGGGTCCGCGAATGCAACAACATGAAAAAAAGATACTTACGTCATACTTTCGTCATCTGATTGAAAAATTGGAGTCACCTGTGGAAAAAACAAGAAACTCTCCAAAAGTAAGTTTGAAACACTTTTCTGTAAATATATTTTGGCTGGTCAATTTTTATTATAAATTGAACAGAGGCATCTACGTGTGTTTTGGCTTTTCGTCTTTCTTTCAAAGTAATGAAAAGGCGCAAAGCTTTTAAAACTGGGCTGGAGTCGCGGAGAGCTACATCTGGGCTATATACATTTGCGTTTTCAAGTTTCGATTAATTGTTAAGTTTTCTTTTCTTTTGAATTACAATGGGATTTGTTTTTTAAAAAGTACCGTAAAGGCTAAATGTTTTGTAGAGTTCTGATTATGCAGTGACAGTAAATCTGCCACTAGATGGCATCATTGCGTCACGTCTTTTGGACCAGAACTTTTTGGAGATGCTGAAAATAAATAGGATGATTTGATGCCATGCGGGTAGACTCCAAGAGGCAAGATATGAGGTATATGAAATGTCTGCTTTTTTGCCAACTATTTTATCACCTAAATTCTTACATTTAAAATTGCACTAATTGTTTAATTTTGGGCATTAAAAATGAATATTTTATGGTCTTAAATATCACCTTAGATATCAGTGTGAAAAATGTTTTGAAATTGTTTTTTTTTTCACCATTCTGAGTCAAGTTATAAATGAAAGTGATGTTACCTTTAAAAAACATTCTAAATCTTTTCAGTTTCAAATCCTCTTCTGATTCTTCTTTCATTCTTCAGCTAACTTCTAATGGCTTGACATCCCTCAGTGATTGTTCTCTAACTTTCATATTGCTTCCTGTCATATTTTATTGCATTCTTTAGCTTATTGTTGCACATTTTTTATGTTTCCTCTTTCTTCAGCATCTTTAGGTGCATTTATTCAGCATTCTAACTGGTGTTTTGAAGGAACCGTTCTTTAGATTCTCATAAGGTGGCTCTCCTGGTGTGCAGAAGATGCATTCAACCTTCTTTTATTATATTGCACCTCAGTTTAAATAAACTCCAGGTTGTTGGCCTCGATTTCAGGGTGAATAGAAGTGCCTCTGTTGTAGGATGACTCATTTCTCAGGCCTTAAATGGCCTCACACTGCCCTGCCTGAAGGCAGGAGCTTGATGTCCGCCTGCTTTTGTCATGGAGCCGATAACGCTGCTCCACATGCGGGTGTATTGAGGCCTGTGACCCTGAGGTCACAAGGGCAGAGAGAGGCGAACAGAGGCCGGCCTTTAACGACTCCTTATGGAGTTCCTTTTTCTTCCACCGGACGCGTGGCTCACTAATTGATGGTCCACCTCTTCACACCCCATGTGTGAGGTGCTCCATGCCCAAAGATGACTGCTTGTGTGAGTTAGAAGAAGAGTGAGATGTGTGGAAAGAAAAGGTGTAATGAGTGAATGATTTCAGACGTAATTGCTTTGCCCATTCATTTGTAACATTTTCAGATAAAGTTTAGTCATGTCACTGAAGTTTAACGAAGGCTTTAAAGATAATAATAATTATTATTATTGTTTACATTATTTTTTGAAAATCAGGATAAAAGTAAATTAGAGCTCAGTTTTCTGAAAATTCCTATGGAATGCATAGAAAAGTAGTAAATCCACAGACATTACGAATTAACACCATCTGATGATACTATCCTTTTTGTCCCCGATTCAGCTGTCTCAGTATTTGTACTGTATGGATCTTATTAATGGCAATTGACAATAAACTTAATTATATAGCAATCTTCATTTGTTCAAGTTTACATTTTCATGGATGTAGATAAATTGACAAGATTAACATCTTAGACTTTTTTTCTTATCCTTTTTGGACTACTCTGTCATGCACACTTCTGTAGGAACAGTCTGGAACTACATAGATTTTCATAGACAAGAGAGAGACTATAGATGTTTAGCTCAGAACTTTTCTCTGATAATTGTGTAGTTGATCTGAAATTATATTTGCCCTGACCATGAAAAGACACGAGGAGGAAGTTAAAAAGGTGTGCCAAGCTGGCTGGGAACCTCGGCATCAAGCTTTACCCACAACCCTTCACCCCATCGTTGTCACTCACTGTGACACAAAAAACTATTGTGGTTTCTTCAAATTGGGAATTCTAGTTGAGAAATTGCCCTTTTTCACTTTTGGTCCCCAGCTGTGTCCCCCTCTTTTTCTATTGTTGACAAATGAATACCCAGGAATGCGTTATTGAAAATCAAGTGTATGTTAAGTTCATTACCACAGGAAAAGGCACCAAAAACATGTCAAAATCTATTTTCTATAGGTTGAAAATGTTATCACTCATTTAACTATAAGGAATCATAACTTCTTTTACATCGTTATTCCCCAATAGGCCTTTGAAATTCTTAAATACTGTAAAAAATATCCTGATACTGTCAATAAAACGTCATATTCTGCTTTAAATGTACAGTTCATGCTGAAATTCTTAAAAAATTAACTGGACTTGTCAGGGAGATGTCTAGCATTTCACTGCTTGTCCAAACTATGTATGTGAAAAATAATGTTTAATCTGAAATTTAATCTGCTCTCTTATAATACTGATCCATTTTCTAGTTGTCTGCTTTGCATTTGTTCTTATTTCTGTTTCTATTCGAAAAGTTCCATTTTATCACATTAGTTGTTTTCAGGTAAGTATTTAATGCAATTTTATCTCTTTGATATTTTTACTATAATTAGACATCAGAATATTATTATTTTTAGATCAGTCAATACAATTGCAGAACTGCAAAATCCAGTGTTTTATGATGAAGTACACAGGGATTACATTCTCAGATCTGGTCATTGGTGTCAGTCAGGAGTGCTTTGCGTTTCTGCACGGTAAAAAGTGTTTAACTTCCTGCAGTCAGCAGCTATGGGATCATCTCCATGGATATAAAGAATGGGCTTTCATCTTACAGTTCACATGCAGTGTTTTCACACTGCATCAGTTTGTCGTGGGGGTCTGGCGGCTCACTGAAAGGAAGCCATGACAAATAAGGGACGGACAGTCATATAAACCCACCCCGGCGCCATGCGAAGGCAAATACATATGGTATTTTACAAGATTATATATGAACTCAATTTTAGGATATTCTGATCATTCACATGCTTTTCGTTTAAGAAAAATGCATATTTAGTAGTGATAGTAGTTTTCTTGTTCGTATTTAGTGAATTGGATGCATTCTTCCTGCAGGGGGCACTCTGACCTGAAAGTGAGCAACTCCAATGGACTCCAACTTCTTTCTACTCAGAAGCTGTGTCTGATTCATTCATTTGATTCCAAAGGGTAGGGGAAAAGACTTGGGGTGACTGTTAATGCTCTTGTCCTGGAACTCAAACAGCTCATCCTCCTCCCTTTCTGTTAATTTCCCAGCGACCCCCAACTTATAACATTAGGTTGTTGGGGATGTAGAAGACAGTAGATTAAAAAAGAGAAATGCAAAAAAGTTTGCTGTTGGCCTTAAATAGCTTCCTAGTCTAATATCTATATTATAAGACAAATTCATCGTTTTTATGTTTATATTCTGACATTTATCAAATGCTTGGAACCAAACCAAGAATAACTTAATAGGAGAGGAGGCATTACAATGATCTTTGAGTATTAAAACACCACAGAAAACAGGGCACAACAGAATAATGCATTTCAAAGCCATATGTTTATGTGGCAAATGACATGTCATCTATGTGTGTGTTTAATTACAAAAAATAAGAGATGTTGCAGTTGAATAAAAAAGGTTTATGCAGTCATGGTAGTACATTTCTAACAACTGTAACCATTGATTGTTGATGTGTGTGATCAGTGTGGTGCATTGTTATGAATACAAAGATGTTCACCTCTGCACCTCAGTTGTGTTATATGTTTATTCACATCAAGGAGCCATACATGTATGTGTGATCCACCAATGAACCAAAGAAATACTTAAACATAGTGATGCTCACAGTATCATTAAAGTTTGACTGTACTGATATCAGTAAATGTTACCAAATGCCAAAGTAATTTTTCAGGTAAAGTAAAACCACCTGTCTTTTAATGCACAGCAAAATGTGGAGCAGGGGATAAAAAGCTTGCCTTGAACTGTGTTGATGTACAATCTCAAACAAAATAAAATCTAGGAAATTAATCTTAAAAGAAGAAAAAAATAACACAAAACAAAAAGCAACATTTTTTTTTTCAATAATACAGTCAAATATGTTGATGCTTTAATCCAGTGTCTTTCACTACAATTTAGACACCTGATCAGCATCTTGTTTTCTCAACAATTTTCACTGTGGACAATTTTTTCTGCTTATTTTTAGAAAACAAGCACAGGAATGTCATTCATATCCATCAAACCTGAGACTGCGGCTCATTTAAATAAACAGTGTCTTGACGATGTTATAATGACCACTGTGTTTTTCTTGTGCCATCGCAAAGCATTTACATGTGAAAGCTCTGAGTTGCTGTGAACTTATTTGACCTTTGACTTCTCATCTGTGTCTCACAGACAACAAATGGCTGCAGCTGGGATGGAGACTACCCAGTAGGTTCTCACCCACAGACTCCAGACTGCGACGTGTGAGTAAGTGATCATTATGAGCGGCTCTGACTTGTTCAGACTATTAATGACTTATTTAGACACCTTCCTTTGTCCTTCTTACAGCTTTGGAGCTGTTTAAACTCAAGAACAATGCATTGACTAAAATTCAGATAGTTCAGGCCAATATTTAAAACTGGTTTTACTTGCACACGAAAAATGATCGTAGCCTGTTGAGGGTGCTGTGTTATAGTTAGAGGAAAAAAATGAACAAACTGAGGAGTGTGAGAATCTGTCTCAGTCTAGCATGCCATGTTGGTGTGTTGTGGAGCAGAGCATTCTGTTTATCACTGACTAAATCCCAGATATAAAAATATTCAAATTTGTGTTGTTCAAATTTAAAGCGTTGTCATCTCACATTTAAACTCTTCTGATTTGTGGTTTCATGAAATGATCTCAGGTCTGATAGATAATAACGGCTTACACATCTAAATTCTGGCCACCAAATTAATCAACCTTTAATCTCCACCACCACCTCCCTGCTTCAGAAAGGCCTAAATGTTGGGGACTGAATGGCAAACTTGAAAACAGCTGTTCACACCCAATGCTGTCCTTCCATAACTCTGATTAAGCAATTAGTTGAAATGGAAATTAAAAGTAGCAGACTAGTCTGTCTGTCAGACTTTTTAAAGACGTTATTTTCTCAGTACTTACTCAAAACAGGTTCTTTTTACAGGCAAATTTTTTTTCATATACTAAGAATTTACTTCCAAAAATAAGACATAAAAAATGAAAAAACAGCTATAAATTTCCTTCTCATTTGGCCTACAGTGTGTGTGACCCTTTACATACAGCTTGGCATGAATTTTTATCAAGTTAATAACTAATTATTTTGCCGTGTGAAATTTTAATTGTAATATTATTGTTAAATTGTCCTCGTTCCTATTTATTCCCCCGAGTGTGGCCTGCAGTGAACTATATACATAGTAAACTACATCCTGGCCCATCTTCAAAAAGCTTCACTCACACAGATTTAACTGATCAAATAAGAGGATTGTTTGTCTCTGAAGAGCCACTGTGCACTTGAAGTGTGTTCAGCCATTAATTCAGTCCAAATAAAAACAAACCGTTGCTAAAAAACTCCCACAGATGTGCCAGACAGACGCATTCCTGCACACAGTCGGACACAGACTTGCACAGCCAGGACTCAGACATGCAAACGACACGGCACACACTTTCTCACAGCACCACCCAGACACACACACACCCACACTGTGACGAAGACTATTTGAAGGGCCTCATCTCTGCTGCCTTTCTTTGCCTGTCTGCTCTGTCTGACCCAGCCTTTTTATATGTCTAATTAAGTAGTCAGACCCTCCAGCATGCCATGACATACTCATGGCTGATTTCTAGCCATGTTTTGTGCCAGTGTCTTCATGTGGACGGATCTGTTTTTTATCGTAACCTATAAGATATTGTTATCCCATCGGGCTCGACGCCCCTCTGTCAGTGTATGAGAGAGCAGAGGGGTAATTCACAAAATTTTCAACAGCACCCAGAAGACGGTTTATGTGGGAAAGCAGTGATTGTATGACTTTCAGTTGGGGACATAATGTCAACATTGTTCTTTTGTGGGGGAAGTTCAGCGGAGCAATTCCATTCTTGATGTATAACAACACGTTGTGTTGAGAAACAAAGTGAAAGAGAAAAACCAAGGGTTTCTTTTTGGATCTGTGAGTTCAGTCTGCATTGTTTTCTCAGAAGTCTGTGCATATATTTAGTAAGTAGCTTAACGTCTGTGTCAGTCACTCATGGTTCTGTCTTGGCGCGCAAGTTTTAGATGTTCATTCTCTGATGGGGGACCATGACACACTTCGTCCTTCCATTGACCCTTACTGACTTAGCCCTGACCTCTGAGCTCTCATCAAAAAGGGGGCCAAGAGGTTAAACCCAGAAAACCAGCAGGTCAAATCATCATTATCCAGCCTGGCCCTCCTACCTCTTCAATGTAGTTTAGGAATGAACCACAGAGCCCCTTTCTGATACCTCAAATTTTCAAAAAGGGCACTTTTCTTGCCAATTTTTAATCACTCAAATTAGAGCCAGTCAGAGATTTAGTTGACTCCTTAAAGAAAAACCTATGAGAGCTAGATTAAAAAAATGTAAATCATTCAATTAATAATTGACAAGCTACTACTAATAAACCAACACTACCAATTAGATATAAAAACTTATCTCCAGCATAAGGTGGGTGAATAGGCAGAGAAAATGAGCTATTTAAAAACTGTATGAATAACACAAAAGCTGAGCTTTTAGGAGTTTAAAATCTGCTGATTAGTTATAAATTAAAAACTAATGTTATATTTATCCTTTTCTTTGAAATAGATCCCAAAAATGATAAATTTGTAGAGGTGTAAATTAAAATTAATCACCCTCTTTGTCAGTATTACATAAAATAATTAGGGAGCAGTCTGACTCATGTTGCAAGCATCAGTGCAGAGAATGACATGAGTAGCTGAAAACATGTGAGGGAATTTAGAATTTACACATTCCTAAAGTTAAAAGTAAAACAGCTGACTTAAATATCGTTATCCCATATACTACTTCCAGCAGAGCAGCGTAATGAGAGAGGAGTTAAAAAAATAATATAGTTGATTAGATTACCTTTGTATCACCCCACAATGAATTAAACTGTCACCTTTTGGAAAGACAAACACTAATTCAAGAACTTAAAACAACAAAATGAAAAGAAAACTTTTTTTTCTATTGCACTGCTCTGAATACAAGGTTTTAGAAAACATTTGTTTCCTCCTGCTTGTAGTTAATAGTTGCTTTAGTATTTTGCATCAATGGCAGTGTAGTTGAAGTTCATTGTGAATTTGTCAGCAGTTCTAAATTAATCTCTATTACCGTATTCCGTTTCACAAAAAAATGTTGTTGATTCAAATCATGCCTAAAGCTAAAGCCACCTCTCTATTTCCCTTCATGCTTCATGACCTTAAATTCAGTGTCTATCAACTTCAAGCATTCATTGCCCATTTCAGCAAGAGTCAGTAATATTAAATCTGGCGGGTGTGTCGGCACATAAAGCCACCAGCAGGATTTCACAGGTGTCTTTATGAGAAATCCCAGTGGCCTGTCAGGGAACACAGCAACACTCAGAGGGATCAAAGGTCAAACAACTTGTGGATTTAAATGACCATCAACAAGGGTCACAAAGAGGGACCCCCTCTTTTCACTCTCTTTCATGGCTACACACACCCACACACATAGACACGTGTGTTAAGAGGTTGTGAATGAGCAAGAGGTAACCATTGTCCAGCTGCCCTGAGGTCGGTTCTCTTGATGTGGCACTTAATTTCTGACCTCCAACAGGCTCAAGCTCATCATTAATTCTACATTATGAAGTGTTTGTTTTTCAAAACCCCTTTACTATGCAGCCATTTAACTGGTATATTCCTTAAGATCAATATTTGTCTTTGTAGGAAACTTTACTCTGCAAATGTATAGTGATGGTTATCCATGCCTCAGTGATTTTATTTCTGCAAAATGTATTTTAAGTGGTGGTAAGCATATGCTGTCTATTTTAACTGTCTACTTCCAGTTTGTTCTCATTGGTATGATTACAACATAATGCTTTGAAATAAAAATGTACTTAAAAATTATTTTCCTTTCCCAAATAACAGAAACCTCCGTTTCAGTAGCACTTAAATCCACAAAATCTATTGGTCTTGTCTACTTTACACTCCTAAAAACAGTTTACACCGTGTAATAATTTCTGAGGATTACTTTTTTTTACCTTAAGTGTATTTGGTTTATACCTCGTTTGCTTTCGCAAAAGATATACAGCAGTATGATCTTTACTTCTAATGAAGGAAGATGATGTCAGCATTCTTTTGTATCCATCATCAAATATATGGAGTAGTTTGAAAGACAACCGTGAAATAAAATGTATATGACAGTATGTCATATTTCCATGTGGGCTACTTTCTGGTACTAACACACTAGTCAAAAAATGGACCATTTGCCCTGTATGTATTGAATGTTTATATAGAGATTATTTAGGGTTAAGATAAGGGAAATATGTCCTACAGGCTCTTTTTTTTTTAGTTGAGATTGGGATATAAACTAGAGATTAATATGAAAACTATTGAATCTAATTTGAGGAAGTCCTTTTTTTTTATCATTCAGGTCATTTTTTAGTTATTTCATATTAAACATCTGTATTGTTGAGAATGTGGCACTGACAGTTTTTATGTGTTGTGCAACACATAAAAATGAACTGTTATACCTGTAAGGAGAAAATTCTGTGAATGAACGATTGATGAGATGATTTGGTGTTTTTTGGGTCATGGTTCATAGTTACATCTGTGTGTCCATGTTCTTTCCAATAAGTGCAGCTCCTGATTCTGACTCCCACAGAGCTAGCTTTTAAACTACAAGCCAGAATCTATTATATATTGCATCAAATTTGCTCATGCAAATGTGAGTCTCTTCATTTCTTTCTCATGGAATACATTTGATTATCCCTATTTGGATAAAAAATTATGAATATAATTTAATATTCGTCTTATTCTACTGACTGGGCAGTTTCTTTCTGTCAGTTTTGAGTTTTTCTTTTAGTTTCACTTTATGAAGCACAAACACTTTGACAGGATTCTTAAGGAGATGTTTAGTCTTCATTACGTCAACATGCAGATGAGGATTTGCCATTGAACTTGAACCCAGTACCCTCACACTGCTTGATTTCACAGTCGCAGCCTCTAACCCCCCTCCGCACCTCCCCTGTACCACAGCACCATGCCTGCCTTTGTGAAGCTGTCTTCCTTGACTTTCTGCATCCCCCGTCTGGCCCTCTGCAACCCCTCTTCCATCTCTGCCCCCTCCCCTCCTGCAAGCCATTCTTTACTTGTGGGCAGGGGGCTCCAGGAGACAGCCTGTGGGGACTCGCAATACAGAATGCTAATCAGACCCTTGATGGTACTTCCCACGATTTTCCTCCCAGACATGGGCCTTTGTTTTGTCACTGATTCCTTCATAATCAGACGGTTCCCGTAACTTTCCTGATGTCTGGGGCAGGATCTGTAGTGCTGCTGGCAGCACAGGCTTTACCTTTTTGTGGTGTTTTAATGCTCTTTCTCCAAAGTAAGTGTCTGAGTGTGGTGCAATAATGGGGAAGATAGAACGTTTAACAGAAGCATAATTTTTTACGCTTTTTGATAATATGTTCAAATCACAAGAGTTCACTGTATGAAGTGAAACTATACACAAACTACTGAAAATGACTTAAACTGACTTAATTATGACCTTGATCTTAGGCTCCTGAAAGAGAAGAAACATAGTATAACTGGTCCTGAAGCTAATTTGTTTTGCATAGTTTTTACGAACAGGATATTTGCAATAGAAATTTTGCTATTTAGTTTATTCTAACATTGCACGAATGTAAAATTTACAATATACTACTGACTTAGCAGATAAGCTCTTTTAATTTGTTGTTTATTTGTTTATAAAGCAATTCTGAATAGAATCAGTGGTCTTAAAGCCACAGTTGCCGTCTCCATCGGTTATATACTCGTCCATTAAGATTTGTGCTAAGGTCTCTTTAAAATCAGGTTGTCCAGTGTTCTTCAAAGAAATAATTGAGTTGACATTTGCTTCCTGTGAGGACTGCTTAGTGTTTTAGTGTGTTTAAATTTGAATGTACTCCTTAATTAGGATATAGAATCAAGACAGAAAGGCAGGTGTAAATTAAAGGTCAGCCATTAAGCACATGTGGTGGTGTTAATTAAAAGACAAAGTCTTCTATTTAGTTTTATTACCTCAATTATGATTCACAGTTATGCATATGGGCTATGTTATGTCGTGTCCAATAAATAGTCTTACTAGATTCACCAATTTCAAATTTTTACACATGTATACAATGTGTTTAGTACACGTGAAAGACTTTTCTGTATATCCCTAAAATGTATAAATGGATTGCTTAGATACATACATACAGTAAGTCTGTTATACTATAGATAAGCTGGTAAAAAAGATAAATTAACCCTTGAAGTGAGGCTATCAATGTTTTTTTACTTAGAAAAGCGGTCATTGTAATTTAGTTCGTTTTTACAGCTTCTGCTTTCATGTTTGGTAAACTTACAAAAATAAATTACGAACCTGTAAAATGTTGCTTAAACCTACTCGTCCGCATGCTCTTAAATATCCCATTTTGGATGCAGTCATTCTATCCTGTACAGAAGAAATAGAAAATTGGTAACAAAGTTCATTTATTAATTCGCCTGAAAAGGTGTAAGCTTAGCAGCTGTGCAGTAAGCATGAAAATGTGAGCCTACAATTGTCAAACAAAACAATGATCTTATTATTTGACTGACACTTCTGCCATTATTTGAAAAGTGTTCAAAACTAAGCAAAGACATTACAACGGCAGCTTCTTGTCTTATTGCAACATACATAGTCCAAATGTGTAAGTCACGTGATCCAGATTTTGATTTGGAACTAGAAATAGTTATTGTTTCTTAGTTTTTTTTTCAGTGCAAGGGGTGAGCATCATTTGTCTGTTTGGACAGTTGAATGTTTGCATAGTATCTCTTAGTTTTGTTAGAATCAAGACAGATTTTACTTAGAAAATTATATTTTGCTTATCTTGTGAGCCATATCTCCCAGCCCCTTACTTTTCCTGTTTGAGATGCTTCGTATCCTGTAACCCTAGATTGTTTGTGAACTGAATGGAAAGCTTATCCTTCCAGATGTTTGGAGATGCACCACAGTAATAGCAGCTGGATCTGCTGGCCCGCATGTCCTTACAGCAGCTGTGGCTCACAGTCCCAGACTCAACACTTCATCCAGATGTGACTCGCATATTCAGAAGTGTGCATTACAGGTTACACAAAGAGGAGTGATTGTATTCATTGCTCATTACACTGTGTTCACTGAACATTGTCATTGTGTGTGTGTGTATATATATATGTATTTCTTTTCTTGTTTCTCAGATGAGGGAAAAGTTCCCATTTAGAGGTGGAAGGATTGCTTTTGGTATAAGCTGATGTGTCACCTCACCCAAAAAATAATAAAAGATTTTTTTTAAATTGCATTTTAACAACTTGCAATGCATACAATTCAACTTGCATTTTGTTTAGGCTTCCAAATTTCAGACTAAGCTGAAGGCTTTAGAAATGGTTTTGGCTTTGGCTTTATTTCAACAAGTGCCAGGGTGACTAGCTCTTCTCAGATCAGTTTCACTATATCACAGCCTGTATCAATACCCAATAGCTGACCTGTAAAACTAGGTCTCATAGTACAATTTTGATACTTAATAGCTTATGCTAGCAGCATCACTTACAGTGTCATATAACTAGCTGACTGTATAATCAGTTATCAATTTGAAATGCTGTTTTAAGCAGCAGATCTTATCATTTTTCAATATATAAGTCAGATCCTATTAAATTATTATACTTTTGAATAATGGCAGATGTATAAACTCCACACTGAAGCAGTTTTGTCTCGTTGTAAACAGTTTTATTGATTTATACAATAATTAGTTGCATAGTAAAAAGTAATTTGTGCAAATCAAGCTTTTGACACCCCTGAGACAATTGTTGTTAGTGCATACAAATGTGTAAAATCAAATTCTGAATATTATTAATATCCTTCAAAAGTCTAATATTAACAAAAAACAAAAAAATGCGTTTTCAGAAACACTGTTAACATGAAAAGAAATGTGAAAATAAACAGATTTGAGTCAGTCTTGAGATTGACAGTGCAAATAGAGATTAAATCAGGGGACCACCACATGCTCCGTACTCATATCACTGTTTGCTCTCACTAATACCAAAAACGGCACAGCACAGCGCTCACATAGTGCATATTTGTAATACAGACAACATAATACATCACATACAAAAAGCAAAAACGTTGACACATACACAGAATACTAATGTGCAAATTTAACATGAATTTAACGTAATCTAGTCATTTCCTTCTGCATAGATAGTAAACATAAAGTATGTTTTATTGCACAAAATAGTTACAGCTGTGCAATTGTGCAATGTGGCAGAGGTACAGATAGATTGTAAAAGACTGCTGAGGCTGCTCCAGTCTTATGGTACTGTTGTACATTCAAAACAAACTTTCTTTCTTTTTTATATTTTCAGAGAACCTTTAAGCGAATGCCCTCTTCAGGTGTTGCATTTAATCCAAATGTTGTGCCATTTAGTTATACTAAAACAAAAAATGACTAATCCTGAAAGAAATGATTCAAATCTAAAGATTTGATATGAATTCATACCTGATGCCAACATCACACATTTACCATGAGACAAAAAAAGTTAGATTAAGATGTTTCAGAGAATCTGGTCTCAGATTGTCAGCAAATAACGAGACAATTTTATTTTTTTAGCTAAAGAAATAATAAAAGGTAGAAATTAAAAACTACACTCTGATACAGTTTCTATACAGAATCATTTTACAGAAAAGCTACTTTTATCCTCAACCTAATACATCTCAATAACAACCAAGTGGTGTTAATGTTTTCATGAGATGATTATTTACGACCTGATCTAAATGAAAACCTAATACAGATGTGACCTGAACAGTTGTGAGAACATGCTTCCACCACTCCATTCTTTACTTGGCTTCAGTTTCAAAAAGGCAAAATGTCTGGGTACATCTGAAGTCTTCCCGTTAGCTGTTTTCTTCCCCTGTTGACATTCAAATAAGAATATCCTACGGTAGAAGCTGCAGTGACTGCTGCGTCCAGCAGCAAGATCTGACAGTGAGATTTTCACCATGTTTGGACTCCTTTGTCCAGATTTATAATGGTGGGTAATGATGTTGTCCAGTGTGAAACGATTCACTGACTCAGTCATAAAGGTGATGTGACCCAGAACTTCAGAAACCTTGAAAGAAAAGCAAGAAAAGGTTTTGAGGAAAAAGTTAACAATAAGTCCATAATATATATGTTCAGTAATCAGTTAAGAGATTAGGTTGTTATTTCAGAATTTTCAAGGCAGGGTAGAGTTTTATTTTATACTTTGAAATAGTCGATGAACAGCACCTGTGGGTGTAAGCAATCAAATTATTTTTATGTTCTTCAGGGGCTTAGTAGCAAAGTTTTCTGTGGACAGCTTAGTTTTCCAGGTTTTAGAGGACTTGAATTCTTATGTCATAACATTCTGAATGTGCACAGTGATTCAGATGGTTGGAATTTGCTGTGCTTGTTTGACTGCGCCTCACTGATTGAGATTAGGGATGTGTAGATAAGATACAGCTTCTTCTCATTCTATTATCCTCTGTGTTGTCCCTTACTGATATTTTGTTAACTAACAGGGGGGGATAATCATATTTTTAACAGCATTTTATATTTTTACAATATTTTTCATAGCTTAACTTATTCAAAGATGTTAAAGTTGCCAATATATCAAATTTGACCTTTTTGGGACTCTGAGCACAGCAGCTTATTTGAAGTCTTCGCTGTTTTGCTTTCTAAAACACTACTGTAAGCTCCCACTGCACATAGATAGTACACTGACAACGGGACGCACACAATTAAACCAGACAGACAAGGTGAAATATGCCCCACATCCCCCCAAAACACCAAACTCTACAACAGTAAGTCTAGACACAAGCTGGTCTTCAAATCATCACACCTCCTCTCCTTCCCCCTTCTCCTCCCCATCATCCCACCATCATTGTCTGAGCCCCTAAGAGTTTTTTTTCCCACGCTTTATTTTTCTCTGTCCTGTTCGGAGCTGAGGAGAGGAGGAGGAAGTGGGGGGCATAGATGGGGTCGTCATGGCAACCCCACATTGGCATGCCCCTGATTGGAGTACGGGGTAGCTAATTATTCAGTGCATATGCTTAAAAAAAACAATAAAGTAGGACGTATTGAAATTCAGAGCCAAGCATTGCATGGTGTGTGATTAACATATGAGCTCAGAACTGCTTTTGAGGAACGGGCGCCTCAGCCCCACTTCTTATTGTACATTAAATCTGAGTGACTTAAATGTTACCTTTACTCAGATTTCTGTGTCTTATAATGTGGGATGTGATCTCAGAATTTACAGTGCCTTAATTCAATCTCACAAGAAACTTTCCATCCCCTGTAAATTTGATTACTCCTGTAATTAGAATTATTAACGTTTGATGTACGATGGCATGCATAAAGTGTCCTCGCATGAATGTATAAGGGATGGAGAGTATGTTATGTGAAAAAAAATCTGTGGGATTGGGATTTGTATATGCCTGTGTGACAGGGGGTTAAGTTAACAATGGTTGGCATTGTTTACCAATCTCCCGCATCCATTAATCAGGACGATCCGGCTCTAATTGGCGTTTTGGTTAAGCTGGTCTCCAGACCCCCGCTCCTTCCACTGGCCTAAATAATGGCGTTACGCCACAAGTGCCGCCACACATTGAGGAGGACAATGTGCTGCTTGTCTGAGGGTCCAGGATGGGATCCCCACCCTCTCCTCTTCCCCTCCTTTCTTTGCGCCCCCCGTGCCCCCCAAAATAAACCTCACACAGAAACACAAAGAAGGCCTCTCACTATTGAGATCTCACTGTCGCAGTCTCCCTTTCCTTGTCTGCCCGCCCCCCCCACTCTTTCCCTCACCATGGTTTCTCATCACATATAGATGCATTTCTCAGCAGCTGTTATGAGCTCAGTCAACAAGAAAAGTGAATTTCTCTTGTGAGATTAAATGATAGTTTGCAGTTATATTTTTTTCACTTCAATTTTTTAATTGCTCAGAACTAAATCAGAAAAGTAACACAAGGGTCACTTTATTCAAAGTATTGATTATTTTCAGTTAAATGCTTTTAAGCCTTTTAAGCAACGAATGCAAGTTAAATTACGCCAAATGATCCAAGAGGCAACAAGCCAGCTAAAGAATTGTAAAACCCAAAAATGAGGCCCAAGACATTGATTAAACAGGTTCACTTCACAGCGGAAAATACACAAAATCATGAAAATCCTGTGGTATTATTTAAGCTTATTTAAGGCTCAAAGTATATATGCTCCTACGATTTAGAAATGATGTGATGTGGCCAAATAATCTTGACAACAAATACACACACACACATACACTGACAGCAGTCTGAAAACTGAGACGTTTCTCAGGTTTCCTAAAAAAAAACAACATAATTGGTTGTTACATGTCCGCAAAGCAATATGTGACTTAATGTTCTAGTGTAAGTCTCACTAGTATCTGGATGCATTTCAGAAATCTTAATCTGTTCATGATACCGCATCACCAAAAATAAACAATGACGTGTTTGAGCAAAAAAAAGGAACTGCAAGAAAATCATTAGGTCGGAAAACAAGTAGAGATTTATTAACGATGCTTTTTTGCTAATTGTGGCTCTTCATGCATGTGTGGGAGCACGACGACTTTTCTCCACCTCCAGTAAAACTGCCTGCACGCGGCATAAAAACAGTGTGGATGTTCAACATGCAAAACTACCGCCAGTAGTGCAAATTGGAATTCTTTGTAATTAAAAACACTGAAATAATCTAATTAACGCTGCAGAGGCGGATAGTTTTTCCGAGCATCTGCACTAAATACTGAGATGGTTAGCAGCGTGATGATGGGCATAGCGTAAAAAGATGCAGCTGCCCTTAAAAATGCCACTTCGTCGATACTCGGAAGCCGCTGGCTCCACGGTTTCCTCCTATCTCATCCCTTCCTGCATGTCTCTTGGGGCGATCTCTACAATTAACACACTGGCAGTAATTAACACTGTCTCAAGGCAACGAATGGCGTGGAAAGGAAGGCGGCCAACGTGAAGTGGGGGAAGGCGCAGCACTGGCTGTCCACGTTCAGCTGCCATTTTGTGCCAGTCTTAACACCTAAGATGGTGGCAGGACTGTGACTCGCCGTGCAGTAGAAGAGGACAAACTGGCAAGGGAGGGGTGGAGAAGAGGAGGATTATGGGATTGAGGAGGGACTCTCTTATTTTCATTCTTCTAGTTGGTGCATTACTGAACGGTTACGAAGACAGGCGAAAGAGGCAGGGAGGGTGCAAGAGGCATGATCGTCATATTGCTGCCCTACATGCACCACTCATACAGGAGGAACTCTCCCACACACAAAGACTCACACAAACATATATGACAGAGGAAGAACAAGGTCTTTGTTGGAAGACGGAAAACACTTTGTGTTTTCAAATTAAAATATTTTTTACTAGCTCTTTAAACACCACACACACACACACACACACACACACACACACACACACACACACACAC